CAACAAGAGGTGAAAGACGGTTGTATTTCGCGCCATTTTGCAATAGGAGCAAAGTACCTTCATACCTCCTTGCGTTGCTGCGATCCTGGTAGCAAATTTGCAACAGGTTTGATGATTTTGTAAGAAGTTTTATGGTTGAGGTGCGATGTTCATCAATTGAAACTTATGTATCAGGATCGGAGCAACAGTAAGAGGTGTGAGATATTTGGGTTTCCCGCCAAATTTGTAGTTGGAGCAAATATTTTTCATACCTCCTAGCGTTTCTGCTATCATGATAACAAATTTTACCTACCGAGCTTGACAAGTGTGAAAGATACTTTGGATCTACGATAACTTAAACTGACAAAGCAAAGTACCTTCATACCTCCTTGCGTTGCTGCGATCCTGGTAGCAAATTTGCAACAGGTTTGATGATTTTGTAAGAAGTTTTATGGTTGAGGTGCGATGTTCATCAATTGAAACTTATGCATCAGGATCGCAGCAGCAGTAAGAGGTCTGAGACACTTGGGTTTCCCGCCAACTTTGTAGCCGGAGCAAATATTTTTTATACCTCCTAGCGTTTCTGCTATCTTGATAACAAATTTTACCTATCGAGCTTGACAAGTGTGCAAGATACTTTGGATCTACGATATCTTAAACTGAAAATTCTGTATTAGGATCGCAGAAACAACAAGAGGTGAAAGACGGTTGTATTTCGCGCCATTTTGCAATAGGAGCAAAGTACCTTCATACCTCCTTGCGTTGCTGCGATCCTGGTAGCAAATTTGCAACAGGTTTGATGATTTTGTAAGAAGTTTTATGGTTGAGGTGCGATGTTCATCAATTGAAACTTATGTATCAGGATCGGAGCAACAGTAAGAGGTGTGAGATATTTGGGTTTCCCGCCAAATTTGTAGTTGGAGCAAATATTTTTCATACCTCCTAGCATATCTGCTATCTTGATAACATATTTTACCTACCGAGCTTGACAAGTGTGAAAGATACTTTGGATCTACGATAACTTAAACTGAAAATTCTGTATTAGGATCGCAGAAACAGCAAGAGGTGAAAGACGGTTGAATTTCGCGCCATTTTGCAATAGGAGCAAAGTACCTTCATACCTCCTTGCGTTTCTGCGATCCGCGTAACAAAGTTCTATGGTTGAAGTGCGCTATTCATCAATTGAAACTTATGCATCATGATCGCAGCAGCAGTAAGAGGTCTGAGATACTTGGGTTTCCCGCCAACTTTGTAGCCGGAGCAAATATTTTTTATACCTCCTAGCGTTTCTGCTATCTTGATAACAAATTTTACCTACCGAGCTTGACAAGTGTGCAAGATACTTTGGATCTGCGATATCTTAAACTGAAAATTCTGTATTAGGATCGCAGAAACAGCAAGAGGTCTAAGACGGTTGAATTTCGCGCCATATTGCAATAGGAGCAAAGTACCGTCATACCTCCTTGCATTTCTGCGACCCTGGTAGCAAATTTGCAACAGAACAGTTTGATGATTTTGCAAGAAGTTCTATGGTTGAAGTGCGCTGTTCATCAATTAAAACTTATGTATCAGGATCGGAGCAGCAGTAATAGGTGTGAGATACTTGGGTTGCCCGCCAACTTTGTAGTAGGAGCAAATATTTTTCATACCTCCTAGCGTTTCTGCTATCTTGATAACAAATTTTACCTACCGAGCTTGACAAGTGTGCAAGATACTTTGGATCTGCGATATCTTAAACTGAAAATTCTGTATTAGGATCGCAAAAGCAGCAAGAGGTGTAAGAAGTTTGAATTTCGCGCCATTTTGCAATAGGAGCAAAGTATCGTCATACCTCCTTGCGTTTCTGCGATCCTGGTAGTAAGTTTGTAACAGAACAGTTTGATCATTTTGCAAGACGTTTTATGGTTGAGGTGCGATGTTCATCAATTGAAACTTATGTATCAGGATCGGAGCAGCAGTAATAGGTGTGAGATACTTGGGTTGCCCGCCAACTTTGTAGTAGGAGCAAATATTTTTCATACCTCCTAGCGTTTCTGCTATCTTGATAACAAATTTTACCTACCGAGCTAGACAAGTGTGCAAGATACTTTGGATCTGCGATATCTTAAACTGAAAATTCTGTATTAGGATCGCAGAAACAGCAAGAGGTCTAAGACGGTTGAATTTCGCGCCATATTGCAATAGGAGCAAAGTACCGTCATACCTCCTTGCATTTCTGCGACCCTGGTAGCAAATTTGCAACAGAACAGTTTGATGATTTTGCAAGAAGTTCTATGGTTGAAGTGCGCTGTTCATCAATTAAAACTTATGTATCAGGATCGGAGCAGCAGTAATAGGTCTCACAGAGATACTTGGGTTGCCCGCCAACTTTGTAGTAGGAGCAAATATTTTTCATACCTCCTAGCGTTTCTGCTATCTTGATAACAAATTTTACCTACCGAGCTTGACAAGTGTGCAAGATACTTTGGATCTGCGATATCTTAAACTGAAAATTCTGTATTAGGATCGCAGAAACAACAAGAGGTGAAAGACGGTTGTATTTCGCGCCATTTTGCAATAGGAGCAAAGTACCTTCATACCTCCTTGCGTTGCTGCGATCCTGGTAGCAAATTTGCAACAGGTTTGATGATTTTGTAAGAAGTTTTATGGTTGAGGTGCGATGTTCATCAATTGAAACTTATGTATCAGGATCGGAGCAACAGTAAGAGGTGTGAGATATTTGGGTTTCCCGCCAAATTTGTAGTTGGAGCAAATATTTTTCATACCTCCTAGCATATCTGCTATCTTGATAACATATTTTACCTACCGAGCTTGACAAGTGTGAAAGATACTTTGGATCTACGATAACTTAAACTGAAAATTCTGTATTAGGATCGCAGAAACAGCAAGAGGTGAAAGACGGTTGAATTTCGCGCCATTTTGCAATAGGAGCAAAGTACCTTCATACCTCCTTGCGTTTCTGCGATCCGCGTAACAAAGTTCTATGGTTGAAGTGCGCTATTCATCAATTGAAACTTATGCATCATGATCGCAGCAGCAGTAAGAGGTCTGAGATACTTGGGTTTCCCGCCAACTTTGTAGCCGGAGCAAATATTTTTTATACCTCCTAGCGTTTCTGCTATCTTGATAACAAATTTTACCTACCGAGCTTGACAAGTGTGCAAGATACTTTGGATCTGCGATATCTTAAACTGAAAATTCTGTATTAGGATCGCAGAAACAGCAAGAGGTCTAAGACGGTTGAATTTCGCGCCATATTGCAATAGGAGCAAAGTACCGTCATACCTCCTTGCATTTCTGCGACCCTGGTAGCAAATTTGCAACAGAACAGTTTGATGATTTTGCAAGAAGTTCTATGGTTGAAGTGCGCTGTTCATCAATTAAAACTTATGTATCAGGATCGGAGCAGCAGTAATAGGTGTGAGATACTTGGGTTGCCCGCCAACTTTGTAGTAGGAGCAAATATTTTCATACCTCCTAGCGTTTATGCTATCTTGATAACAAATTTTACCTACCGAGCTTAACAAGTGTGCAAGATACTTTGGATCTACGATAACTTAAACTGAAAATTTTGTATTAGGATCGCAGAAACAGCAAGAGGTGTAAGAAGTTTTAATTTCGCGCCATTTTGCAATAGGAGCAAAGTACCGTCATACCTCCTTGCGTTTCTGCGATCCTGGTAGCAAATTTTTGTAAGAAGTTTTATGGTTGAGGTGCGATGTTCATCAATTGAAACTTATGTATCAGGATCGGAGCAACAGTAAGCGGTGTGAGATACTTGGGTTTCCCGCCAAATTTGTAGTAGGAGCAAATATTTTTCATACCTCCTAGCGTTTCTGCTATCTTGATAACAAATTTTACCTACCGAGCTTGACAAGTGTGCAAGATACTTTGGATCTACGATAACTTAAACTGAAAATTTTGTATTAGGATCGCAGAAACAGCAAGAGGTGTAAGAAGGTTGAATTTCGCGCCATTTTGCAATAGGAGCAAAGTACCGTCATACCTCCTTGCGTTTCTGCGATCCTGGTAGCAAATTTGAAACAGAACAGTTTGATGATTTTACAGGAAGTTTTATGGTTGAGGTGTTCATCAATTGAAACTTTTGTATCAGGATCGGAGCAGCAGTAAGAGGTGTAAGATACTTAGGTTTCCTGCAAACTTTGTAGTAGGAACAAACATTTTTCATACCTCCTAGCGTTTATGCTATCTTGATAACAAATTTTACCTACCGAGCTTGACAAGTGTGCAAGATACTTTGGATCTACGATAACTTAAACTGAAAGTTTTGTATTAGGATCGCAGAAACAGCAAGAGGTGTAAGAAGTTTTAATTTCGCGCTATTTTGCAATAGGAGCAAAGTACCGTCATACCTCCTTGCATTTCTGCGTTCCTGGTAGCAAATTTGCAACAGAACAGTTTGATGATTTTGTAAGAAGTTTTATGGTTCAGGTGCGATGTTCATCAATTGAAACTTATGTATCAGGATCGGAGCAACAGTAAGAGGTGGAGATACTTGGGTTTCCCGCCAAATTTGTAGTAGGAGCAAATATTTTTCATACCTCCTAGCGTTTCTGCTATCTTGATAACAAATTTTACCTACCGAGCTTGACAAGTGTGCAAGATACTTTGGATCTACGATAACTTAAACTGAAAATTTTGTATTAGGATCGCAGAAACAGCAAGAGGTGTAAGAAGTTTGAATTTTGCGCCATTTTGCAATAAGAGCAACGTACCGTCATACCTCGTTGCGTTTCTGCGATCCTTGTAGCAAATATTACTCGAATTTGATAATTTTGCAAAAAATTGTTTCGCTGTTGAAAATCCAGTACGAGGTTCACAGAAACTTCCTCATTCAACCTCGCGTATCTGCGATCCTGGTAGCAAACTTTACTATTCTGCAGTAAGGTCAGATGAGCAATGTCCATGCTGAACAATTTTAAAGAAACATCCAGGTCACAGAAACAGCAAGAGGTAGTTGTGCGGGAAGTTTGAATTTATGGCAAGGGAAAACTACGTAAAAAAGCGTGAAGTGTAAATAATTTATTGTCGAATTATCTGTATATCTACATAAAACATGATAGGTGTCTTTCGGAAAACTTTGTACAGTACGATCTTAAGATTTTCTTATAAAAATTACATAACTACAGAAAATAATAATAATAACACTCGCTTAAAGTACGCTTTTTCGAACATCAGTCTCTCACTTCTTCGCCAGTTCCTTCATACGGTTAAGAGCACTTCCGGCCTTGAACCACTCGATTTGAGACTCGTTCAAAGTGTGGTTGAGAAGAATCTTATCTACTGACCCATCAGCGTGTTTGATCTCGCACTCGACAGGTTTGCCAGGTGCCAGACTTTTCAGATTCTTCAAACTGATCTTGTCAGTAGGCTGGATCTTGTCGTAGTCAGCAGGATTGGCAAAGGTGAGAGGCAGCAAACCTTGCTTCTTCAGGTTGGTCTCGTGGATACGAGCGAAGGACTTGGTGATGATCGCTCTGCCTCCCAAGTGACGTGGTTCCAAAGCGGCGTGCTCTCTTGAGCTACCTTCTCCGTAGTTCTCTTCTCCAACGGCCACCCATCTGATACCTTTGGATTTATAGTAACGGGCTACCTCAGGGACGGTGCCATATTCGCCGGTCAGTTGGTTCTTTACTTTGTTCAATTCGCCGTTCTCTGCATTCGTTGCACTGAAAAAGAAACAAGCATGAAGATTTTTTTCGTATTGCATCCGCCGTGAACGCAGAGCAGAAATACCTAAGCACCGCCACTACTAAAGGGTGTTCTAGGTAGGTATTTTGGGATTTCGTTTTTAAATAGAACCAACAATTTTTGAAATATATACTAAGTGACATATAAATCCGAACACCCAGTTTAAATGGTTTTATTTTTTATAAAATTTTGTATCAGTACTTAATGAAGCATAATAAGTAAATGATAAAAATTTCAAAATGATTGCACTGCTTTAAAGCCCTTTGACCTTTAATAATGTGTGGATGCACCCTGATGTGCTACGCATTCTCCAACGCGCCTAGGCATGCTTCTGATCAGGTGGTCAATGTCCTCCTGTGGTATTTCATTCCAGGCAACCACCAACTCCTCTCGAAGTGCTTCTAGAGTTTGAGGAGGCGTTGCAAATTGAGCAATCTCCTACCCATCATATCCCACACGTGGTCAATTGGGGATAAGTCGGGAGATCTTGGTGGCCATGGTAACAATGTGACATCATTATGTTGAAAGAACTCTATTGTGACTCTTGCAACATGTGGTCGGGCATTATCTTGTTGGAAAGTTGGATCTGCCAGGGTGTCAAGATAGGGTAAAAGATGGGGTTCTAGAACTTCGTGGATATAACGCTGCGCGTTCATGTTACCTCTGATGAAGATTAAAGGTGACCTGGAACCATAAGCTATAGCACCCCAAACCATAAATAACTCCAACAGTGTGATGAACATGTCTTTCAACAAAAAACTGTGGATTCCTCCTTTCACCACGTCGCCTTCTAACCCAGGCACGACCATCGTGCATGCCTAAACAAAATCGAGACTCGTCACTAAAGACAATACTGTTCCATTCCTGATCCCAGAGTGACCGTTGTCTGCACCACTCAAGGCGATTACGTCGGTGTTCTCGAGTTAAAGGGAGGACCCAGTGTGGCCGGTATGAAAACAAGCCAAAACTTCTCATTCGTCGGTAAACACTTCGCATGCCAATAGGTCTTCCGTGTTCTGCAAACCATTCATTTGCAATGGACCTGGTAGTGGAGAAACGGTCCCTTAAGGCCAATAATCTTAGGCGGCGATCTTCACGGTCTGTTGTTCTACGGCGGCGTCCAGTGCCCCTTCCTCTTTGCGTACGGCCTTCTCGAAGCCATGCCTGACAACACCTAACCACAGTGTCTACACTTCTTTGCACTCTAACTGCAATTGCCCGAAAAGAAAGTCCAGCTTCCCGAAGTCCCACTATACGGCCCCTATCAAACTCACTAAGTTGACGAAATCGTACAGGTCTCCGTACTCTGGGCATCGTAACCGATCGTAAAGGATGTCAAGAACCAAAATCCGCCAACGTTGATTCTTTACTGCGGCTGAAATATTCATTTTTAGAGCGTTAGTGAATTAAAAAAAAGCAGTATAAAAAGCGGAATATCCAACTGATAAGGCTAAAAATTTGTTCACTTGTTATTTACAGTAAGATAAATACATTCACCAACTTTTATTAAAATAAAACCATTTAAACTGGATGTTCGGATTTACCTGTCACTTAGTATATATCATGTTCATTTTATCAAAATGTAGAAGTATCCGAACTATGTGACAAAGAAAATAAAGAACTCATATGAATCAGAAAATTCAGAGTATACAAAGTCGGTGCATGTCTTATTTTAAATAGTTTTGAAGATCACATCAGATAGGTGACGTCCCCCCCCCCAGATTTCTGGCGTTTGTCACGACTCTTGCCTTCATTCCAAGCGCAATGTTTTAAATTTCCTCCTGGATGTTGTCTTCAAATCTTGTAGGATTCTTGGTCAATCCACATATGTTAAATACGGGATTTCAAGAAAGAAGACAGAAAAACCATAAGGAGCTAAATCAGGAGAGCATGCTGGCCACACCAAATCGCCACCAATTGAGATGTGGGTGTGTTTCCTCAAAAGAGCCTTCGATGCTTTTGAAGTTGCACTGTCTTGTTGAAACCAAATGTCCGCTAAGTCCACTTATCTAGCCGTGAAAAAAAATCTTGTAACATTTTATAAGCCGATCCGAATTAACTGTCCCTGCGACTTCATTTTCCTCAAAGAACCAGGGACCAGTAACTCCCACTGAGGAAACTGCAACAGCAAAAGCACGCTCCTCACTGTTCCAATGAATGATAGCGACTGAACTGTGTCGGGACAAAACTTTATAGTCCCGCCTCTCGAACGAGACCACTAGCGCTCCCCAAGGAAGTTATGCCGCAGCATCCTGTACATAAGCAACAGGAAGTCGTGATTAAATTTTGAAGTCAAACATTTGCTTTATCGTTGAGTTTCCCTAATAATGTGCTGGGTCACCCCAATGTACACACTTTTCCAGTCTCCACGGACATGTTTCTCTATAAAGATATTACGAATATTCTGCTGACTCTAGTTGTGAATTTCCTAGAAGTAGTACTACTATTGATACTTACGTGATAAACATGTTATTTGAGATGTTATCCAAATGTCCACGGTACTTCAGCCATGGTCCTGCAGCACTGATGTGATCCGTGGTGCACTTGCCCTTGACCTTGATTAGGATCGTCATATCCTCAAGGTCCTTGCCGTCCCACTTGTCGAAGGGTTCCAGCAACTGCAGCCTGTCCGATTTGGTATCGATGTTGATCTGAACGTTGGAACCGTCCTTGGCTGGCGCAACGTACGTGTCCTGACCGGGGTCGAAACCTTTGCTGGGCAGTTCGTCGCCGAAGGGAGAGGGCAGTTTGAATTTCTTGCCGTCGGAGCCTGAATATTAAAAAAATCACATAAATACCGTTTTCACTACTACTTCAATTACAAAACTGGATCCGTTAAAAAAATATTTTTGAAATTTCATGGATCATTTTCAACACGTGTCAGCAAATCATCATAAATTTAAGTCTATATTTTCAACAGACACAGTAACACAGAAATTTTGGTAGCACTTAATATTTGTTGAATATACTTTATGTACACAGTAAGACTGGAATTTAAGAAGCAATTATTAGCAATTTATGGTTTATAGTATTGTAAGAGTATCAAATAAATATAAAAGCAGGGGTCCTTCGTGGATCAGTACTAGGTCCGATCTTATTTTTAGTTTATATCAAAGGTTTAATAAATTTAAAGATAAATGGTACAATACTTTGGCAAGAGCCAGATATAGATGAAATTAGGTCAAAAATTGACAGCGATGTGTTTAGCATTGACGAAAACAAATATTGTTTCCCCTACAACTTGTCTCGTTTCTGGGCCACCGGACCTGACATACTGACGACAGACACTGACAGTACACCCAACTAGCAAAGTAGTGCTATAAGATTTTGGTAAAAGAACCGTTCAGCCATAAGAGTTGTTGCCTGAACACCAAAACGCTGGCTTAATGTTGTGTGGAATGCAAATGTGCTTTCTGCAACATATTTGCTCTAAAATGTGGTGTTTAGAATATTCTTATAGCATAGTTATACAACACCTTATATGACAAATTTTTAACTGTTGCATAAACGTTTATACATCTATTTTATACGGTATATTTGCACATCAGTCAAAATGGTTGTGTTGTGGCATCCATGGTAACCTTTATACAACAAACCCGAGCCTGGTTGTATTGCTGTTACTACTTTAGCCAACAAATTGCTCCCAACGGAAGCACTTATACAACTGTTGTTTAGTAACTGTTAAAGGCTGTACATATGCAACAATATTACAACTTTTGTAGTACACAATTGCTGTGCTCGGCATACTTCACCATAACCTAACTTTCTGCTGTCATATTTTTGGTTAAAATGCCATAACCAATGTTTTAACACAAACAACGCATGCATATTGGTTCAAAAGGTTTTATCAACTGTCCAAACAGGAGATATAGACCTGGTACAAATTCTGGGTAAATCATTCGACTCTGTCGGTATTTTATTTCAGACATTTGTCAAATTGTTGTATAACACCTGCAGGCAACACCAAAATATTCTAATAAACTAAAGGCAATATGGACGATGCCATGATTATACACAACCACCCGCCATATTGGGCAATCATTTATTCCTCTATTTAATATTAAATAATTATGTTTCAGTTCGAAATTACAGATATAAAGTGATAAACATTAGTGTAATTGTGTCTAATTCTAGGATTTGTGGAAGATTTAACGCAGATAAGTTCAGTTTTCCATCTTAAAAATCTAGACATACTTTTGATCATTATTAAAATATGAATCAAATACGAAGCCCGTAGAAATTGCGTAACTACTTTGCACGATAATCACAACAAAATTTGCTGCGCAAGTAATTTAATAGCCCTGTATCACAGTGTAGAAGTTTATCATATACCTGTGTATGAAATTCACAATGGCCGATATGTAAGTAAACAAGATGACTGTAATCTGTTAGTTATATATTCTTCACTTCGTCTATACAATACATAAGAAATAGTTTCGTTGCAATACAGTAGAATCACGTAACAGAATAGTTGTATAGTTGACAAAAACTGAATATTGCACTGACGCAAATGTCCTATAGCGGCTGCAAGAGTCTTACACTTTTGTTGTATAACTGTTACCTGCACCCTTATACAACCTCTTAAATGACTGAAGTGTCCTATTAGGTGTGCCCATTCCGCTTGTATAGCTGTTCTAAGAGGGTTTTACCAATGTTCTTACAGTATACAATGCTGTGTAAGGAATACTGCATAATCATTCTTGCAACTCTAATAGTAGTGATAATTGTTAGTTGGGCAGTGACTATGAACTAAAGGCTAAGGTCCTCCGGACTGCCTTGAGAAGCAAGTACAAATATTGTTTACCTGTCAGCTCATCAGTGAGTGGGTTGAAGTCAAGTCTTCCGGCAATACTGAGGGCGGTGACCAATTCTGGTGATGTGACGAAGCAATGCGTGGCAGGATTAGCGTCGTTTCTACCAGTGAAGTTACGGTTGTACGATGTGACGATTGTGTTCTTCTCGCCTTTTTTCACGTCTTTACGGTCCCACTGACCGATGCATGGACCACATGCATTTGCAAGCACCTGAAAAAAATTAAGACAATGCATTTATTTCCATTGTTGATTAACAATAATATCCAAGTAGACAAAAATATAGGGTGCTTTTAAAGATGGGACTGTCCATTAGCATATAATAGTTCTTGCAGAAATAAGCAAAGGATCAAGGTCTATAAGCGAGGTTTTCGGCACTGAAAATAACTCGAATTTCAAGTTGATTGCAGCTATGAAAGTTTTGCTTGAGAATATTTTTTAGAACATTATGTATTTTCAATTTTCATCAGCATTTTTTTTTTCATTTTAATACTTTATTGTTTTTTAAAGTCATAGCTCAGAATGTTGGCATTTTTGGTCAAAGTTCACCCATTTCCGCATATTTAATATCTTCATATGAGCGCAAAACATGAATGAAAATAAAAGTATTGCTAGACTTTCGAAAAAAAAACGCTCTTAAATCAATTCATCTGTTTGGAAGTTTTTGCGTTATGGGTTTAAAAATCATTTGCAAAAATGGGTCAAGTTTTTAAACGACGATTTTCATTAAAATATTAATTTAGTAATCTACAAATTAAATCCTCTCATCTGATACCCCATTCACCCCAAAATTTTTAAACAACTGAACCGATATTCATTAAATAAATATAAAAACTTTTGACTAAAAAGACACTCGAGCTCCGGTACCGCAGACAAAGATACATATATTAAACTTATAACACTCCTGGTTTTAGCGTAGGGGGTGAAAAAGATGTTGAGTTTAACCTGGCGATTGAACGTACATTCAAGATTGAACATTCAAATATGGTAGATCAGTGCATCTACACGACCAACAAACTTTGAGAATCGACTGCTAGAAGCAAATTCAATCCTACCCACTCCACTGCTCCATTGTTCTCTCAAGCGCCTTGGTGCCCCATCTGGCGGCGTTCAAGTGTCCAAGTTCAGCTGCTGTAGACTAATTGGTTAGGCCTGCGCCACGGAATGGAGAAGCTATGGGTTCGAATCATTCCAGAGCCCATTTTTATTACCTCTTAAGTTGTTGCTTACTAAAGATACTGGCTGTTGCGGATGCGCTCATCCGAAAACTCGTCATCGCACGGTGGTACCGCGGTGTGTGCCCGAGAGGCGGCGTGGTGCAACTAGAAAGCGATTGGAGATTCCTTACCAATCCGGTTGTATCATTCGAACGCCGCCAAATGGGGCACCAAGACAGCTTAAGAGTACAAGGAGCATGGGTATGATTGAAGGTGCCTCTTAACAGTCGACCCTGAATGTTGGTTGGCATCTGGTGCTGTAGAGTAATTGGCTGGTTCGGCTCCACGGAATGGAGGACATGCGGGTTCGAATCCTGCCGGCCCCTGAATTCTCCTATATCTCAAGTTGTTGTTTACTGAGAACTTGAATTTCAACACACAAAGCGCTTACAAGTCGCTCAGCAAATATGATGTCATTTGCACTTGTTTTCGATGTGCTTGTAAAAATATGGTATTCCGTAGCGTTTTTAAAAACCCCTTGTCGACTGCAAAATGACTACCAAGTGGTTGGTCTTTTGCTTATCGCTGTTTGGGCTTTTATTTTGTATGTAGGGTGTTAGGTGTTGTTGATAGGATATAGTGGTAGTTTTTGAATAGTTAAATTCCCAGTACCTAATGACATATCAGTTACAATACACTAGCCCACACTACGTCAAAATTTAAAAAAGTTTTTATTACTTAGAGCCTAATACACTAAATGAATATCCAAATATTTTTGAACTAGCATACATTCACAGCTTCAAAAGAGAATTCAAATAATGCTGCTACAGTTTCCATTTACTGGATCTATAAGTGGTTGAATATATCTCATTCTAGATTCTGTAGATATTTATAGCTATCAGTTACATATCCTTATCTGTGATGTACATGTTTTTTCCTTCCTAAGATACAGTAATGCACATTGTGAATAATTTTATTTACATTAGATATAGGTGAAAAATGGCTACGCCTATCTCCAGCCTTTTGGCGTATTATTTTTTGTATTCTGTTATATACTCATATTTTTATTCTATGTATTATGTGTTAATACTCCAATAAAATTTATTCTTATTATTATCGTAAATCTATAATGTCGAAGAAAACAGGGTGTGCAAAATTGGGAAGAAATGCTGAAATCATTTTTGCCAGTCTCTTTTAGCTCGTACGCAATAAGTAATAACGCAAAAGCAACAATATTATGAATTACTTGTACTTGCAAGACTAACGAAAAAATCATGTATGGATAAAGCACAGTTTCTTTTATTATAAAATGTTATTTCAACTTACCGTGCCGCCAAACTCTTCGAACGTTTTCGAAATTCCATCCCTCTCAATTGTAGCCCTAACCTGCTCCGATCCGGGTGTCACATTGAAAGGAATCTTAGACTTGACACCATGTTTCATGGCCTCCTTGGCGATGCTGGCGCACCGTCCCATGTCCTCGTAGGAGCTGTTCGTGCAGGACCCGATCAGACCCACTTTGATGTCAACTGGCCAACTGTTCTTTTTCGCGTTTTCGCCCAGTTTACTGATGGGGCTGGCCAGATCGGGGGTGAAGGGGCCGTTAACGTGCGGCTCTAGGGTGTCTAGGTTGATTTGGATCACTCTATCGTACTCACAGCCTGAAAGAGAATAAAGGCATGTAGACTGACTCGGTACTATTCGTGTTACTGGCGGGGAAGCATTGTAAAAAAATTTCGAAAATGAAAATGATTTTTTTGGTTGTTATATGACATGCACATCACGAAAAACCATGTCACTCATTTCCGTCATAAACATGCAAAAACATATCTCATTTTCGAAATTTTTCGTCAGTAGGCATGGAAAGTAAAATTTTAATTTTAGTGTCTTCCGACAATCTCAGTTAAATACTATTATAGATGTAGTCACCATTCTTGACAGTTACGTCACCAATGCCATATGAAATAAGTAAGCAGATCGAGTCTCCATACCATGGGCGGATCTCAATCACCAGCGCATCTGCTACTCTCTCCAGTACGCATGAAGTGGGTAACAGGGGACCGCTGTTTTCATTCTCTTCCTGGAACTCTAATAAATTCAGCACGAGCTGTCGGCCTTGTCCATTGATCGTGTTTCCGGGCATTGTACAATTTTATATTGAAGATTGATAACAGGACAACTCAAGTAAGTTGTCGCTCTGACAAATATGATTGAAGGGCACTCATACGTAACGACAAAGTTTTCGAGACGGAGACACACAACTAAAAAACGTATGTCTGAGCTTATCGAACAAACGTTCACACACAAGGGTAGGTTGCATGTGTATGTATGAGGGAGATGGAGATATATAAAGGGATACTGGTAGTCTTACTTTGACCCGCCAAGAACGGTGACTACAACTATACCAGATTCGTGGATTATCGAAGAATTTTTGATCATTCCTCCAAATCACTGTTTGTATAATCAAAGCATGCGAATATGAATAAATTGTTTTGGTATAACGTTTTTTATTCCAACACAAAAAAAGAAATCATCATGATCACTCATATACACCGAAAACCAGATTTGTCTGACGACTTGAGTTAAATGTGTACGAGAGAGAAGTGTGATTAGACACTTATGTTAGAAAGAGATAGAAGCCGGCTGGATAGCGAGGCTCATCACCGCGTTGACTAGCAAAGCTGACGCGGCAATCTGCCGCGTTGCCAATAAGTTACACCAGTTCCTTGAATCAAGGTGCATGTTGAAAATTTACGTTAATTTCTTCTTTACGCCTAAATAGTGGTTTTATTTTGAGCGTACACAGTTTTGAATTGTGTCGAATCTGTTTAAGATCGATTCCAGATCGAACCTAACGGCACTTCCTTCTAGATCGAAATGAAAGGTCAGGATCGCCATAAATTCTGCAAGATTGCATCATTGATTCGCACCGCATCTCGTACATTCCAAGGCCAGCTTTCCTCCTCCATGATAATAGACGAGCGATTTTGGTCAGTAGCCATCTAGCGCTCATTGGAGAGAGTCGTCCTGCCTCGAAATGGTTTTCGCCTGCGTATACGCAGGAAGTGATCATTTGTATTGCGTACGAGTATTTGCTACGTTTTCCGACCGCTCGCTGAAGGTAAATGTCAAAATAACTCAGGATGTGTTGATTTTATTACCATCGGTGGAAATCAAAGATAATTCTAAAATAAATTGAAACACTAAGTCGCATCAAAACTGAAATCAACAATTCTCATCAAAATGAAAACAAAATATTAAATCAAATATTCGAACAGACCTTCGTAGGTTTGACAGTAACCTAACCTATTATAGAAGCATGTGCGAACATTTTATGGCGTAACATATTGGCAACGCGGCACATTGCACGAGCTGCGTTACCGTTGCTAGACAATGTGTTGATAACCGCCGGCTTCTATCTCTTTCTAACATGTGTTTATTCACACTTTTCGCGCTTCTCTCTCGTACACCTTGAACTCAAGCCGTGAGACAAATTTTCTCAGGTACAAGAAGAACCAGATTATTACTGTTAAAAAATGAGTGCTTACGAGGGATGTCTCTTAAGTTTTGCATATAGAAACATAGTAGGCCGCGCGGATCAAACGTCAGTACTGAATCTTAACCTCACTCTTTAGTAAACTTAAATTCAAAGTTTCCCAGCAATACCTGCAGTGTTCTCACTACAGTGAATTTTTAAGTGTAACCAAGTCATTAGAAAAATGGAACTCAACCGAGAACATTTTCGCGCCATAATTTACTACAACTTTCAGAGACAATTATCGCAACAAGAATGCCTTGCTGAGTTAATGTCTGTTTTCTGCAACGATGCGCCACATCAGTCGACAATTTCCCGTTGGTATGGAGAATTCAAACGTGGACGGGTGAGTCTTAGCGACGATCCCAGGGTGGGTGCACCAAAAACGGCAGTCACCCAGGAAAACTTCGATACTGTACGCAAACTCATCATTGAAGATAGACATGTGACATATCGCGAGATTGAGGCGTCCTTGAAGATCTCAAAGACCTCAATTCAAAAAATTTTACATGAAGAATTAGGAGTAAGAAAATTAGTTTCTCGTTGACTGTTGACTTAAGAGCAGAAAGCAGCCAGGGTTAATTGGTGTCAAAAGACGCTTGACCGTTTCAATTCCAGAAACTAAAAAAATGTGTACAGCATTGTTAGTGGTGATGATTCGTGGATTTACTGTTATGAACCAGAAAAGAAACGACAGTCGGCTGTTTGGGTGTTCCAAGGTGAAGAAAAGCCAACAAAAGTCATTCGTTCTCGAGTGTTTCGAAAAAGATGATGGCAACATTTGTGTCAAAAGCGGGTCATATTGCAACAATTCCTCTTAATGAGCAAAGAACTGTTACTGCGGATTGGTATACCATTTGTTTGCCAAAAGTCATCACCGAGCTTCGAAAAATCAACCCCAAAAGAAGAATCATTCTCCACCAGGACAATGCAAGCTCGCACACAGCCCAAAAAACAAGGCAGTATTTAACGGAAGAAAACGTGGAATTATTGGGCCATCCTCCATATAGTCCCGATCTAAGTCCTAACGACTTCTTTACTTTCCCGAAAATTAAAACAGACTGCGTGGTCAAAGGTTCCAGTCACCAGAAGAAGCAGTTGACGCATTCAAAAATGCCGTTTTGGATCTGCCAGCAAACGAGTGGAATAAGTGCTTCGAAAATTGGTTCGAGCCCATGCAGATGTGTATTAATCTTCGTGGAGAATACTTCGTAAAACAATGAAGTCATTTAAAACTACCGAACGAAAGTGTAGTTTTATTTCCATATGCGAAACTTAAAATTAAATACGAGCTCAATCTTCATATAATTTATACAAATTCCGGTATTAAAATATTAACCCATTTATTCCCTTTTCCATATTATTGATCTACTATATAATGTAAATTTACTCTATTATATTTATATTGTATCAATTTACCGAATTATTTGTCTCATACACCAAGCATTGTATTATTGTATTTAATGTATTGTGAAACAAGATCCACGCACAATGATTTATTCACAGATTGTAATTAATGTAAATAAATATTATTATTTTCTTCAGTAGCATGCCTTTAAACGTTAAATGTTACATGAACTTTTTATTCGTTTTGACTGTGCTCGTCGATACATGTCCAGGCCAACAGCGAAAGCTACAATATGAATATCGCACGCTTGTATTTGCTAAGAGATAAGTGAAATTTGAATAGAGTGGAAACTCACCTTTGTCGGGGCTCAACAGCTGCTGCCTGTATTTCTCCGCTTCCTGGGCGACGGGTGACCTCTGCGTGGCCGACAAGTAATCCGCCATACGCTTGTTGAACGGGAAAACGGACGTGGTGGCACCGATTTCTGCACCCATATTGGTGATTGTGGCCATACCGGTACAAGAGACAGACTCGCAACCGGGACCGAAGTACTCGACGATAGCGCCGGTACCGCCTTTCACGGTCAGGATGTCGGCCACTTTCAGGATGATGTCCTTCGGGGAGGTCCAGCCCTTCAGTTTACCTAGAATAGGATTAAATTAATGAGAAGAGGAAACATATGATATAGTGTCGTACCAAAACGGAAGAGGCATAATGGAGCCTCACGTAAAATCTATTACGTAACACCTCTACGTTGTTAGGTCTATTTCATTTTTATATGGGGTTGAAAAATTCTGTTAGATCCTGCACCTTGGGCGTGTCGTTCGAACATTGCAGACAACTTGAGTATTCTTACAAGGAGCTTTTAAATGATTTTGTCAATATTACTAATATTACTAGGCACTTGTTTCTATTATTTCAGATTTATTATATTTTATACCGATTAATTCCGCCCTTTCTGATTGAATTATTGAGATATGTTGTGTGAATTTAAAATCAGAATTACTGTAAATTGCGTATTGAAATAATTTTTGTGGAACATAATTTCAGTTGTTCGGTGCCCCTGGATCGTTGCCTCAAAAGCAAAACGCAACCGTTGTTTGTAGTTCGCATCAACAACTGCAACTCGCTCACCGATCAACTACAGTGGTTGCGAATCCGTAGAAAACTCCAGCAAAGTAATAGGGGAGCCAGACCCCACGCATTTCGAAACATCAATTTATTTGTCAACAGATAAATATTATTATAAGAACAAGTTAATTCAGATATACACGTCTAGAACTTAAAAATTCTATAGCTATTGCATTGGTAGAATTACGAGAAATACAAAATCAATCCTATCCTAACTTATATTGGACAAATTATCAAGTTCAACACTCAAAATTGGCAACTGTATTCATATAGTAAATATGCATCTTCATTCATACTACTTAATGTACTTAATTCACTATCATGAAAGATATAATTATACCAAGGATATGTTTATCAACCTGAATTATAATACAGATAACAAGTGTCTCGTCAGAAAAAATAGGAGAATCTAGAATTACGCACAACGATGGAAATAGCTATTTATATATTTTGTAACAGAGCTCATATAAATTAAACCATAGATGAAGTTCAACAGTTTTTAAGATGGAGAAAACCACTTGTATTATGTCTTACCGAAACACATGCTACAGAAGACATCACTGATGATGAATTACAAATTACTAATTATAAAACCTGCAGATGCAACTCCAACTCCAGACATACTGGAGGTGTAGTGATTTATGTTTACCACAAAATACAGATCAAATTATTCGATTGTACCACTTTAGACTATGCATACTGGTATGCACATATACAGTTCAAATTATTTGGGAAACGTTTGATCTTTGTACTTTTTACCGTTCACCAAACAGTGATGTGGATTCATTTTTAACGTTTTTTGAAGAAAAATGCGAAGAAATGTGGAATTTTAGAAACAATATAATATTTTTAGGTGATTTTAATTTAAATTATTATCGTAAAAGCATGAAAACAAGAAAATTGAAAGAAACCATAAATAACTATGGGTTCAAGCAAAAAATTGAAGAGAGTACCAGAATAACATCATTATCAGAGACTTTGTTAGATCTTGTTATTGTAAATTTCGAATGTGCAGGGATTAAAGCTGTACATACACCTAAAGTTAGCGATCACAGTTGGACAATGCTGCCCTTTTTAGGGCATTTTTCTGATACAAAAATTAAGAAAATCGTAAATACTATTAAGTACGAAAAACTTGAACGAGAACTTGCTGGCTGCTATTGGAATTTTGATGAGAATATGGAAAAAATATAAGACAACATAATAGGAGATATAAAAACTTGGTTAGATGTTGCAACTGATAAAAAAGTGATTTGCTCGACAAAAAATACACCCTGGTATAACAAGAATATTAAGGCAGCTCAAAATTTGAGAGACAAACAATACAAAAAATGTATATTCACAAAATCAAATGATTGGGAGGTATATAAAACTCTTAAGAATAAATGTGTGCATGTAATTAGAGAAGAAAAAAGGAAATTCTACGATAAACAAATCGATAATAACAAGTGCGACAGTGTAAAGATGTGGAAGACTTTAAAAAGACTGATCAATTCGAAACCGCATGATTGTGTAAATCAAGTTCAATTCGAAAACGGTACCGAAACAAATTCTTTGGTGATTGCAAACAAACTAAATGAATATTTTGTGGAAAGTATTGTTGATATTGTGGGTACTGCCAATGATGCACCTGACTATATGAAAATCTGTTTCCAGGGGGAAATGTTGCATACACTTTCAAAATTTCACAGCGTATTATTGAATTATCTAAGAAAAAAGTAAACAGTTTAAAATCAAATAACAACTGTGCCGAAATCACTACTAAAAACGTGTTGAAAAACTGTTTCGAAATTTTGGGATATCCTATATTAAATTGGATCAATTGTTCACTGAGAAGCAGTTCTTTTCCTGAAAATTTGAAATGCTCTACAATAACACCAGTTCCCAAAATAAAAAATTCTAAAAGATGCAGCGATATGAGACCAGTAAATGTGTTACCAGACATTGAAAAATTATTAGAGTCCATAGTGCATGACCAATTAATGCAGTTTATAGAAGAAAACAACATTTTAGTGGAGGCGCAAGCAGGCTTTCGAAAAAAATATTCCACAGAAACGGCTTTCCAGTTGGTAACTGAGAATTGGAGAAGAGCCATAGACTCAGAAGAAGTTGTCATAGCAGTATTTTTGGATTTGAAGAGGGCATTTGAAACGATTGATAGAGATATTTTGTTAGGTAAATTGAAGGCATATGGTATAACAGGAAGTGTTTTAGATTGATTTAGAAATTATTTGTCTAAAAGGATGCAAGTTACAAAAGTTAATGACACTATTTCATCAAAAATTGAAAATAAGTTGGGTGTTCCACAGGGCAGTATCTATGATTTATATAAGTACTAAAAATATTCAGACTGGTATCTCTTATATAAATAAAGACTTGAAACTTGTCTCAAAATGGTTAGCATCTAACAGACTAAAATTAAATACAAGTAAAACGAAAGCCTTGTTAATAAAAAAAAAACAATGTACAAATGTTCAACTGAATATTGATGGTGAAGATATTGAATTCGTAAAAAATTTTAAATACCTGGGGGTTTTTGTTAACTCTCGATTAATTTTTGATATTCATTATGAAAAAGTTATAAATAAGATTAGTAGTAAAGTGGGATATTTATCGAGAGTTTCTGGATGTATCAGTTCATATAGCAGAAAAATTATCTATAATACCATCATTCTTCCAAATTTCTTGTACTGTTCGACTATTCTATATTTAGCAAATAATTCCATTTTTGAAAGACTGCAAATTTTACAAAATAAGTGCATGAGAATAATACTAAATAAAGATAAATATACTCCAATTAGGCAAATGCTTAGTAAATTAAAATGGCTCAATGTAAAATTTTTTTATCAAATATCTTGTAATGATATTCATTTATAAAGTAAAAAATAATATATTTCCATCAAGTCTAACTAATTTAACATCATCAAATGTCGACCATCATTTACATAATACCAGAAATAAAGATGACTTCCATTTAATGACCAAAAAGTATAACATATGCTACAAATCTGTATTCCATCAAGGGTTGATTGAATATAATAAATTATACTCAGAGATGAAAGACCAGAAAACTTTGACAAAATTTAAAGTAAAATTGAGAAATCACTTGTTAAATCTACAATTATGGGTTGCCCAGCATTTACATCATACACCATATGGCTTGAATTTACTAATTCTAAGTTGTTTACAATTATTCTGTTTATGTAGGCAAATGTGCTAAATAAATATTTCTACTACTACTACTACTACTATAGCAAAGTGCAGAAATATGAATTTGTAATCAAATATTCTGAAAAATTCTGTGAAGTATGAAGGCAAAATAATGAGAAAATATTTTATTGGGTTTGATATAAATTGATTTGTTGCACATTTTAGCTATTACATGAAACTATCTAAAACCTTTTAAAAAAAGTTTGAATTTTGTTCAATTCAAGAGTATGTGTGATATTTATGTGATTTATCCAATTTTTTATTTCCTTATCTTGCTATGAAATGGTGGTGATCACCCATAATTTAAACAAATTAGTCATGATTTATCTGTAAAAATGTTATCTGTCCAAAAACTTTTTTGTGAGCGGATCATACGCGATACATTATTTAACAGATTACATAATAGATAATAATTAATAATGAAATAGTATTTTCTATCATGATCTGGAAACTTTCACAACCATCGGCACTAGGGAATTCCTTAAAATTTCACCTAACATCCAACTGTTTAGGCTAATTCTTGAGTGAAGTATGCTATATTCTATATACACATTGTAGAGTTAATAATGGCAAAGGGTTTGTCATCATGGATAGGAAGGACAGTAGACTTTGTAAACTTTTCTATGTATTTTTTTAACTTTCTCTGACAAGATACAGAAAATTGACATTTCATAATTTCTTGTGATCATCTCTAGTACTTTGGAATTCTTGCAAATCGTTTTGCCCATTAAAATGAAAATTGAATGTAATTACAACTATTAGGCGTAAAAATTACACCCACAAAACCTGGCAAAGTGTTTATTACACCTAAACGTTCGGCGTTCGTCAGTGAAATTCGGATTGAAAACACTCCAAATAAAAATAGCCAAAGTTTAAAAATAAAAATATTATTGTGGTGCCATTGACCATGAGCTATATCTATTTTCTGTTTTTACAATATTATTTTGAAAATGGTTCCTCAGTATTGGATACCAGTGAAAGCAACGAACATCATGACTGCTACACACAAAACAGTTTTTTATCAAGGATATGGATATTTCAAAGCTATACTAATAATAGTAAAAAACCTTACCAGTGAGCTCTACACCAATAACCTTGGGGCACTTTAACTCCCAAGGAATGTCAGCCATGACATCAACTGCATCAGCACCTCCAACACCAATGCAAAGTCCACCCAGACCTCCTCCATTTGGTGTGTGGGAGTCTGTACCAATCATCAGAAGACCAGGGAAAGCATAGTTCTCCAAGATGATTTGATGAATGATACCTACAAGGAGAAATAATCTCATTAAATGTAACCCAACATTTATAGGAATTTACTGCAAATGTACTTTCTGGAAGTGTTGCTCTTCAAGAAAATAATGAAGGAAGGTTTAAAATCTGTTAGGAACGTTTCAATAATTGGAGCAACAGTAATGCCCGAATTCAATATCCAGGGATCAAAACATGGTTCTAAGCAACAAATTCTTACATAATACCCCTGCCAGAAACATTCAAAATTATCTATCTCAAGTATGTAGTGAGACTGTTATTTGCAATAAAATGCTCAGTAATTGTTGTCATATGGATATATTGTATAAAAGTTAAAATATTGATCTGTGGTTTGAGCAGTGATTAAAAATATAAAACCTTCTTTCTGACTGGTCAAATTTGATACGATCAAATTTTGGTTCTGGGATCAAATCAAAAAATAGGTTTTTGTAGCTAAACCAGTTGACTAATGATTTGATATGGAGATTAGAGGATCATGTTACACAATTCGTATAATTTTTTGCAAGTTTGAGAGATATTTTAGAAAAAATATACAACCATATTCATTGGATTCAAAAATACCTTGTTATTGGTCGAATCTCCCTAGAAGCAAATTTTGATCCCCGCGAGTCTCAAATCGGGCCTAAGTGACATGGAAAAATTTTGAAAAATAAAAACTTACCGGAGCCAGGCTTCCAGAAGCCAACACCATACTTGGTGCCAGCAGAGGCCAAGAATTCATAGACCTCTTTGTTAATGTCCTTTGCTCTAGACAGATCTTTTGAGGCACCCACTTGAGCTTCAATCAAGTGATCACAGTGAATTGTGCTGGGTACAGCCACTTTTGGAAGACCACTGGAGATGAATTGCAACATGGCCATTTGGGCTGTGGCATCTTGCATAGCCACACGATCGGGTCGCAGGCGCAGATATGATTGGCCACGAACGATTTCCTGTAGGAGATAGGAGACAGTATGTCAAGTGTTGGGTTGGTTAATTTTACATGTTTATATAATGTCAGTTTAGTTTTGAATTTTCTTGATTCATGATTGCCAATCTCAGGGCTTCGTTCTTTTTATTAAAGCATATTCATTGTTGACAAACAATATATATTTTGTTTGTTTGTTGAAGATTTATTTAGCATTAATGCTACAATGTCAATTTTGTATAGGTAATTATTCACTTACATATTTTTCTTCAATCCATTTTCTGTAATTTTACATTCTTGTCTATTAAAATTACTATGCATTTAAAGTATTCATAAAGTGATTTTTTAATTTCACCTTAAGCACTTTTAAATTCTAACACTGTTTAATATCATTATTCAATTTATTGAATTGAAATTCTCCCTTCTGAAATATAGATTTACTAGCTATGATACTACTTTTATGAAAAGGCAATTCTCATCAGGATTTTAAAAAAAATTGGCTTGGGATTTAGGGTCGGAAAATGACTTTTTTTAAATTGCTCCTATTTATAATTTGATATCTTCAGGTCTTTTCCACATTTACATGTTTTTTTCATAATCCACTTTTCAAAATAATTGATTTTGTTGTGCATCTTTCATAACAGTATTTAGCTAATACTCTGTTAGTTTGTCAGTACTTGACCAAAATTTGCATGATAAATTGCTAAAAATACAAATAACAGAACATAAACTCTTGCATTATTTTGTTTTAATCATAGTCATCATAATTGTTTTTATGAGACCAAACAAAAATATATCTTAGGATTGAAACAGTATTGTTTCAGTAACTGGATGTAGCATTTATACTTAACATAACCATTGGTTTCATTCAAATATGTATATTTATAATGAAACTTATTATAAGAGTAACGCAAATATACCTTAAAGAATAATTCAACATTTATCTATTCCTATAGTTAAGGATGCATGATAGCGTAATAGACCAATTGATATCAGAATACTATTAGACTGCTTAATAGTGTTGTTATAAGTATTTTTTTAAGCAATACATGGGTTACAATTATTCAAAACTATAGGTAGTTTAAAAAGAAAAGGTAATTTCATTCAATGTCAAAGAAGACACACACATAACCTAGGATTATTATGTAACAACATAGTTTCATTCCAAGAAAAATCCATGTTTACTTCCTTATGAAACATTCCAATCTACATCCATATGAAAAAATTATATAATCAAAGGTTAGCCTTTATCAAATGAATTTTGGACTGGGAATCATACACTTCTTCTGCTTACCTGGGACTCTGGCTGATCGATGTGAGAGTAAAGTACTTTTTCAGAGAGTGTGAGGGGCCTATTCAGCCTCTTTTTGATCACATCCAAGTTTTTCGTTAGTTTTTCATATGGAAGGGGGTCTTTGTCGAACTTGCTCATAGCCACCTTTGCAGCTGCAGATGTTAGGGGGGATGCATGGAAACATCTTGACTGGATCTCACTGAAGAGGAGGCTGCTGGCTTTGCCCCCCTAGAATATAGATATGTAACGTTAATAACCACAAAAAAGCTCTAGAGGATAACCTCGTGACTGATATCCAAGTCAGAAAGGATTAAATTGTGATAAATACTATAAAGACTTACCTGGCGATGCAAAACTCGCGTACAGTACGCCATGGTAGCAAAGGCTCCTACACAGCACTATATTTCAATGGTTCTAAAACGTAGACTTTATTGCTAGGCTATCATTCGCCGGCGAATCTTGATCGTGGACTTCACCTTTTGGAGCGTACCCCTTCTCTGACTCCACTGTTTTAAATTAACTTTTATCAGCTCGGTTTATTAACGTAACAGATTCTGCTTCGCGCATGCGATTGTCCGACAATGCGGTATCTTTCCGTATCACCTATTTTTCGTCAAGGATAAAAAATACTATTTCAAGTCCGATTTTTATAAAAAAAGTGACAATTGAAGCCAGTAATTAAAATTATTTTCATTAAAAAATTGACATAAGCAGACGAAATTGTGGTTTGCTAATGCAGTAGGTTTGAGTGTGATGCTTATATTTACCACGTTTATAGTCTGTTGTTCATATAAGAACCAGTTTAAATTCCAAATTTCAATCCAATTGATAAGAATAAAAAGTTTATTTTCTATTTACATTTTATTTTAAAATTGTGCGCCGGTTCACCATTGTGAACTACTGTCAATTGTTTGTCATGTATCATTGAAATGACGTATAACTGACAGATGTCTGTGTTCCGTGATATACAGTGTCGCCATATTTCAACTTTGTTATAGTCCAGACCGGATAGATAAATAAAAATGGTAAAGAAAAGCTAGCTACAGACGCTGTTCTTCTTTAACATCTTTCACGACGTACCTTCCGTAGTCGCGGTTCTCCAATCCAAACCATCGCTGGCAGCGACTGCTAAAAATAACTACGGCAATAGCCGATTGAAGAGCTAATCACCACCCGGACTAATAGCAAATATAAGACTTTGCCGAGTACCTGACAACATTGAATGACGTCATCAAAAGTTGTTTCTTGCTTTTATGTTCCATGCTTTTAAAATTTGACAAATTGTGATTTTTAAGCTGTACGCCATTTTGTTTGGCTGATTTCTTGTTGACTCCTTTAAATCTGCTTACGTTTTTAATAAGAATCTATCCAACATTACGTGATTATAAATATATTTGAATAAATGGTTGGATATCGGATTTACATGTAAGGGTTTTTGAATCTTGGATTTGGACAGTAAAATAAAATTTATCTTTACCATGCCCTGATAACAGTCTCGCTCTCGCATCAGTTTTTCACCTTATCGTTTCGGTAAGTTGCAAGTTGCGTAAACTGCATTCCACTTTCTACTATTATCATCATCAGCTATGGCTGCCTAGGTAGTCTACACATCAGATTAGAAATATGACTATATGCAAGCTAGACGGGAAAAAAAAGCTCTGATGACATCTTTGTGTTGCGCCTAACTTGATTCTGTCTGTCTTCATGAAAAGCCGTAGAAAAACCACTAATAGGAAAAGTCTAGGGTAACTCGTATATTATACAAAACCGACTCGACAAATTAATATTACCTTCACAACAGAGCCGGACTCGCCGTTAGAGCGTCAAATTTCTTCTCTGTGACTTACTTGCGAAAGTCCCAGTGCCCCTGCGTCCACACAGTCATGCTGCCTTCCTGCCCTATATTCTATTTTCATGTTCAAATAACCATATTGTACTGGTAATTTAATTTCCAAGTAGATGACTGTACCTGTTTAATAAGTAAATTGTTCTGGCCTGCCCCAACAGAAGATAGTTTCGTTTATTATGATCCACCCTGGCCTGTACTTCTAAAAGTTTGGCTCTCACTGCGTGACCTTAGTTTTTATGATCCTGTATTAAATTATTTCAAAACAGCATTTTTTTTGCTTACTTTATTTGCCTAATCATTGTGGAAAATACCCCATCTGTATCAATATATAAAAAAGATTTATTTGTTTACAATGAATTTTGCAGCTTAATTGTTTTTTGTCTATCTAAATTTCAAATGATCAAGAATCAAATTACATCTTGGATTATATCCTTAAAAGTTATAATTTTTTAATGAAAATCAGAAGGAAGTGTTAACACAAACATAATAAACCTAAGATTTACTATAATAGATATCCATTATTTTTTTTAAAAAAATGTTTTTGTTTACATATGCTGTGTTAAAAGTGGCTTCAATAATAATACTTCACAATACGTGCAAACTAAAATCCAACAACTATTCAGTTCAGTTCTAACATATAGTTTCACTCTTGTAGTGGTTGATTCTGGTAATAGATGACACTTTGTGTTGTCTTATTTTGATAGACCTTATACCTCAGATAGAGTATAGTTGCTCAGCTTTTTTCCATTGTTCTACCCAAGACAAAGCCTAGACCATGCTGATGAGTTTTATTTTATTCCATAAATAACTAAATCTCATTCATTTTTTCACAGGTATAGTTTATAGTGAATTGACCCAAATGAATAAATAAGGTATTCCCACAGAAGGCTGCTACATAACAAAAAATGGAATTTGCACCACCTATGATGAATCATCCACCCCCCAATATGGGGGCCCCTCCACCAAATTTAGCCCAGCCACAAGGTATGAAATTATTTTATTCTATACTATTTCATCATTTAAACTTTTTGCCATGTATTTGTAGTTCAAGAGAATGCTTAGAGTGATTGATGTCTAATCTACTTCTGTTGTTTTCCAGGATTTATTCGCCCACCATTCAGACCCTTCATGAATAAACCCCCCTTGCCCGGGCCTCTAGGAAATATGACATTAGAAGATTTTGATGGAAAACGTCTCAGAAAATCTGTAATGAGAAAAACTGTAGATTACAATTCCTCAATTATTAAAGAGCTGGAAGTGAGTAGTTATAGGTTCTTTAGTCAGTTAAAAAAAAGCAAGCAAAATACAGAATTGACCTTGAGTAATATTAATAACTATAAATCACCATACCTTGATATGCGACCATTTTTTTTTTTACAGAACCGCGTCTGGCAGCGTGACTGCAGAGACAGAAGAGCACTTCAACCAGATGCCATGTACTATCCAGACCTAATGCCTCCACCAAGTTATCCTGACAACCCCATCAACTGTGTCACAACAAGATTTGTTAAAACAGCCACTAACAAGATGAGATGTCCAATCTTCTGCATGGCATGGACACCTGAAGGCAGGCGTTTGGTAACTGGCGCCAGTTCGGGGGAGTTCACGCTATGGAACGGTTTAACATTCAATTTTGAAACAATCCTCCAGGTAAGTCATCTATTTCTTAAGGTCCTCTCTCACCAGTACGCCATGGCTTTGTCTCCAAGAGTAGCATAATTAATTTATTAAAATATATAACACTGTCAGTTTGGTGATGTCACCTAATAGATTGTATTTTTGAATATACAAAAGCTAAATGTGTGGTGTTGAAGATGGGACATTTGGATAACAAATATGATAATGCTCTCTTGGCCGCTGTATTGAGCTCGTCAATTATCGCTTTAACCAACAACCATTATACAATAAGCTTACTAGCCGGAAATCGACCCTATTTTAGAAAAATTGTAATAAGTTGTTTTACAATGTAATTATATTCTTGCTGGGAGAAGAAAGACACAGAAAACTGTTTGGTAATTTTTTTATTGAATGTTACAAAGTTGGAAAAATAACTTTATCACATTATATTCAAATAGTTGGAACTATTCTTGTGAGTTAAAGAACTACAATGGTTAAATATCAAAAATTTCATAGCCTACTTGGTCTTCATTTTTATATTCAAGTTGAAAAATCATCTTCTACCAAATCACTTAGAAAATTTTATTGTATTTAACAATGAGTGCCACAATTATTCTACTAGAGGAAGTATAGACTTTCATTTACAAAATTGCGGTAGCAATATACCGAGCAAGTCAGTATTTCAGAAGGGATTGTACGAAGTTAATAAATTAAGTAATGATATCAAGTTGTGTGTCAGTTTGAAAATGTTCAAAGGGAAATTGAAAAAATGTCTCATGGAAAACCAGAATTCATAGTAGTGAAATTTTGTATAAAAATATGTAGTCTTGAAGACATAATATATTTTGTGATATACTGTGTAATATGGATATTATGGACATTGTAGCATTAATGCTAAATAAATCTGAAACAAAACAAAAAACAAAGAGTGGTCCAAAAAAGTTGTAGATGGCAATGATTACAGAACAAAAGAAATTCACAAATATAACACAAGTTTCAATAATGAATTAATTCCAGAATGCACAAGGCTATCAAAAACTAGACATGGAAGTAATTTTTTTGGTTATAATTCTTTAAGGTTCTGCCCAGGTTTTGTCATACACTCAACACAACCTTTTTTAAACAAACTGTAACAACATATTTACTAGCCAAAGCTTTGACAGCATTGACGAGTTTTTAAATGATGATTTTACCGACTTTGTTCCATAATTGTTTACTGTTAGTTTTTGTTATTTTGTGTTTATTTAGATTTTGTATTGCTTTTTATTTGTTCACATGCTGAGACTTTTCTTGACGTGTGTAAGCACTTTTGTATACAAACAAGCATAAATTATTGAAAAAATATCTTCAAAATACCTTGCTGTTTGCCTATTGACACTGCCAATTTGCTGTAATGGTTAATTTATTAAGAAAAAAGCTAAAAATTTTCGATTTTTACAGTTAATGTTTAGAGGAAAATGCATAACAAATAATCTGAAATGATAACCAAGAATTGAATCCTTTGCCATGCTTAACATAAATAATCATTCAAAAGTGCTCAATAGTTTCTCCAAATTTATATTGTTGTTATTTTTACTTCCCACGCCTACTGGCGAGAAGTACCACTCAGATTTCGATGACATTTTTACACAATGTTGCTACTATGCCAATGACGTAAAAGCTTTGTTGTTTTTGAAAATTGATCCAGTGGCGGCAGAGAAAAAGGCCAAAAAATGGTAAAGAATGAAAATTCCCCAAACTTCGTTTTTTGACGTTTAAGAGGATCCTGGTAATTGAAAACAAAAAGGTAAAAGACTCCACAATCTCCATCTCAATGTTTCATTGTTAGTACATTTATACGCTCCCAAGCTTGGTAATCCTACACACCTATTAGATATATTTCACACATCATAGGTTTCTCCATACATTACCCCTTAAAAACTGGCGACATTGCCAGATGTACTACTGTTAGGGCAAGGGAAGAATGTCTAGGGACTACTTGACTGACTTTTTTCTCAGAGAAGATTAGTTTGAGCTGAACATAATACTTTATGAACTGATTATGCATTGTGTGGGGAGTGCACAGTTAACCTACATGACGCCATTTTTGGTTGTTGAGAAAAATGGCCTATAACATTCCAGTGACAACAAATGATCTGTTTCAATAAAATTAATAAACCAAGTCTCTAACAAGCGAATGCGCCCAGTATGAGGATAGTTCCCATGAACTTTTTTCTAGGGTTAAAATGGATATGTTTGCTTTCCTTTTTTGTTATTATGAGCAACTGCAGACAGTGCTGTTTCGTGTTCATTAGCAACTCACCAGTGTGAAAACAGACGAACGGAAAGCAAACAAGTGGGTATATTTTGAAAAACTCAAAAAACTGTGTGGAAGTAGGAGATCTCCACCTACCAATGGTTTCTCAAGCTGATCTTCATCTCATGTGATACACCTCTGGCTCATAACCAATGATGGGCGTTTAAATTAATTGTCTACGTATCAATGTATACATTGTTTATACAATGAATACAATGTATACAATGATGAAGACAGTGTATAGAATAGCATAAGTGAGGTTAGGTTTATTCGTAAACGTCAGAAAGTTGGTGAACAGTGAACCCGCAAAAAAATATGCTTGGCCGCCCTAAGAACAAAGAAATCGATGAACTAGGGTTTATTTTGTTTAAAAATGAAAAGACATTCCGTAGAGTGTAGTGTCTGCAAAAAAAGTTGTCCAATTCAACTGAGTGAAATCAGTCCTTTGGGTGACTTTACTAAGCGTGGATTTTGTTTCCAGAAAGTATTTTGCTTTATTTTACTGAAGAAATGTTACTAATTTATTTAAAACTGTATCTTTGTATACATATATAAATAAATATTATATAGATATTTATACCCTTTCTCATTATTTATAAACTGCTTTCACAGTCAAGCCAAAAATGTAATGTTGCAAAACTTTCAGTTCCATTTGAAATCGGAGAACCATTAGGATCGATCCGGAATTGATCCTAAACAGATTCGACAGAGATGTGTATTTGGGCGTAGAAAACAGCAAGTTACAGCCGTGTTCTGTGGCCTTCATCACTGTTGTGCCAGGCAACATGGTGTGTGACGCACTCTTCCTACACAAGTGGTGCCCTCTTTTCCCCCCTCTCTCTCTCTCTCTCTCTCTTCCTCGTACACATGGAAATCTAAAGGGGAAAAGGACTTTCGGCAGCACTATATGCAAGTTGTTGAACTATGATTTGCTATTGTATACATTGTATACGTGAATATCGAGACGTATATATTCACCTTGTATTCGCGTATACCATGGTGTATTATACATGATGTATACAATGCACCCCATCACTGCTCAATGTTCTGGAAATCAGATTTCTCACCTACTTCCTTACATTTTTTTTTGTATCAATGACGGGCTTTTTCACATACTTACAGCTTACTACGATTTTCTCTCTCGTATTTTAGATATTTTGTCTATTAATAAAGTTACTATACAAAGAGTACCGTAAAAGTTTTGACTTGACAAACGGACTCGGGAGGCTGCATGTTACTGCATGATGAGCTATGTCCAGGAGTGCATAGCTCTTCATTCGTATTGACAGTGTAAAGAAGGGCAGTTTTACGGTATAACTTTACTCGTGGTTTAAGCAATCTCGGTATGTGAGCATCGTGGTGACGAGACTTGCCTCTATTATTACGATGTGCCGACCAAGGCTCAAAACAAAGTTTGGGTCTTTAATGATGAGAACACACCCGTAGCTGTCAGAAAATCTCGATCTGTTAAGAGAAAAATGATAGTTGTATTTTTAAAATCGAGCGTGATTGTAGAGCATGTTGTTTTGGACACACAGAAGGCAGTCACAGCTAAGTGGTACTCTGAAAAGTGCCTGCCTAAAGTCTATGACAAATCTGCAGTCAAATCAAGAATGGACACTTGGTACCACCACTATGACAACGCTCCAGCTCACCACCCCAAAGCCTGCACCGAGTATTCGACCACTACTGAACTGATACTTATTGAGCATGCTCCTTACAGCCCAGATCTTGGTCTCTGCGACTTGGTACTGTAAGCTAAAAGAAAACGGTTTTCTAGCGATGAGGACCTTCTGATGACTTGGGACAACGAGTGTGCCGCACTCCCGGGTGGAACTTGGCAGATCTGGTTTAAAGACGGGTTTTGGCGGATGAAGATGTGGTGGAAATTACTTTGAACGAAGTCAATAAATAAAGCTGTATTGCAAAAGTTTTGTAGTACCCTTTGTATTCGTTCGGCGCAATGCAGTATCTGAAAGAATATTCAGTCAGAACAAAATCGCCCGCATCGCCTAAGAGTAACGCGATGTCGGCCTAAACAGTGTTGTTAACGCCTTACCAACGCGGACACGTCGTATTGCACTATAGAATCAAGTCCACCTACTTGACGGCATTTTATTGTTACAGGCCCACGACAGTCCGGTGCGTACGATGGTATGGAGTCACAATGACAGCTGGATGGTGACTGGGGACCACGCGGGTTACGTCAAATATTGGCAGTCTAACATGAACAATGTGAAGATGTTCCAGGCACACAAAGAGGCACTTCGCGGCATAAGGTATCTACAACTTCTATCTGCAATCGTCCTATTTGTACATGCAGTTGATATTTTAATAAAAAGAACCCTTTTCCTCATTTTACTACGTGCGTACGTGGAACAGTTCAGGATAATGTGATTTTCAGTGGGTTGTAGAATTGAAAGTAAAGTGTTTAGCCAAGAGGTGCTTGTCAGAAATATTTGACTTGGGTCATGAAGACTAAAGACATAGTGTCAAACTCATTATGTACTTACAGGTGCTGCTATGCCATGACTAGAGCCACATGTTTCTTGAAATGACAAAAAATTCCAAGATACACCAGTAATAATGTTGGATTGGTACTTGTGTTATGGTTGTCATTAGTGCAGGTGTGGCTCTTTGCATCAAAGGGAATGATTCTTACTAGGTGTTGCATGCGCGACGATGCTGCACAACTGACGGTTTATCCAATTTCTTACATCAATTTTGTTCAAGGTCAAATCGATCCGTTGAGTCAGAGGGGGTCACTTAGTCAAGGTTCAGTCAGGACAGGCCCCAGTGCGTTTTATATAAGTTAATTAGAATCATCTTATTTTTAAGTCTTCTTTTTTGTTTTCTTATGAAACGATTTATCTCTGCCAGATAGACAGGAATATTTTTGTGCATATGAAGATGTCTTGGTCCGGTATGGCAGTCTTCTGCCGCAAGGAGTCCCAAGAATGCATAAAAACTATTTAATGTCGGGATACATTTCATTATCGCAATTTTCTATAAGACACAAAAGTTATTAGTGTTTGAACGCGATTCGCCAGTGGAGGGTCATGGTCTGGACCTCTGTTGATTTTGTCACACCTCTCCAACATTCTGCCTTCTCGAATTCGAAGACGAGCGAAGAAATCAGGTCAAAAAATGTACATAATGGACAAATTATGAATTTTGGATATAAGAGACTTCTCCCCTTAAAGCAATAGATTTTTATGCATCTCACACATGGTTTTCTGATTCGACTCCCCATTGAAAATTATCTTATCTCGAATAGTTTAATGTTTGGCTGATATGAAGATAATTATTTTTAAATAAAGGAATTATAATAAAGGTTGTGATATAATTAACACTTGAATTTAGCTGTGATTACCGAGTTGTAATTTTTTACGTTCAATAAATCCGTTATCAAAGACAAACTCGGAGACTTTCCCAGGCCTCTTTCCAAACACAATATTTTTAAACTGTTGTTTTTAAAGATGCTTGGGAAAGCGTTTTTATTTTAAATCCTCGACCCGGGCTTTTAAGAAATAAAATAATTTTAATATATACCCGTTTTTTATTCCATCAGTTTTTAAGGTCTCATTATCACATGAAGAAAGTTGAAAAAAATTGAGGCAGGTAATACTGGTGTCTTGGAATAAGCATTGTCTTTAATTATACTTTTATTTATTGAAATAAAATCGTATTTAGTTCGTTCGTACCAGTACACCTATAATTGGAAACTGAAACAACTTTAAGCAAGCGGTTTTCATTTGAAATGGGCTGAAGATTCTACATGCAACTCATTAGGGAACATTAAGTTACCATGGATATGTATCTCGTCATGTTTATTTATTATTTTAATACCCAGTAAGCGTGCAAAATATTTTCCGACGATAATCCCAACTGATAAGGAAGTACATACATTTTTGAAATGAGCTTTTTGTCGGTTCTGTCTACCGATTTCCCTCTTTCCGGTGATATTAATTTTAATCAATGTAAATTATAGATATTTGTTATGATTTTCTAGTAGCTAAATGGAGATCACATACATAAACATAGCAAGCATTCCCCTTTGAGTATCTTTACAAAAAAACAAATCATTTGTTTGCTGTGATGTCACGCATATAAGGTGCTGAAGGAGCATGGTCAATTTCTATTTTTATTCCGTTAAAAATAAAAATATTCCTTTAAAATACAAGGTTTATCAAACAGGTCCATCCCGACTTACTTTTTGAATGTATCAAGTTAGCAAGCTAAAATTTGGGGCAATGAAATTGATGTGTGTATACTATATTTTAGCGTAAAAGTGGCAGTTGAGAGCTATTTTGGAACATTTTTTTAAAATGGAATGAGGGGGGAGGGGTCGTGTGAACCCTCATTTTGAAGTTCCTTATGCGTACTTAACTCTAGATCAAATTATCTTCATCTAGAAAATGGCGGCGAACTGACTGTCAAAGTTGAGCATTTTTGTACTTTGGTCGTTTATAGCTCAACAAACAATCATCAGCATGAATGTTGTATCAGACTTCTTTTCTTGGAATATGTATATGTAATATGGTACATTTTATTTAAAAAATGTCAAAATCTGAATGTTCCATGTTTTAATGATCATTCGGATAGACCCTTCCAAAACAAGAATATTGATGTAAACTATAACGTTTTGATGATTAGATGTTTAGTTATGAGCAATTCAATGTTCAAAAACGCTCAACTTTGACAGCGTACCAGTCCATCATGTCAAAAGCCAGAGATTTTATATACTACAATTATAAAAGACTCATAAGAAGCTTAACACATAAAACCCCCCATTCCATTAAAAAAAAATATCCGCAATCTTGTATTGTAATTGTTGTTTTTACATTAAAATAAAGTATTCGTGCGTCAATTTTATCATCCCGAATTTCAGCTTTCTAACTTGACACGTTCGAAAAATAAGTAGCGGGACGTTTGTGAAGAGCACTGTACAGTATACCATTACGTCACACTATTTTTTACGGATTTTATTCAATACCAGTTTAGACAGTCTACGTTATATTTTTATATCAAACGTCTGAATTTTGTTAGAATAATAAACATTCTTTGATAAGGACTTCAACCTCAAAATTTGTGAGGAAAAACAATACATTTTTCCTGAAACTATATTACTTTGAAAATCACTAGGATTCCATTGAATCAGGTGCTACATATCGGAAAATACCTTATCCATCTTTGCGAAGTAAGATCATTAACATACTTGTTTTCTTTAATTATTTGTGAATGTATATTTAAATTTAATAAAAACAAAGCCCTCACGCGCGTTTTAGAACGTCGTCATTGGTGCTAAACAGAACATCTACCAGCACAATTTCGTCATACATCACGCTGGAAGAAGCTGCAATGATCCCCATATAATTTATTGATGTCTTTACCTTTACATTTTTGTAATGTGTATTTGCTTTGAAATAAAGTTTTCCCATTTATCCCCTTGAGCACTGGATGTAAAAATTGGAAATAAAGGGTAACCATCCAGTGATTAGGGGGAAAGTTATATTTTATATACCTATTCCTGACTGTTATTCAGCTATAGCTATACCGTGTGGGACGCATTTAGTGATAAAAATTCATTTTATTATAACATTTAAGGTTTCAATCGCATGGTGCCTTACTCCTCCATGTTTTTTAGTTCCAAATCATATCATTTTGTTTTGTAAATGTTGATCTGAATGTCCTAAAACGTTCAGAAATTCGTAACAATGCAAATTTTCCTAAACAAAAGTAAAAGAGTGTCTTTTGGGTCTCTGGCGACTGCTGATGAATTTTTCGATCGCGTAGTATTGTAATTTTCGATTCGCAGCTGGATTCCTTCAATCCATATGTACGTATACAAGTATGTACCTGACAATAGATATCCTGCCTGGTAAAATTGATCATATTTATTCATTTCACTAACGAAGAACGCTATGTTTACGCCGGTATTGAAATCTGAAAGTAAACAGATAACCGTTTTTTTTTTTGCTGACAGCTTCCAATCTTCCAACATATGTGACTGAGGCCTAGTGACATTTTGCGCAACTTTTCCAACCAGTACTTTGGCTGATGTCGTATAGAGTGAAATCCATACATCACTGACGCCGTAATGTGTACGAGAAGCGTGCAATACGTATGTCAGAAAGCGATGTAAGCACCACGTTGCCTAGCAACCCGAGTGACGAGGCCACGGACATTCATATTGCAGGCTTCTCGTACACATTACCTCGTCAGTGATATTTGGATTTCTCTGTATATAGGCTGTAGACGGTTTTCTGTTGACCGAGTCGACGTCACTCGAGGCCTTAAATATGTACAGGCAGGTGAATTAGTCCCAGTTCACTGCTATAGTAATGTACTTCCTCATTAGTTGTAATATAACATTGAGATCATGTAAATAAATAAATGATGAAAATATTTTTTCTTTATTTTTGATGTGCAATGTTCACTTTGTTTAGCTTCAGCCCCTCCGACAACAAGTTCGTAACGTGCTCAGACGATGGTACTTTGAGGATCTGGGATTTTTTCCGTTACCAAGAAGAGAAGGTGCTCAGAGGTAAGTCTAAAAAATATGGTGCATTTCGTGATAAATATATAGTGATTTGTATTCTGTGAGTGACGAGTGAAAAATACGCTCATTCTAGGATTATTTTTTTGACATCGCTCAGTATCACCAATTTTATGCATTTTTTGCCTCGCCTATATAATCCTGCCAGTGAATCGTCGTCTAATGAATAAGTTTAAACAAACAATGTAATGTGGAAAATAAATTCTAAAAGCACAACGCAATATTTTGTTGTAGCATCCATGGTTGTATATACACACCTTATCTATCATAAATAACAATGAAATAAAGTTTAGTTTTAATACAATTTGTTCGCAATTACGGAACGTAAATTTTGTTTGCCCGAAATAATTCAAATCTGAACGTCTCACCAGAGTTTTCGTTAAGATGATACAAGGTTTTGTAAAAATTTTTACATGCACAATGGGCATGCCAAGTGAACATTACATAATATATAGTTATTGGCGGTTACATCATCAACGCCACGTGAAATAAGTAAACAGGTCGAGTCTCCGTAACTTGGCGAATCTTAATCTTCAGCGCATCTGCTGCTCTCTCCAGTACGCATGAAGTGGGTAACAGATGCCGCTGTTTTCTTTCTCTTCCTGGAAATATTCTAATAAATTTTGCACGAGCTGTGGGCCTTCTCCACTGATCGTATTTACGGGCATTGTACAATTTTAAATTGATAATAGGACAACTCGAATTGCACGCCGATGTCAAGTAAGTCGTCACTCTGACAAATATGATCGAAGGGCACTTCATATGTCTTTGAGCTTGCAGAACAAACGTTCACACACAGGGGTAGGTTGCATGTGTATTTATGAGGGAGATGGAGATATATAAAGGTATACTGGTAGTCTTACTTTGACCCGCCAAGAATAGTGACTACAATTATACTTGTGTATTATTTACAATTGTTAGTTCGTGAAAATCTTTTGGAGATCCAACAGTTGTACGTGTTAGAAAATAAAACTATACTTGGTGCAAATTGTTTTTCATTATGTCTCCGAGGTATATCTTATGGGTTCGTGATTTCAGCCAGTCAATAGCTTCGCTAGCATTTAGCTTTAAGCTATTTTGAGTGACCAAAAATAACAGAAAAAAGGCGTTTCAAGAATGTTACAACTGTTTCAATTTCAGCATCATTTTTTGTCAAATTTACACGGATCACGAGATCTAAGCCATTTTATTTATAAAACTTTTGTCTACCCGTCTAAAATTTGATGATTATCGAGTGGGAATTTCAAGTAGACCTATACTTCCTATGTAATATCTATGGGACTTATTGTGTTGTAACTTAAAGATTTGAAAAGAAATAATGACTTCTAGGACACGGAGCAGACGTCAAGTGTGTTCACTGGCATCCTCAAAAAGCGCTGATTATTTCGGGTAGTAAGGACAACCAACAACCTATCAAGCTGTGGGACCCCAAAACAGGACAGTCATTAGCCACGCTGTAAGTAGAATAATACTAGAACATTAGCTAGTTTGACAGAAGTTTATTTTCCATAAGAATTTTAATTTGATACCATCGAAAAGTCAAATGAAACGTGCGTGAAAATCTGTAGATATCCAGTAGATGATATTGATTAACGTATTCTACCTAAAGATAGCCAACCTAATGCTATATACCGACGTGCACAATTTTTTTGAGATAAAATAAGATAGTGTAGTGTCAACTATGAGAATTTTCACAGCTGTTTATTTACTATATACTTTGGAAAGGTTAGTGTCTCATAGATGGCGCCACATGTATGGTCATATACGAGTTTGTGCTTATTACAGCGGCATCTACGAAACACTAAGTTTTTCAAAGTATTAAATGATGCATTTAAAACAACAGTTATACTCCTGTTTCCAAAAGCGGTGTAACATCAAATTATAGACCCATATCAGTACTGTCGAATATAGCCAAAATTTTCTAAAAACTATTACAAAAAAGGATATTGGACAAAACCAAAATTATAAGTTTTGTCCAATATGATTTAGAAAAGGGCAATCGACTACAGATGCAATTCTGGCTGCAATAAATGAAATTAACTCTAATGTCGACAGAAAAATACCTACTATTGGTATCTTTGTTGACCTAAAAAATGCCGTTGATATGGTGAACCATATCGAGCTTAGTTATGGAAAGATTTGGATTTAGGGTAACATCACAAATCCTATTAAATTACCCTTTCAGGTCGGGAACAGACTGTCCAAATCTCTAATTCCAGTAAAAAATTAGACATCATGTGTGATGTACCTGAAGGAACAATAGTATTATTTAATCTATATTTAAATGACTTATTCAAAATTAACAGTACTGATCAACACTTTAAAATACCTTGGAATATTTGTAGACTCACATTTAAGGTGGGATTACCATATTACATATGTTACCAAAAAAATCAGACATGTTGCCTATAAACTCAAAATGCTTGTTAACATTTTCACAGAAAGTTATCTGCGAATAGTGTACCATTCCTTAGATTAAACCCATATAATATATGGGATCACAACCTGGGGTGCCACCTGTAAGATATATATTTCTGTCCTAGATATAGCACAAAAAATGGTTCATAAACCATTTTCCATAAGCCAAGATTATATCCGTCAAACAAATTATATCAGGAAACAGGGATACTTTATACTATACTATAACTATCTAAAACTGTAATGACTCATTGATGTTCACGTGAACATCACTTAACTACCAGTAGTGGGCTGTTCATAGGCGGGGTATGAAAGTTTAACATGGGTGAACTAGATTTGTCACATGCTTAATAAAGAGTGGTTTGAAACATATTGTCATAAGTCAAAAATTTGGGAATTACCTTTATTCATCGTCGCTTCCACTTACATCTGACAGTAATAAACTGTCGCTATCGCTTTCCTCGTTGAAATTGACTATAACTGGCTCTATGATGGTGTCGATGTGGTGGTCAAGCTGCCACATTTTTGTTTCTTCCTTCACAACATGACGGATAGCATTCTGCCAAGCTTCGGGCGTTACTAGCTGTATGGAAGTCTCAAGTAAAACCTTAACGTCTGGTAATTTGAAGGTTATGTTATGGCGCGCAATATAACCCTTCACTTGGCCCAGATGAGCTCTATTGGGTTCAGTTCACAGTGGTAGGGCGGTAACCGCAGCACAGTGACACCACATTGATGGGCCATCTCATCAGTCACGTAACTAATGTTCGCAGGTTTGTGCTGTTTAATTTTTTCATACAATTCCGCTTTCACACATGAATCGTCAAACGGGATTCCTTTTTCGCGCAACCATTGCTGCATGTCACTTTTTCGAGATCCCATAGTCGGTACACGTTCGGCTCGACGACTATGGTAGGAAGCATTATCCATGACGATCACAGAGTTGGGCTCAACTCGCTGAAGCACCCCTTGAAACCAGCTCTCGAAGCAGCTGGCATTCATTTCGTCATGGTAATCACCTCCTTTCTTAGAGACGAAAATCAAGTCACACTCTTCTAAAAAGCCACTATCGCTACCAATATGAGTTACGATCAATCTTTGACCTTTCCCTGACGGTCCACGAAGACCTGTTGACAAACCTTCAATGCTTGCTTGTCGGTTACTCACTACGTTTTTGTCTATCCAGGTTTTTTAACTGTGTGACCTGCATTTACCCATGTCTCGTCCAAATAATAGATGTTTCTGCTTTGTCGCCTATATTTAATCATTTCGCGTAGGTATTTTCGACGCCAGGCGACTATTTCAGGTCTCTCTATCAATACTGACTTCCGTTCCGTTTCGTAACGAAAATTAATTTCGTGCAGGGATTTCCTCATTACCTCGACGCTCACTTGGGGTATAATTTCATTTTCCTTGATCGCTGCATGTACAGTCTTGAGGGTTGGTATCTCATTCCTAAAGAAGAATGAATGTACGGTTCGCCTTAACGCCATTTTGCTATCGTCATCCAATTTAACGGCTTTTCGTCCCTTCAAATTAAACTTTGGATCAGTAGTAGCTCCAGTTTTCCTCTTTTCATGCACCACCCTGCGAATGGTCCACTCTGGAACGCCTGTCATACTTTCACAACGCGCGAGTGCATCTCCCTGCGACATAGTTCTGTTCAGATAATTGAACACGTTGAGCACGATTTCTTTCGCGTCCCTCTTCAGTTCTTTACGAAGCCGTCTACTTGTTCCCTGGCTTTCAGTACTTCCACTCGTGCCATTTGTACTCTCCATGGTTGAGTATAACCAAAACAGTAACCACAGAACCCACAACAATAACAATCACACAACAATTCTTATAAAAACACACAATATGCGATCGCTCAACGAAACACGTTCCAATGCGTTGCCGACGCCTATGAGTCTGCCGGTCGAGGCGCGTCTTTGATTTCATTGGTTCTACCGGCGGAGAACAGTCAGCCATTACTTCCATCTCTGTCTGTGCGGTTGACCACCGCAAAGCCACAGAAACGACATATGTCGTACGCTATACGGCTGAACTGGAAGGAAGCCGGGATCGAGCTCTGATCACGTGTTGATCACGCGTATGAGTCATTACAGTTTTAAATAGTTGTAGTATAGGCAACTTTATTTCTTTCATGCCACCATCTTAAAGCATTGTATGAACAAAATTCCCATAAACACGAGCATGACACGCCAATTCGAATAGGGTCATCTAATATCCAAATACCACACAAAACATTCAAAAAAATCAAAAGACTAGGTTTGTATTGTGCAGCGAATGACAATACTAAAACTACAAAATTCAAATCATATAAATACTTTTTAGAACTAACTATAATTATTATATACATATGATTGATTGTAAGATATAATCCCCACACACAGGCGATGCCTTTTGTGGTTTTTCCATATTTATTTGCCCATTTTTGTATTTTGCCGAATAAATATTATTAATTTAACTCGAGAAGTAGCTGAGACAAATTCCCATAGATGACGCTAACATATTTTATCTCTATGGGCGGTGAGACAAAACTAAAAGACGTATATCTGAGAGCTTACACAACAAAACGATCCGGGCATACGTGAAGGAAATGGTTGTATGAAAGTTACTCCTGCAGTTTCACTGTGATCCACCAAAGGAATGTGTATTGAAATCTAATTTCTCCCTACGTTTCTTGGCAGACACGCGCATAAATCGACAGTAATGGACCTAAAATGGAACGACAACGGTAACTGGCTAATAACGGCATCTAGAGATCACTTACTGAAACTGTTCGATTTACGAAACCTGAGTCAAGAGGTGCAGACCTTCAGAGGACATAAAAAGGAAGCGTCAAGTGTAGCTTGGCACCCCATTCACGAAGGACTCTTCAGCAGCGGAGGCTCAGATGGGGCTATCATGTTCTGGCACGTCGGGTAAGATTAGCGCCGAAAATTTATTTTTAGGTGTTTCGTGGTGATTATGGACGTTTCTGCAACCGCGGATTCCAGTAACCTATACTGATTTTTAGTTGATTTCCATTTGCTGTATAGTCATAGCATCACAGCACAAAGAGAATTAAAAAAATCCGATTTCTAGTCTTTCGGGTTCTACAAGGAACTATCGCGAACCGTTTTGATACTGCATGATTTCGGCCGCTTGCGATTGGCTATTGGTAGTTTAAAACAATCCTGGGATCGTTCCCTCTAACAAGTCGAATGAAACTTGTATTCTAGACTTTGAATACATTAGTGCGTGAATACAGCTTTTCTCCAGCGCAGGCATGGCACTTGTTAAGAACTGAAAACGCGTGTGCATTTCAAAATATTCGATTCAACAGTCCATGTTCCAGTTTATTTTATTGAAGTTCGTTGTTCCAGCATCTTTGGTGTTTAGGCATGAGCAGTTGAAAGTCAAACGTCAGGTTAATTGTTAGAGGGAACATTTTGAATGTCTTGTTTTCTTGTTCGCTTTTATGCGTATTTGGTTTGCATCATTGTTTTGTAGTTTACATTTGAAACCAGAAATTCTGAATTATAAATTGAAGATAATTGCATTGTTTGTGCGTTTGTATTGTAGCGTGCATCATGAAATTCGTAACATTAAATGCCGTGTGCCAAAATTAACGTTTTATAAGTGCCCAGAACCAGGAAATCTATTCAGCAATGGTCGATACTAGTTTTTGTTCGAATCATGTGACTGGATGTTAAGAGAAAGAAATATTTGTTCTCAACATGAATTGAACATTCATTCAGTGATGATTTTTGTTTCAAGTATCTATTTTTAAAACTTTTTCGATAGAGATCTTAGAAGAGTTGTTTTCAGTGCTGACAAAGAAGTAGGAGCGATAGAACAAGCTCACGATAGCATAGTATGGACGTTATCATGGCACCCACTCGGACATATACTTTGTTCAGGGTCCAACGATCATACCAGCAAATTTTGGACTAGGAATAGACCGGGAGATCAAATGAGAGACAAATATAACCTGAACACGTTACCAGCTGGTATTGCTGGATGGGACGATATGGAGATGGTAGCGGGAGCTACTGGTATGTTTATGGAACCCAATAATATATTAGCAATATCGCAAAGTACTTTCAGTTCAGTTTCTCATAACTCACTTACCAAATGGGATGATGTACATTTTTGTGATTATCAATCATAATACGTTTGAGTACTTCCATGTTAGTCCTGGAAGTAGATCAAGTGGTGTCCGACAAACAGGGCCAGTGTTCTATTAAAATATTTTACTAATTGCAGTTAATTGTTTGATGTATTGTTTTAGATGAACCAGCATCGATAATTCCTGGCATGGGCCCAGAAGATAAAGTTGATATTACGACGATCATAACAGATGAGAACCAAACAATTCCTGGATTAGACTATGATTCTGTTACTAACGAAGATAAGGGCAAAACAAAGAAAGTACCATTCAGTAAACCCATACCTCGTAATTTCCAAGCCCAGTGGAATGAAACTGGCATAGGTAAATTTTATTCCAATTAATTTTTATTTTTACATTAAAATTACTTTTTTTTAGATGATTCATCCTTTACCTCAGTCATTAACCAACTGGTAGAAAACACACCTGGTGTAGTTCCTCTGCAGCAAATAGCTCCTAATGCTATTATAATTTATGGAAAACTAATTCCAGTTGAACGTAAGTAGTTTCGATCAATATGTACACTTTTTGTTACTCGTTAATAAGTACACTTATGAATTTTAACTGATGTCAATCGCTACTTTTTGCACAATAACTGCTGAGTTACCATTTTCACTGGCAGTCTGCGAAAGTCTACAAATTTGAAAATGTCATCAATCGTCGTCAACGACACTGCATTAGCATGAAATAGAGAGTTTGGTTCATTTTAGCACTTACATTGTAATCGCAAAACATTTCGAAAATGAGTTATAGTTCTACTAACCTTGGTCAGTTCAAAAATCGGATTAACAAAATTTCTTTGGGGTCCTCATAGCTAATATTTTTTGGTGTTAACACGAAAAACCATGTCACTTATTTCCGTCGGTTTGTCTGTCGGTCTGTGTCCGCAAATTCTTGCCTGTCTATAACTTGGAAACTACCGCTCGGATTTTGATGAAATTACCGGTCAAGGTTACAACTATGCCAAAGACAATAAAGCTTTGTAGTTTTTTGAAATTGGTCCAATGACGGCGGAGCTAGGGACAGAAAGCGAAAAAAAAAATTAACATCATTGAAAGTTTGTGTTTTGGCGTTTTGGAGGCTTCTGATCATTTTCAGAAAAAATTGTGTAGGGATTAAAGTTGGGGGTTGGAGGTTGTATGGGGTGGGGGAGAGTATATCTCAATTTTTTGGCGTTTGTATATTTATACACTTTCAACGCCGGTAATTCTACGCATCTATCAGACCTATTTCACACTTCATAGATTTCCCCGCCCTTGAAACAAAATGATAGAGAAATATTTTCAATGCATGGGTATACCTACTTTACGCCATTTTTTTGAAAGATCACACTAATTTCTGTATCTATCCCAGCTGGCTCCAAATTGGAGCAAGCCATTTCCGACGGTCCAGATGCATTGCAAAAGTACATCGCTTCGGGCGAAATCGAGGAACTTCACGATGTAATGCCAATTTTGGACGATGACGATGAAGATGAGACCACTAACGATAATTACCAAGACAATCGGGAACCGGAACATGACTTCAAGGACCACGACATGCGTCGTCAGTCTCAATTTGGCAGCAATGGCAGGGACACCGATATGCGCAATACGGGAGGCGACATGGACTTCAGGAACGGTGAGTGTTTCAATCGTTAGTTAACTTTATGGTTAGTTAACTATAGCCAAGGTGACTTGTCATTGCCTGTAAACGCATTTTTCTGGGATTTTGACAGCGCAAGTTAACTTACCAGAAGTTTATCATATATTTATGTTGCAACCCCTGCATTTGCGGTTCGTAGATATCGTGTTCTGTGCGTTTTGTGTCGTACCCTCAAAGCTTGAACAATACCGTAAAGCAAGGTAAAGTTTTTCAAACAGTGCTTGTCCAAATGTTTAGTAGTGGACGCTATAGACTTGATTATAGAAATGTTATTAAAAACAAGTGGCAAATACAATGTCTAATCAACCTCATAAAGGTCAAAAAACACGCTAAAAATACAATTAAGTTTGTAAATATCTCTTAAATATCGTGTTTGCAACCTTTTTTATAAATAAAGGTCTCCAGCAGCAGAGGAAAAATACGGTTATTCCTGTTGCTAAGTTATTAAAAACCTTTTAGCATGGAGAAAGAGAAACATAGAAAAAGGAAATGATGTTAGTATCATTGGTCAGTAAAAACAATTTTCGAAGTTATTTCATGTTTCTCATATTTTGGTTAGTTTAGCATTGAATGTCGGTTCAGAAAAAGTCACAACATCTGTTTGGCGGCGCCGATTTTGATGATGGTGGTTTCGTTTGAAAGAGTATTCACCTGCGCTCCTAATGAATTATCAATCTTGAAAGAATAGCCCAGTTTGCGGCCGCTAGATGGCGGTTTGTGGATGTGTCATCATTTTTTCTTCGAAAATTTCAAAAACAACCTTTAATTTTTTATATTGATCGGAAAGTGCATGACCTATAATACCTATAAAATGTTGAAAACCGCAGATCAATTTCTTTATTTGCTAGGCTTATATTACAATTTTCTCTAGTACTGTTTTGTAAGAAGGATTTTTGCTATGAATAGGTGTGTAAAATGAACCTACATGACTTCAAAGATATTTTACTAAATAATACATAAATATATTTTTATGCTTTTTCATCACCGCTAGGGGCCGAAGCTATCGTCTGTTAAATGACATTCTTCCTTCAATTATACCTCATATTTTATCTCAGCTGTTTTTTTAATATAAACATTTCCGAAAATACCGTGTTTCTACCTTTTTGTTCTATTACGATCCACCAAGGGTGCAAATCATGAGATGTGTTACATCCATTGTAATATAGCGGCTATTTCGTCTTAAAGATCGTTATTAATAAAATCTAGTGTGCCATGTCATGACATTCTAGGACAGAAATTATTTTATTATATAATTTTTTAATTGATAGCTCTATGTTGAGCGGTTCCCAAACTACAGCCCACCCTGTACATCTATTGGGTTTCATCATAATTCTAGTTGAAATTGACTATATCTATTCAACTCTATGTCAAAAAAATTGACTATTGCAAGGCAGTTTGAAAATGTTTCATGGAGTCGCGTGTTTGATAAGTAGCGCTGAGAATAGGTTGCTGTTTCTAAATTCCTATTTTAAATGAAGTCGTTTTATATTGTAAATATCTTCATTGACAAGGTCGTTAAGGATTTCATTTCTTTATTATCAGAACCGTTTACTGAAACAAATGACGATTTCAGAAATTTTCTGTTTATTTGCGAAAATTCTTTTAATTCTGAAATGTTCTAGGTGCTGCTTTCAGATATACTTGTATATGTTCAATGTTGATCCAGTTTGACTAACTTCGCATCTCTTTCTTACACTATCTTAATCCGAATCAAATAGAGCTTTATTGAAGTAATGAAGATAGGTACTCATAATCATCGAATTATAATCACATCTTGTCTAATTTTCACAAGTTTCGACGCGCTATTGCATTAGAACCAAGGTCACAACTTGCCAATGCTAATGGTCCAATCGTTCATCAATATACCACTTTATCTTCTAACACAACCCACATTTTTGATTAACCATTCGGCTTCAGCCAGTTTTTTTAAGTGAAACCTTGACAATCTAAAAATTTTGTGAGGTATAAAGATCAACTCTAGTTGTATTTCTTATAGGACGAGATACCCGAAATCAAGGCCGTTTCGATCGTCCACAACGAATGGATGAAGATTTCCGTTTCAACAATGGTGATGATTATAGAGATGATTACAGAGAGGACTATAGAGAAGATTACGAGAGAGCAGAAGACGAGGAGTATATGGAAGAAGAATACTATGATGAAGGTACATTTATTTTTATATGTATGATTATTCGTCGGGAGCGAAATGCACACATTTGTGAGAACTAAATCGATCGTCGCGCACGACGTGGACGAGGACAAAAACGGAAACATTTTCGAATTTATGAAAAACCACCTAAGTACCGGTCGTTGTCTATGCAATGAACGTCGATTACGCAGTATTATTTGAAGGGGAAGGAACGTATAGACTTACGAGAGGTGTATACCCAGAATACTCATCTACGCTTGATGACTTTTCAGTAAATAAAGCTTGTTGGAAGAAATATACTAAATTGGCTTTTGAAATGACCGATACAAATATTTTTGTTTTTTCCAGAACCGCGTCAAGGAAACTGGGGCCAAAGGCAAAACTTTCAGAAAAGAAACAAATTCCAGAAAGGCTTCCGAGGTCCTCCACAACCTAAAGGCAACTGGTCGGGTTCAGACAGGTCACCCATGGACAGAGGACTCAACCGAGATAGATCACCTATGGACCGACCTCCCATGGACAGACCTCCAATGGATAGACCTTCTATGGACGGTCCTCCATCACTCATGGGTAGACTCCCCATGGATAGACCTCCTATGGATAGACTTCCTATGGATAGGTCCCCTATGGACAGACAGGGTGGTGATTTCAGGGGTGGTAGAGGCGATTTTAGGGGCGGAAGAGGCGGAAGTAGGGGCGGCCGTGATAGAGACCGAGATAGAGATCGAGGCGGAAGAAGTGATAGAGGTGGTGCGCGAGGCAGGGGAGCGGGAAGAGGAAGAGGTGGCCCTAGGGGCGGAAATAGAGGAGGAGGAGGAGGGAATAGAGGACGAGGTGGTGGTCGGGGAAGTTTCAGAGAGTGATGTGATGGATTGTTGTGATCTGGTTGGTGGCATTTGTGTTAATGAACTTTTTTCACTGTGGGTAGGTTATGGGACTCATTTTAAAGAAGCTGATTTTTTCTGCCTCCAAAATGGTATTTATAGCCATTTTTTTGAAATACATGGTTAATTAAAAAACAGGGGGGAGGCTTGGCCACCTTTTTGATGTCTTGCATAGATGTGGATATGCTTCTTTTCCATAATACGGTGCTTTGACTGATCCGTCTTTGATATTTCACATTAGATTCTAGTTAAAAATGATCTTTTGTGTTTTTAATTCAGGCGCATCGATTTGGAAATGACCAGTATATTATATACCAGTTTAAAAATAGTAGTCAAGCTGGCGCTTGTTTTAAGGACATAAGAAAAACTGGGACAAACTCATTAAAAAATGCTTATTTGTGCAAAAACCAGTGCCGTTATATTTTTTGTGTAGCAGTGATTATATTTCTCTGGCAACAATCTGTAATTGTCTCGTATTAAAAATCAGCTTTTTCAAAAGAGGTGTTCAAAGTGTCTTTCCCAATAATCCTATGGACCTTGCTCATGTCTATGAAATGCCCATATGACGGAAAGATGTATGATGTATTTATTTGCTTCAGGCCTTTCGTTTAAATTTTCGGAATGTATAATGTTGTTTATACTGTCATTAATTGTAATTTGTATATATATATTGACATAGGATATCAATTCTATTTCTATCGTCCCATCATGTTGGTATAATAACACATACTGATTAATATGTCCGAGTTTATTTTAAGCATTGTGATTTTTACTTTGCATCAAATAAACCGATGTTTCTACGATCGACTTTCAATGGATTTCTTACGTATTTAGACAGTTTGTTTAACGTCGAATTTTCCGCAACATAATAGTATACGCAACAAAATATTCCTTTTGTAAAATATATTTAACTTTGGCTATTACCTAGCAGGACAACTTAAAAGATTTTTTTACCTATTTCTATATGTATTTAAAATATAAACGATCTCAACCCTATGGACAGTATTTTACGACAATATTTAGTCTTGAGAAAAATCACATATAATTCGAACACAACTTAGAATTAAATGTTAAGTAGCAAAATTAGGTACTAATTAAATAATATATGAACAATATCCTATGATGATATTAAGTTTTACAGACAAATCACATTTATTGCAATATAACAATCTAAAAACAACATGCAATCAATACTGACTGAGGTACTTTGAAAATAAATATTCATTCTTCGAATATATAAACTTTAAAACTTTCTATGATAATTAAAAATTAACGAGTTTGGTCATCCTCTACAAAATCTTTTGCCTCTTCTTTAGTAACACATCTTATGCGACTCGCCTAAGAAAAATTGAAAAATAACAATAATTGAAATTTTCACTGAAAACTATCTACGCCCCACAATGAATATCCATCATTTAAATATCATTAATTAATGTATTCTGCCTGAATATAGTCGGCCATACAGGGAAAACCAATTTTGTCTGACGGCTTGAGTTCAATATGTATGAGAGAGAAGCGCGAGGGATGTGTATGAACACATGTTAGAAAGAGATAGAAGCCGGCTGAAGAGCGAAGGTGATTACCACATTTCCTAGCGACGGTGACGCAATCCGCCGCGTTGCCAATATGTTACACCAGAAAATGTTCGCACAGGCTTCTATCATAGTTTAGGTCACTGTCAAACCTACGAAGGTCTGTTCGAATATATGATTCTATATTTTGGTTTCATTTTGATTAGAATTATCTATTTAAATTTTGATGCAACTTAGTGTTTCAATTTATTTTAGAATTATCTTTGATTTCCACCGATGGTGATAAAATCAACACATCATCCTGATTTAATGTTACATTTTGCGACAGCAAACAGTCAGAAAATGTAACAAATGCCATTACGCAATACAAATCATCACTGCCTGCATGTACGCAGTTGTTTTCTGCTACTGCCTCATAGATGGCGCTAATACCTTTCAAACCCCTTTATGGTTGGCTATATTCAGCTAGAATACGTTAATCATGTAAATATTCAGAAAAATTTCAAATGATTAGAAATGAGAATATAAAATAGTTTTCTCAGAAAATGGAATATATTTTGGTACTTACCATATTTCTGAAGGTAACTCCATAAAATTTATTTGCGTGTTCTAAAAGTTCTGGTCTGAATGTAGTAGTTATGAATTGTGCTTGTTCAGACAAATCATGGATCATCTTTGCGGTTGCTCGTCTGAAATCACAAGAATATTCAACTTGTCGTATCAAATTCGGAGTTGTACGTTGTACTTTTCGAAATACCACGGACCAAAATTTACTGGATACACATATCGCCGGAATAAATGATGTATACAGGGTGATTCAGGAAACAATAGCGATATTTTTAGGATAATTTGAATGGCGAAGTTATAATTTCAAAATTGAAACAAAAATTTTTGGAGTGGATTCAGGTAATGACTAAATTGTACAGTCTATGAAGTCTTTTGTTTTTTACAGTCGTAATTAGGATGCTCACCACAAAAACTGATGAGAAATACACTTTTTTCGACCTCTGAGGGGCGAACAAACAAAAAAAAAGAAACAACTCACAAGTTCGAACGGTATTTTGAACCTGTCTATTCACGTGCACCAACTGTTGTATATTATATAATACTATTCCGTTTATTTCTTTTAAAAAAATCAGAATTACGACGATAGAGCTGAATTTGTGGATGGTGTTTCATGGAATACTTATATTAGGTAGCAGCGGTGGCCGCTTCGGTCTCTTGATCAGTCGCCGTGCGCTGTGCGGGTTCGAATCCCGTCCCAGGAGAATTTTTTCTATTGGCTATGGATGTTGTGATTGTCCGTAGGAGGTAGACGGTCTCTGACTATCGAACGCGGAGGTACCACCCGGCGGATCTCGTAGGCAGAGCCAGAAAGTGTGCATGTTGCATGCACACGTGTTCCCTCGCCAGAGTCCATGTGGCGTTCCCCCTTTCCCCTGTATCCCCTATAGCCCCACGGTACCCATTGGGTGTTTAGGCCTTAGACCTTCGTGGTAGTTGGAGTATAAAAAAAATGTAATATAAATTTTGGATACAGAACTCAGAAAGATATATTTTGTATGAGGAACAAAGGAACAAAGACATCTTTTGGATTCGCCATGGAATGCCTCTCCTTTGTAAGGTGTATTTAGTCGCAATAAGAAACGATGTAGCATTGCACATGCACTTCAATAAACTTCATTTTTTATACGTGGGCTTAATTGCGACCCTTAATGTTGATAACTAACGTCACAGTCGCTTCTTTGAGGAAAAATGGTATTTTGGAAGCAAAGGCTCAAAAAGATCCTTTTTTCGCCAAATTTTGCATTGTTCATCGGCTTTTCAGTGGGGAGTATCAATAAACAACAGACTTAAAATTGTGGCTTTGCCAACTTTGACGTTTAATAAAAGAGTTATTAAATGTTTTAATAATTTTACAGTGTGATGAATTCCAAAATTTTACATCTATTACCTGTATTCTGGATCTAGAGCCTGATCGATTTCGTCAAACAGGTAAAAAGGCGCAGGATCGCACTTTTGAATGGCAAAGATCAACGCCAGGGAAACCATCGTTTTCTGACCTCCAGATAGTTGATTTAATTCCTTCATTTCTGCGTTCGGACCCATAAACGACACTCTGACTCCGATACCTAAAACATGTTTAATGATAATTTAAAAGCAATCACATAATAGACGAGTTTAAATCACAAATATCGCATACGTTAACGTTAACCTTATTTGACACTAGACTGAACCTGCGGCTCCACTGGCGGGGTTGTAGTGTAAGTTTAATTGAAAGATTAGGTTAGTCTCGGAGAAAGAAAAAATGCAATATTCTGAGTGATGCAATAGTTACTGTGGTAATAGATATTTTTTAGTCAACCAGTAAATGTGTTACCGGACATTGAAAAAATATTAATGCAGTTTATAGAAGATAACAAAATTTTAGTGGGAATACATGCAGGTTTTCGGGAAAAATATTCCACGGAAACGGCCTTCCAGTTGGTTACTAAGAACTGGAGAAGAGCCACAGACTCGGAAGTTGGATTAGCAGTATTTTTGGATTTGAGGAGGGCATTTGAAATATTTGATACGGATATTTTGTTACCTAAATTGAAGGTAATGAAGTGTTTTAGACTGGTATAAAAATTATTTGTCTAAAAGGATGCAATTTAAAAAATTAATAACAATATTTTATCAAACATGCCTAAAACACGTTAGGTGTTTCTCAAGGCGGTATCCTGTGACCACTTCTTTTCATTTTATGCATAAACGATTTACATGCCATAGTGAAAAATGCGAAGTTCAAATTTCTTGTATTTATATAAGTACTCAAAATATTCATTCTGGTATCTCTATAGACTTAAAATTTGTTTCAAAATGGTTAGCATCAAACCTTGTAGGTCATGATCAAGGTCATGTTCAAGATCCCCAATGGATTATTCCTTTCATATCTTTTTTCTAGTAAACGTATTTTTCGAGTTTTTTTTTGTTCTATCTATACTTTTTGAACACTATTAATTTTCGCGGACAAAATCATGCCTAGAACATTCCTATGATTTCAATTAGTAAGTGTAGGTCTCTACGTATTGTGGTTTAGACGCGATGCTGACAGACTGGACATTCACATTTATATATAAATGAATTAATTGCAAATGTCAAATAATGTTCGTTTTAACCTATACAGTATTTGTCACTGCCAAAACTAGCCATTTTCAGTTGAGTTTCCGTTTGAAATTTTTATTGTACGTGGATATTCTGTACCTGTTAAATTATCGACTAAATTTTCTTCAGAACCTTTCGAATCATCCATCTTTTTCAGCACCAGTAACCCTTTACCATTCGGAACGAGCTTTTGGAATACTTCAATGAAGTATTTGGAACATTGTTTGAAGGTAAAATGGATTGCTTCCATCTTCTTCATCTCCAGTGTGTCAAGCAATTCTTGCAGTTTGTTAAACCTAAAAGGGATTTAATCACATAAAATATTATCGCAGGAACACATTATTATCACTTCACGTGAACTCACGATCCATATTCAACAGTTCGCAACAACTTTTTTATTAATTTATTGACGTCGGCCAGATCTCAGCAAGTCTGTAATAAAAACCTACACAACTTTCGTACAAAACTGTTTTTAGTATAAGCCAGTTTGTAAAATATTAGCAAAAAACTATTTTTGGCCATGTTTGACCACCTTTTATAGAAAAACCGCAAGGAACAATATGTTGCTTTCAAGCGCAATTGAATCGAAATATTTTTATCTTACCTTTCTATATAGTGGCGTTTATCCTTTAATTTTCACACCTTAAAACATACTTAGCTTAGACTATAACGTGAGTTTACGCGATAGCTCGTGACAACTTGTGAGTTCATGTGACGTGAGAATTCACTTCCGTTTTTTATACTTACGATAAATCAACATCTTCTTTCCTTTTCTCCAACTTCTTTTTATCCTCTAATAAAGACAAATACTGATCAAAAGCCTTTTTGTTTATATGACCGAACTTTTTCATGTTTTTGTTGGTTTTAGCCAACTCTTTTAATAGCTGAAACAATATACAACAGCTCAGTCAGCGATACTAGTTAGAAAAAAATAGTTCGAAGGTGAAAATAAGAAATTACGTCAAGTAACTTTACTCTGCACTCCCTACGCAACGGCATGATCAGTTCGTAAGGGATTAAGTTCAGCACAAGTCTGAGAAAAAAAATAGTTACGAACATGTACAACAGACAAATAAAACGGATCAAGTCCGTCAAACACGCCCATACCATTAGTCTATAGACATTCTTTCTACCGGTAGTTATCGTAGATCAACAACGTTGCTTCCCACATCGTCAGACGCGCTAGCGTCCACCGAAGCACCGCCGCAGTACGACCAGAACAATCAAGAACACCGTTACACCTGGCGCTGAGCCCAGATAGCAGAAGGAGACGATTATCGAAATCTATGTTGTGTGAAATACAGCTAATATGGGGGTAAAATTATTGGGGTTGGATGCGTATATATACGAGCCCCTTCCCACTTCAGTTGGCCCAACTATTGAAATCTTAGTTTTTTCTTATAAAACACAAATAATAAAAATGTAGCAGGGTGTTATAGGTTTAGAATATTAACAATGAATATTTTAATAATATATAGTAGAAAACGCCAACTTTATCACTCCCTAATCAAATTTGCAGCATAAAAATAACACATTTTGCAATTACAGCATATCAACCTATTTTCATTTCAATGCAAAAATAAGTCAACGCATAGGTGGCTGTGAAAAATAAAAGCCATGACAATTGTTTTTATTAATCACAGCTGTCAGAATACGTTTAAAATAGTTTTTTGTAGTTAAGGTTTTCAAAATGGGTAGAGGAAAGGTTATTAGTGAGAAAATTCGGTAAATGGTAATTAAATTTTTTAATTCTGGGAAATCAAACTCAGAAATTGCAACTTTGTTAGACTTATCGCGGTACAGTGTGAGAAATATTGTTAGAAGATATAACGTAACTGGTTCAGTTAATATTAAGCCACGATATGTGAAAAAAAGTAATATCACAAATGCCTACCGAAGAGCCTTAAGAAGAATAATCGTGAAAAACAGGCGGGCCAATTATTTACAATTAAGTGCTCTGTGGAGTGACGCTGTTGGAAGGAGAGTTTCGAGGTCCACAACTCGTAGATAGGCCCACAAACTGGGATTTAGCACTCGCAAGGTAAGTTTTCTTATAAAAAAAAGTGAAGTAAAAACCCGAAAGTTGCACAACTTGTTTATAGGCCAAAGAAAAGCCACTATTAACTCCACTGCAAAAGAAAAATCGGCTTAGATGGGCTAAAGAACATAGAGAATGGTGTGCAATACAATGGAGTGATGAGGCCCGATTCGAAGTTTGTGTTGGTGACAGTCGCAGTAGAGTTATTCGCAAAAAAATTAAGCATTCTATTTTGACTGTCTGAAGAGAAAAGTGAAATTTCCAGCATCCAGTGTGGTCTGGCGCAGTATGTCACCAAAAGGAGTAGGAAAACTTCATTTTATTGATGGAAATGTGGATACAAACAAATATTTTACAATTTTAGAAGAATTGCTTTGACCAGTGATGGAAGAATGTTTGACATACGGCCAAGATGTTTTGTTTCAGCAAGATGGTGCAGCGTGCCATACCTCAAAAAAGGCTATAAAATGGATGGAAGAAAATAATGTACTACTTTTGAAATGGGTTTCTAGCAGTCCAGATCTACCACCTATTGAAACTTTGTGGCACGAGATGAAAAAGGTTCTACAACATCCTACTCGTACAATCACCGAACTGAGACAAAAGCTTCAAGAAATATAGGATTGTTTTACACCAAATTGTTGCCAAAACTTGGTTAACCCCAAAGAATTTCAGCCGTATTAAAAAATAAAGGTGATGTTACCCAGTGGTAATCTTTCAATTGTTGCTTTTTTAACTTCGCGCATTTATTCGCACATTGTTTATTTGTTCAGATGTTCTATTAGTTTTAGGTCTAAGTGATTTGAAATATGTATTTTTTACGACTAGAGTATATCTAAAATGTTTTTTAGAAAATTAATTGTTTTAGAAGTAAATAGTTTCGTCATGTTTAGTTCATAAAGGCATATTTTGGTACAAATCTTGAAGTGGGCCAACTGAAGTGGGAAGGGGCTCGTACACTAAAATAAAAAAATGAGATATACGCTCCCCCACCCCTCTCCCCAATGTTTGACCCATAAACATTTTTCTGTAATCTGGAACGTCTGAAACGTCAAAAAACGCTTTGTGCGGTTTTTTTTTTTCGTTTTTGTTTTTTTTCCGCCGCTACTGGACCGATTTTTCAAAAACTACAAAGCTTTTTCTTCTCTGGCATAGTAGTAACCTTGTGTGTAAATTCTATCCAAATCCAAGTTATAGAATCGCCAAGGATTACCGGAGAGACCGACAGTCAGATAGAAATGAGCGCCATGGTTTTTTGTCATGTAGTACCTCCAAAAAACATACCTCATCTTCGAAATTTTTCGTGACTAGAATACTTCCTCGCCCAGTGCCGTATTGAGTGAAACGTTATGTGCAAGTTCAAAGAATAACAAGAGAACAATCTTTAATGTACCATGTGAAATTTATCCTGTGGCTATGCTATGACAAATTCTCATAGATGGCGTTACGGCATCTCGGATAATTTTTTGGACGCGGGAATATAGCATTACAGTGGCCTGGTGAAGTACGTTAATCATTGATAATATTCATAATATACTCACAGCTTTTGTTGCCATGTTTGTATACCGATTAAACAACTCCTGAACAGGCAAGGTACCAAACTCATTGATCTTTTCCATCGACTCATTGATCTTATGCTCCAATTGAGTCTGTTTGTTAGCCAATTTCTCCAGCTGTTTCGCATCTTCTTCGATCTGGTTTTTAATCTCCCTTTCTTGCTTCTTCAAACCTTCTAACTGATCCCTCACATTTTTCATTCTATTCTCCATCTCTTTCACTTTCTTCTCCATAGTTCCGAGTTCCTGAATGATCTCATTGATCTTCGAATCGATTTCCTCCAAATCCGTTTTGGCATTGGCCAGTTGGTGATGTTTGTCTTCTAGAGACATTTCTTCCAAAGTATTTAATACTTTATTCTTTCTTTTCATGAGATTGTTGGTCAGAAGGTTCTCGAGTTTGTTTTTCTCACCTTCTAGCTTTAGACGAGTTGCGACGGCTTGTTTGATTTCCTGTTGTAATCTCTGGAAATCGAATAGAGTTGTCAAGTAGGTCGACGATTTGTTTTTTGCAACATATACAGGGTGTAAACGTTATGATAGTCATTGTTTAAATGGGTGATAGAGGGGTTAAAAGAAGCAAAAAGTTTCATATAACATGGGGGTCAAAACGGCATTTTTTTTTAGAGAAAAGTGACTTTAAAGTAAAATAAAATCTGACAACGCCGCAATGCCAGACGCAAATTACGACGGAACGCAGTGTAAATAAAGATGGAGTTTGTTATTTTTGGCTCTTAGGTATTGTTTCATTATTTGATAATATACTCGTAAAATGCAAACAATTTAAAAAAACGGACTTACCATTAACTGTCTCAGCGCTTCACCTAGTGTGTGAAAGTTTATTGAACGTATTAAAAAAAATCCTCTAATAAATAGGGAACAGAATTTTTATACATACATTGTTTTCCTTTTTAAAACCCACACTGCACTTTTTTGTATTTAAAGAAGGTGTTCAAAATGTCGTCCTCCACTTTCCACACAAGCTTCATTACGACGAACCCAGTTTCTTCTTACTGAATGACGCTTCCAAAAATGTGTGGTGGTGTCCCGTCATGAAGAAACCACAAATTCTGTCTCCGTTGTAATGGCATGTTGTCTAAGGTCTGTTCCAAAAGTTCTGGTAGGTTATTGGCTAGACAGCTAAGGTATCCTTCTCTTGACAACTTTGGGGGTAACTCGAAAGGGCCAATTACCTGATCGTCAAGAATACCCGCCCAAATATTTATTTTAAAACGTTGTTGGAAATGACCTTCACGAATGTTATAAGGATTTTCTTGGGCCCACGTGTGAGTATTATGGAAATTTAATATCCCGTCTCGCGTAAAAGTACATTCGTCCGTCGCTAGAATGTTTTTAAAAAAATCCGGATTTTCAATTTTTTTGTGCAAAAACGACTGACAGAATGTTAGTCTTCTGGTAACACGGCCTGCACTTGCTGTACATGGTAGGGATAAAGCAAATTTTCCCGTAGGAGTCTATGGACTATGGTATGCGATAGTCCTACGCGGCGGTCTAATTCCCGAATGCTGATATCTGCATTGATTTCCACGATATTTAAAATTTGTTCCTCCTGCTCTACAGTAACCTGTCTTTCACGAGTGCGAATATTAGTGGGCTGAACACTTCCGGTATCTCGAAGACTTTGGTACACTTGCACAAATATCCTTTAGTCCGGGTGTACCCGTTGGCGAAATCCGTCGCGATAAATTTGAGCTGACGAGCTTCACCGTAAACTAACAACACGTCGGCGAACTCTTGATTCGAGAACATTGTAAATAAACACGACGACGTACGCGAACAAAAACAAAATAACACGCCCGATGCTCTGCTTGACAAAACGATAAAGTAATTTATTTATACAAAACGATAACTAACCACTGTTACCATTTGCGATCGATTGCCGGTTCGATAAGAGTGATGAAAGACCGACGCGCTGTTGTCATGTGTGTTTAAAATATTTAATTTAATGAAACTTGCTTACTTACTGACTACAAATTTTGGCTTAACTTAGATTATAAGAATTAGTAAGATTGTGGTATAAAGCACTTAAGTTGTAAACTATAAAGCCATCATTTAGACAAAAATCTATTGACTTTTGGACCATGGGTCTTAAGAACTTTTTAACTTGTTTTGACCCCCCCTATTACCCATTTCAATAATGAATACCAAACGTTTACACCCTGTAGTAATAGTTTCCTTTATTTTTGGTGAAATAAGCAGAGTATCATAGAATGTTGAAAAATTTAGGCACATATTTAGCATGTAGAAATATATAGAATAGACCTATAGAAATATTATTTTTATTGAAATATGGAAATTTCAAGGTAGGTTAGAGAAAGTTGTGATTAAATTTTGAAGTAAAAACGTTTGCTATACTAATAATGTTTAAGGCTGCCCCAATGCCATATACAGATTCATCCAGTTGTCGGGCAAGCTTCTGAGGAGATGATTTGTCTTCTTGAGATATCACATCCCAAGCTAGGTGTATTTGGTTGCGAAGAGCTGCTACCGTTTGTGAAGGATGAGGTAAAGAGTTGCGCTCTCCTTCCCATCATATTCCACAAATGTTCAATGGGCGAAATGTCTGCAGAAGACCAAATGAGACTTAGAGTCAGAGATTTATAGACCTTCCTTAAGGTTCCTTTGGAAACAATGGATCTCTCCTTGGAAACAGTCAAACAATGACGAATGTTCAAGGAAGGATTTAAATTTCCATTTCACAGTATTCTGTAACAGTTCTCATCAAAAGCTGTCATCGAAGACAGAAAGCTGTTTCTTTTGATGATAAAATTGGGACAGTTTGGTTTATTTGTGCTAAATATTAGTAATCAATGCAAAATAATAATGTGTTTGTTTCCTTGAATTACGGCGCAATCAAAGATAAGTAAAAAACTGAATGTAGGCATCCAGTTGCACCAAAGTTCTTTGCTGGTTGCAGATTGTAGATTACGTCTGTCGGATTCAACAACTACAGTATGTTGCAAAAAAACATTGTTACGCAAATCTTATATGTATAATTATAAATTAGAATGTGCATATAAAAAAAAAGTTTAGCGAGGAGAAGATGCATTTGATCGAGATACTAGACAAATTTAAAGGGATCACTGAAAATAAAAACGCAGCAGGGAACAGTTCAGCGCAACTGGTTGCCTATATTCGGTGTCTCGCTTCTCTGATATTTAGCACAAATAAAAAATGCAAAATAGGCACGACCAGCAAAGAACGATCTATCTGACATCGATATCAGCTTGTGATGACAATTGTTACAGCCTACTGAGTAATGAAAATTTAAATAATCCCTTGAACGTTCCTCAAGCAAGTGTCATTATATCACTTAAAGAAGGTCTATGAATCTGATTTATTGACGTGTTATTGAGGTAGTTCATTGTAGGTCTAGCAGTATTGGGACACGCATTATCTTGTTTGCAAGCTTTCAAGGAATGGCAAAAATGTCTCCCCTCCAAGCTCGACGCCTCCAGTGTTGCTAGATCGAACGCTACGATGCTAGTCTTATAACTTAATGTTTTCACGGCTTCCTCTTGCTTATGTCTAACTGTGTTCAATTTTATTTGTCACTCAGTATGTATTTATACCTGAATATCAGAGTTCAGCGATTTTAGTTCCTGCTGATCCTCTACAGACAACTGAGACAACATATCATGTTCCATTTCTGCCTCTAGCATCTCCTTGGTTACTTGGATAACCTCCAGGTCAGATTTGCACTGAGTCAATAACAGTTCTTTTTGCCCCATATTTTTTTCGATGTTGGAAAGTTCTTCGCGTAGAAATTGTTTTTCTGCATTTTTCTCGTCATAGGTCGCTGCAAATGAAATTAGTACTATGCTATATGATTCGGAAATGTTCTCCGAAGAAAATTGCATAAAAAATTATTTCAACATTTTCTTTAAACATATTCCAAAAATTGTTTCTTTCGCTACGTGCAAAGTTTTAGTTTTTTTTGCCATTCTGAACCAGATCATTTTAAGATGTCAAGCTTGCATTGCTGCTGAAGGAATTCAATAAATAAATTCACGAATTAATACAAGTGGCGTTACCATTTGTCTTGCTGTTACTAAGGATAAATTGAAATTTGATGTAATGGGAACAAAAGATCATCACAGGGTGTAGATTTTTCCGATTTCTCCGTTTTTTAAAGCCTATAAATTGGAAAGTACACCTAGAATTCCTTATATTTTCCTGATAACTATTATGACTTGGCGTATCCCCAAATTCCGGGTTGACGTCGACTTCTAGGACACCCTGTAATTGTATTTAAAACATGCAAAATATTCCATTCTCGATGCCAAAAAAACGAAAATTTAAATGTTGTCAAAGATACTAAATATTCTTGAAACATCCATTATAAAATTCCAATACATTTTATGGAGTACTTTTCATATATTAACTCGCTTAATATCTCGAAAACTATTAAATCTCAGAGAATAGGTCATAAGAATCTTTTTGTTCAGAATGACCCAAAGAACACAAAAAAACTTTGTTGGAGCAAAAAAGCATTTTTCGAGAGATGATCAAAATCGAATAATAATATTGAAAAACATGTCTGACTTACAAAACGTGAACTTTCAAATGTGAATAACCCGTTTCGTGGTAAAATTATAGAACAGGATGATAATCTCTTTGAGAGACTCTCCATATAGTAATACGACTACTACTACTTACTAGGAAAATCATAATCAAACTTATTAATTACTAGACTGAACCCGCGGCTCTACTCGCGTTCATGTAGTGTAAACTGTAGATAGGTAATTGATGCAATAATATGCAATATTCAAAGTAATATAATAGTTACTTTAGAAATATTTTTTATCCAACATTTTATTGCAACAATAAATTAATTTCAAAATTTCGCTTCCTTATGCCGACAAAAAGTATTACTTTTACTTGAAAATTTATCTGATCTTAAAATGACCTTGAAGATCATGGTCAGTTTCATTGGCCAGATGGCAAGGAAAACTTGAACCAAAAATTAGCCGCAGTTTTCATTTTAGAAATTAAGAATAGATGTCTCTGGTTAAAAATTCATTTGATCTTCAAATGTTCTTGATAGTCACAGGTCAGGTCATGAATATACTGGAACATAAAATTACTTACTTTTTTCATTTTCGGCTGAGGGAACTGTCTTGACCTTCAAATGAGCTTGAAAGTCATAGTCAAGGTCACGTTGAAGGTCACCGTTAGATGAATCTTTTCAAACATTATAGCCACTTTACATGATTAAATGTATTCAAGTCAAGCTTACCAACACATACAGTAACTTCCTATAATTCCAGGGAAAATACCAAAACATGACCAGTATACTTACATATTGATTCTTTTTGTTGAAATATTGAATCCTAAATTAAAACTAAAGCGTCAAGTCAGACTGTAAGGATTATAATTTTAATCACAAAACGTGAACGCGTCGAATAACGAAGGTTGGTATCTAGGAAAAACAACCAAAAGTAACTAGAATTCCTCAAAATTTGACGGAAAATTAGAACAAGCTCTAATCTCGCAATTTATTCTGGAATTTATCGTTTTGAAGAAATTGACACCAATTTTTATATTTACATCGTACGATTTCTTCAAAGTTAAAAAAATGTTCAATTTATTGGATCGTGTAAAACGGCTATTACAACTCTATAATACATTTTTCGTTATGAAACGTATTTTTCGAGATATTTTGTCCTTCGCTACTTTCTGAACACCTTCAAATACCCAATAACGACCATGGTAAAGGACATGGACAAAGACATGCTTAAAATTTTCTGCTCTGAATAAAAACTGGGAATTCCATGTAAGAAACGGTCTTGACCTTCAAATGACCTTAAACCTTGCAACTTTATTCCACAACATTTTTCTTTATAAAAACGTATTTTTCGAGATAATTTATCCATTCCCTACGATCTGGAAACCTTTAAATACCAATGATCATGGGCAGAGTCATACTTCAACGTAAGATTTGCCACTCTGAACATTCCCGGTATCAAAAATAAAGGTTTGATTTGAGAAGACTGTCTTGACCTTCGAGGTCATCGTCAAGGTTACGTTCAAAATCATCATTAGATGAATTTTTTCAAATCTTATAACTTCGCTCAACAACATTTTTCTTTAGGAAACGTAATTTTCGAGATATTTTTATTTATCCATACCTTTTGAACACCTTGCATATTTTCGCGGATAAAAGCATACCTGTCACCTTCCTCGGGTTTCAATTAGTAAGTGTACAAAATTTCGCGCCTTTCCGCATTGTGGTTCAGAGTCTGAACTTCAGACGTGATCCTGACAGACTGGATATATATGTTACATTAAATTTCATTAAAAAGTATCCTTTGAAAACGTCCAGCAACTTGAACAGATGTCCAAAAACGAATAATTTTCTAAAATCGAAATGTGATAATTGAAACGAGAAAATAAGCCGTTTCGTGATAAAAATTATCAAAGAAAAGGACTTTTGAAAAGCTGTAATGGTACTCACCTCTTTATAGTTAATATTAAAGAAACATTGCCTTAAATATTGTTTTTTTACATTACTCATGGTAAATCAATTTTCAGAAATGGCCTGGATCTTCGAGGGTCTGTTTATGGGACATTTTTTTATCACTTATTACCTTTTGCTTTGGTGATTTTGCTCTCAGTTTTCTCGATCTCAGAGACAATGTTGTCAAGCAAGACTTGGTGCTTCAAAATCTCTTCTTTCAGTTGTTCCAGTTCAAATCTACGTTCCCGATGTTGTCCTAACACTTCTCGGTGATTTTTAACTATGGCTAAACGGGACCTATGTGGGTTGAAATATCCTCCTGTCAGGACACCTTTTGATTCAGCCTAGAAAGAAAAATTATGAATATCTAAAATCGACATAACTTAAATAATTTTTAATAGGGATAATGATAAAACTCCGTCTAGAGTCAAAATGAAAATGATTGCGCGTGGTTTTTCCACAATAGGCCGTCTTGTTAAAAGCTCCTGTTTAGTCAAAATTATTTTCTGGACTTCTGTCATATACAGGGTGTTCATTTGAAAATTTTCCACCTCAAATTTATCGAAAACCACTGATTAAAAGAAAAAACACCGAGACACGTCAAAAGATTTGTCAAGGGAGAGAACTTTTTGACCAAAAACTACTCCACCCCCTTTCACCCTCTGCCCCAGGGTCATCCCCTTAAAGATTTTAAATGAAAACAGGTATCGAGAAAATTAGAAAAATCTTTATTTATCTTAATTTGTTCAGATAGAACACAAAAATATCACTTTTTATTTCAATAGGGGTTCAAAATGTTGCTTGTTATTGGCCAAGCAATGATATAGGTGATGTTCAAATTCTTCATTTTCAAAAACATGTTGTGCTATATCATGGCAGCTTTCGATAACGCGTTGACGAAGTTCATACAAACTTTCAGGTTGGGGAGTAAACACGATAGATTTCAAAAGTGATATTTTCGTGTGTTTTTGTTTTCTATGTGAACAAATTACGATAAATAAAGATTTTTCTAATTTTCTTGAAAACGAATCGCCCGATTTTAAAAAATCAAACGTCAAAATAAAGGACTTCGAAATAGCGTTCAAACAATCTGTTACTCGATACCTGTTTTCATTTAAAATCTTTAAGGGGATGACCCTGGGGGCAGAGGGTGAAAGGGGGTGAAGTAGTTTTTGGTTAAAAAGTTGTCCCCCTTGACAAATTTTTTGACGTGTCTCGGAATTTTTTCTTTTAATCTGTGGTTTTCGATGAATCTGTGGTGGGAAGTTTTCAAATGAACACCCTGTATATTAATCACACTTATCGTATGACATAGCTTGGCTGCAGCTTGAACGAATTTTTCTTAATATAGAAAAAATAGATTTTTTGGCTTTCTCCTGTACCTTGACAAAAGTGCTTTTTAGAACAAAAAACATGTTAGAACGTTTTTTGAACGGGTTAAGTTAGCAAAGTAAATGTAGAGTGTAAATTCATTATCTTTAAATAACCGACTAGCAGACTACATTGTATTCGTTTATAGCTCAACAACTAATCATTAAAACGCTATACGAGTAGGATGTTACATCATTGGTTAACATGTTCTACCTGAAGACATCTAACCCGGCATTCAAAAAGGGACCTGAAAGATACTAGCGCCATCTATGACACAGTGTCAGAACACAAACATTAGTTTAGAAATGTACATTGCAAGGCCAAGAGCAATACTAGTCTTGCTCTTGCTGTTGCAAATCGTACCAGTCGATTAAAATACATCCATATTACTTTTAATGCTTAATAGTACTGACAGAAGTGATATAGAAAGTTTAGTGTTAGAAGTTTTTCTGATTTAAATGTCTAAACATTTTTTCGGTAATTTTTGACAGGCTGTATTTCGGTGAAAAATGGCCGTATCAGGATTTAAAAAAAAAGAATTTTGAAGCTTTAAGATTCTAGTTTTCATGTTTGTAGCCGAAAAATTTTAGGAGCAACGGTTCTCATGCAATTCTAACAGCGCAAGACAAATTGCTTGCAACATTTTTGCCGTCTATCTAGTCCACGGATCTAAAAAAGATTTTTTCTGTTAGGCCATCATATGGATCAGATAGCCCGTTCATTCAGCTTCAATATCCTGTTTTCGAAATCTCAATACGATCATTTGGCGCGGAACTATTTGACTTTGAATGAAAAGCATCTTTTTGTCACCGGGTATTTCCGAAAACTGGAGTTAATCTCCTTAATAAGATTTGATTGTAATTTGTGAGAATTTTTTGTTTTGTTTGAAAAACCTTGATATTTAACAATATCCTGATGTTTTCCCCATCTTGGACATATGCATATATTTACCCGATCTCCTTCCAATGTAACACAGTCAAGGCCTTTGGATTTAGCTATTTTTACAGATGTTTCCATATCACGGCATAACATTGTCCTTCCAAAAATGAATTGCATTACTTTCTCGAACTTTGGGTCGTACATTAATTTCGTTATTATCGGAAGTGCATCCTGCAAAAACAAACAACGTATTTTTTGTTTGAGAAAGTTCTTTGTTCAATGACCAATCACAAATGACAACTTTACCACTCTAGAAAAAAGTCCTATGTTCACGCGATCAAATGTATTTCTCCAGCGACAAAGTGACATTCTGTGTTCTTAGTATACTCAAAATTCTACAAAACTATGTAATTAATAGAAGTCAAAAAACAAAATTGGATCTACATTAGCAAGAACAAAAAATATTCAGTTGGTACACCACAAGGTAGTAAACTAGGCCCACTACTATTACATACATTAACGACATTTGTGATATTTTAGGTTATTGGAAAATTCAGATGTTGACAGATGATACATTTATATATATATATATATATATAAAAGTAGGAAAATAATAGGCATAATCATTTTCTCTTTATATATATACAGTGAAAGCTCCCATAAGCGGACACTCACGGTTCCGTAACTTTTGTCCGCTTATGGGAGGTGTCCGTTTAAAAGAGAGTATGTAAGTATAGAGTATAAATAACGGGGTATATAATCATGAGGAAATGAGGTATTATAATCATGAGAAAAATGAAACAGAAACTCGCCACATTTTTAAAGTATGTATTTATGCTATATATCTATATAATATATGTACATATACGCATACAAAAACATAAATGCTTCAATACATGGTACGAGAATTTAAAAAAAACATTATTCTTTAGCTTGTTGAAAAAAGTTTAAAATGTTTGTCTGACGAAATTTCACCATCTTTTGCTGAAGGAGACAATTTTCGTAATAACTTTCTAAATTTTTCAAATGTTGAAATGCAGTGAAATCATCTTTAGCAAATTTTTTCAATATAGAAATATGATTTAGAGCTTCCCCATATGAATTTATCGTTTTTGAACCGCTTAGTGAGTCCACCAGTTCCACTTCTTCTTCTCAGTCGTTTGGACTACCATATTCAAGTTGGCCTGGGCTTTCTACATCCAAATTCGAAAAGTTGCCAATGGCATTTTCTTCGGTTGTCATCTACTTTCTGGGGATCTGCTACTCCTAAATGTTTGGCATGTCGCAGTAACTGAGCAAGTGTCGCTAAGGGCATCGCAATAATTTTGCTCAGCAAATTCTGAGCTACATTCTCTTTTTCTGAATTCAGCTTTGCCAAAACAGTTTTTAATTGTAGAGGAATTTACTTTATTCCATGCTGTTTTTATAAAATACAAAGCTTCTAACACATTGATAGACTGTAAGCTCAGATAAGCTTTGACCATCGTCAATTTTTGTTAAAATATGTTTTAAAATCAAGTGCCGATAATAAAATTTAAAGTTCTGTATGACACCTTGATCCATGGGCTGACAAACAGAAGTTGTGTTTGGCGGTAAGTATATAATTTTCACATTTTTCATTTTCATATCACGAGGATGAGAGCATGCATTGTCTAAAAATAAAAGAACTTGCCTTTTTTGGATTCTCATTTTCCGGTCGAATTCGACTAACCACTCAGACATGATTTCTCGGGTCATCCATGCCTTTTTGTTGGATTTCCAAGTCGCTGGTAGATCCTTAATAGCAACGTTTTTTAAAGCACGGGGACGAGCCGCTTTCCCGATCACAATCAAATCGCATTTTTCACCGGCCATATTTGCACAGAATAAAATGGTTAGTCTATCTTTAGACAACTCTCCACCCACACATGTTTCTCCTTTAAAGGACAGAGTTTTGTCGGGCAATGCGCGAAAAAAAAAGTCCACTCTCATCTGCGTTGTACACATCTTCTGGTTTGTAGCCAAGCAACATGGACGGAAGTTTCTCCAAAAATTGTGACACATCAACTTGATCTACTGCAGCAGCTTCGCCAGATATGCATTTGAAACTCACACTATGTCTCTTGCGCCACTTTTGCAGCCACCCGTCGGACGCACTGAAATTATTATAGCCCAAAGTAGTGGCGATTTCTTTAGCTTTCATTTTCACTAACGGCCCTGAGATTGGAATGTTCTGACTTCTAGCTTTCACAAACCACTCAAAACATGTTTTGTCTATAGCAAAACCTTCCTTTTTTAAAAAATCCTTCTTTTGTTTTATATTAGTTCCTGATTGCCATTTACTCCTGATATCTTCCTTATTTTTGGCAATTTCAGCTGCTTGCGTTTTCCCAATATTAAACCTCTTTGCCAAATGACGAACTGAAACACTTTCTCTGTCTAATACGTTAACAACTTCCATCTTTTCCTTTAACGAGAGCATCCTTTTTTTGGTGCCATTTTACAGTTACAATAATAAAATACGTAACTCAATCAACTACGAATTTGCCTGAACTGAAGACAAGCCACAAGATTACATACACTCTACCCAACGAAATGCGTAAATGGGGAATCACCTAATATAAATCGGGGAATTACCGATTTTTATGTATGTAGATATGTGCATTGCAATAAGCGGAACTAAAAAATCGTCCGGGTATTAGAGTTTCGTGTCCGCTTATGGGAGATTTTTTGATCACATACAGGAAAATCTAGTGTCCGCGTCCGTTTATAAGAGCGTCCGTTTATCGGAATGCATTTAACATTGGAAATTGATGGCTGAAATTCGGTTCCAGGAACTTTGTCCGGTTAAAAGAGATGTCCGCTTATAGGAGCTGTCCGCAAGGAGAGCTTTCACTGTATATATATATCTCACATTCTCACATACGACTGTAAGATAATTTAAAATCATTTTGCATAATAGTTGCTATTTCTTCTCAATATTATTGCAGCTCCTGATGAAGATGGCAAAATCCATTGAAAGCTAGAGATTAATAAAGTATAAAGAGTCCTCTTTGCTTGAATTTTGTCGAAGTACCCAACAAAAGGCGGAAGCTTTATTTTTCACCTAACTGGTCTAAACGACAATGACCACGTCTGAAGTTATACAGGATGTTTCAGTTTGTTGTTGCATAACTTTAAGATTCGATAGAACTTTTAAAATTAATGCATAAAGTCTATATAAACATGGGTCGAAAAATGCGTGGCTTCCGAAATGCAGGGTGTTTAAATTTACTTTCTAAAATAGTTTTTTTTAAATATTTCGAACAATATTTGATGTATAACAGTGAAAATTGGTATACAAGGGTTTTTTGGTACGACAAAACGAACCATGGGCATAGTTTTACTGTAGCCGCTAGAAGGCGCTCTCTACTGTACCTGTAGTGTATTAAAATGACCGAAAAACTTTTCTTAGTGCAATTTTTTGTTTTTTGAATAAAAAACTGATTCTTCGCACTTTTCAACATAAAAAAGCTCTCTTGTGAATTTTCGTTATAGTTAGCCGTTGTTGAGATATTTCGATGTTTAAGGTTCGATGCATTTTTAATTATTTATGATAAAATAACGTTAAAAAGTCAGTATCTCGATAATTTTTAGAAGTAGGCTGTGCCTGCAAATATTTTTGAAATTGAAAGCAGAATAAGGTTAAACGTCAATTAGTTGACAGTTAGTTTTGTTGTCTGTTGAAACCTGAATCGTTTTTTTTTGTAAGTTTTATAAAAATGCCATTTTTATTCTCCAATCAAGAGTTAGCGGATATTCATTTTGTGTATGGCTTTGTAAATGGACACGCAGCAGAAGCAGCCAGAGAATATGCACGAAGATTTCCAAACAGACGACATCCAACTCGCTCAGTATTTGTAAGAGTGCATCGCCAAATAATTGAAAATAGTTTTGGAAATCTCCAAAGGGATCAAAACATAAATGTTCGTCAGCGCAGATTTACCCGTATGATTCTACGTGAGTTTGATAGAGATCCGACCACAAGTGTTAGGACAGTTTCTGGTGCCTTGGGAATTTCAGCAAGCCATGTTCACAGTGTTCTTAGAAATGACCATAGGCGTCCTTAGCATTTGCAACCTGTGCAAGGACTACAGCCAGGGGACGGAGAACGAAGAATCACATTTTGTCAGTGGATTCTTGATAGAACTGATAATAATAGGGAGTGTTTAAGTAACATTTTATGGACCGATGAGTCATGCTTCACTAGACGTGGAGTGGTAAATTTTCATAATCAACATATTTGGTCGCATGAAAATCCGCGTGCAGTACGGGAAAGAAATTTTCAGCATCAATTTAGTGTGAACGTGTGGATTGGTATCTACCGTAATCGACTATTTGGACCCTACCTTTTGCCTGCAAGGTTAAATGCTGCGACCTTCTTGGAATTTTTAAAGGCTGAACATGCAAATATGTGGGATGATGTTATGTTAGATTTAAGAAGATTGGCCTGGTTTCAGCTTGATGGTTGTCCAGCTCAAACTGGCTGGACGAAAATTATCCAGAAAGATGGATCGGCCGTGGAGGACCAGTAGCCTGGCCTCCACGATTCCCTGACCTAAATCCATTAGATTTCTTTGGGTGGGGATTTCTAAAAGAAAAAGTGTACCAGACTCCCGTAACTACAAGAGATATGCTAATAGACAGAATCAGGAATGCATGTGATGAAATAAGGCCTTATTTGAATAATGCTATGTGTATTGAACGATTGGGTTTACATTTCGAGCAACTACTTTAGATTTTGTATGTTTGTCCTAACTATCCAATAGCATTTTAGTTGTAAGTAATTAATTTAATTTGTTAAAAATAATATTGGAAAATTAAACAAATTAATATTCTGTTTTTTTGTGTTTATTTGGAGTTAGGAATTATTGCTGTGTTTGAAAACACAATCTAAACTATCATCTTAATTACTTGTAATGCCCAAATCGAAAATGTAAAAAAAAATATTATTTTCCCATAAATAATTAAAAATGCATCGAACCTTATAAAATCGAAATATCTCAAAAACGGCTAACTATAACGAAAACTCACAGGAGAGCTTTTTTATGTTGAAAAGTGCGAAGAATCAGTTTTTTTATTCAAAAAGCAAAAAATTGCACTAAGAAAAATTTTTCGGTCATTTTAATACACTACAGGTACAGTAGAGAGCGCCCTCTAGCGGCTACAGTAAAACTATGCCCATGGTTCGTTTTATCGTACCAAAAAACCCTTGTATACCAATTTTCACTGTTATACATCAAATATTGTTCGAAATATTTAAAAAAAACTATTTTAGAAAGTAAACTTAAATTTCGGAAGCCACGCATTTTTCGACCCATGTTTATATAGACTTTATGCATTAATTTTAAAAGTTCTATCGAATCTTAAAGTTATGCAGCATTAAACTGAAACACCCTGTATATTGATAGTAAACTAAAATTTGAGGATCACTATGAATGAATTATTTCAAAAATTGCAACAAAAACAAATTACGTTTATAGAGTTTCTCGTAGTCTTGGTACATATTCGAAGAAAATAGTTTATTTATAATATAATATAATTATTCTATTCACTGCCATTGAAGCTGTATTCTCAAAATTACAAGTCCTGCAAAATGGAGCTATGAGAATAATAGTGAATAAAAATAAGTACACCAACATAAAATAGGTACATGTTACAAATTTCATATCATATTTGGTTCTTATTTTTATTTTTAAAATAAAAAATCATCTTCTGCCACAACATTTAGAACACTACTTAGAATTGAATAATCATTACCACAATTATTATACAAGAGGAAATATAGATTTTCATTTACAAAATTGCAATAGTAATATAACTAGCAAATCAATATTACAGAAAGGCTTACTTGAAATTAATAAACCAAATAATGATATAAATTCTTATTGTAATTTAAAGATGTTTAAAAGAAAATTAAATGAATATTTCATAGACAGTGAACATTCTTAGAGATGCAATTTTTTTTTTTCTAAATATCTGTATGTTATGTGATTGTTTAGGTTTTTAGAAGAATGTAATTTTAGCAATCATGGTAGATAAATATTAAATAAACGATCAAAAGTTCTCCATTACAAGACGTTGATGAGCGAAACAGTGTTGCCAGTTTCGGAGTTTTCACTCCACGTATAAAAAATAACTTACCGAAGTCTTCGGATATTGCCGCACCTCGGCGGTCAATCTGTTCAATGACATGAAGTTCACTTCACCAGGCAATTTTTGTCTATTCATTTCATTCAAAATTTTAGTAGCTACAACTTCTGTATCCACGATATGATAAAATAACCTAAAAAATAAAAGCATGTCCTATACGAGTGTTGATCCGTATATCTCTACCCTGAACTATTTCCAGATTTTTTGACGAAATTTACTCAAAGTAGAACAAGCTATCTTCTTAGGCTATGTTAATAAAATGTTTTGTTTTCTTGGGTTATGCGCTTTTTGGTCCATGTGTGACAAGAATTTTAATAGAGCCAGATCCTGTTTAGGAGAGAGCCTTATAGTCACATTTATTAATGTTAGTAACATCCGAAAATAGTCACTAGAACGAATTTTAAAAACTACAAAGCTACTTTCTGAAAATTTCATCCGAATCCGAGTGATAGTTTCCAAGTTATAGACGGGTCAAGGATTACCGGACAGATAAAGAGACCGACAGACAGACCGACGGAAATGAGTGACAGTGTGGCGTGGAAGTAAAACGGAAAAATATATTTTAGTTTGTGATGCAGTTTAAATTCTCTCCATTACAAAAGGGTTCATACGTAAAAAATGACCCTTGTATCTTTTCGAATAATAAATCGCTTATATCTCAAACAATATTAACTTTAGATAAAAGTTTTAAAGCACCTTCTTTATTCAGATTGTTTCAAAAAAAACCTAAAATACTCTGACTGGGAAAAAAAGTATATTTATGAAATTTGTTTAAAGAACAGTTTTTGACGCAATGTTTGGCCTGTTTTCGAAAAAATTAAGATGTTTGAAAATGTTTTGAAAGATGGAAAAATGTTAGTATTTTAGTTTGTGACACAATTTAAATTCATAAATAAAGTTTCTCTGACTCCATTACAAAACGATGACTGACGCATTTTTCAAACATTAAATCGCTTATATCTCAAAAACTATCAACTTTAGAGAAAGGTTCTAGAACAGCTTTTTTGTTCAGGACGTCCGAAAAAACCTGACACAATTTTGGGCCTGGTAACATGCAGATTTGTTAAAAGGAGACCTTTTTCGAATGAAATTATGCAAAAACTCAGGAACGAGACTTTTTGAACACAATCGTGGTGGAAATGTTGAAAAATGAAAAAATGTTCATATTTTGATTTGTGATACAATTTAAAGTCATAAATAAAGTTTCATTATAAAATGGTTCTGACTTAAAAAATGACCCGCGCATTTTAAATCGCTTATATCTCGAAAACTCAACTTTAGAAAAAAGTTCTAAGTCAACTTTCTGTTTGGAATGACCCGAAAAACCTGAAAACACTTTGAACGTGGCAAAAAGTAATTTTTTATAATTTGTTTAAATAATTGTTTCAAGTAATTTTGGACTTGGCAACATGCGCATTTGTTAAAAAAAATATTCAAAAAGTCCGAATTGAAAATATTTTTCCGAGCAGATGCTCAGATACTTCCTAGACTATAAGAAAAATTCTTACTCCCAAAACATCCAGGAACGAGACTTTTTGGTGATTCTTGGTGAATATGTTGAAAAATGGAAAGACGTTCATATTTTGGTTTGTGATACAATTTAAATTCATAGGTAAAGTTTCTCTGACTTCATTACAAAACGGTTCTAATTTTAAATGGCTTATATATTTAGAAAACGATCAACTTTAGAGAAAAGATCTAAAGCACCTTTTTTGTTCATAATGTGAAAAAATTCTAAAGGCGACTTGGACAAATAAATATTTTTTGGAATTTTTTCAAAAACCAATTTTTAACGCAATTTTGGGCCTGGCAACATGCGAAGATACTACCTGGACTGTAAGAAAAATTCGTACTGCAAAAAAAACATCCAGGAACGAGACTTTTTGAACTGAATCTTGGTAAATATGAAAAATGGAAAAATGTTCATACTTTAGTTTGTGATTCAATTTAAATTCATAAATAAAGTTTCTCGGACTCCATTACAAAACAGTTCTTACTTGAAAAAATGACCCTCGCATTTTTCAAATAATAAATCGCTTATACCTCAAAAACTATCAACTTTAGAGAACAATTCTAGAACAGCTTTTTTGTTCAGGACGTCCGAAAAAACCTAAAAGTACTTTGACTGGGGCAAAATGTGATTTTTTTTGGCATTTGTTTAATAAAACAATTTTGACACAATTTTGGGCCTGGTAACATGCAGAGAGGAGACCCTTTTCGAATAAAATTATGCAAAAACTCAGGAACGAGACTTTTTGAACTCAATCCTGATGAATATGTTGAAAAATGGAAAGACGTTCATATTCTGGTTTGTGATACAATTTAAATTCATAGGTAAAGTTTCTCTGACTTCATTACAAAACGGTTCTGATTTTACATCGCTTATATATTTAGAAAACGATAAACTTTAGAGAAAAGATCTAACGCACCTTTTTTGTTCAGAATGTAAAAAAATTCTAAAGGCGACTTGGAGAAAAAATTATTTTTTGGAATTTGTTCAAAAACCAATTTTTAACGCAATTTTGGGCCTGGCAACATGCAGTGGCCCTTTTCGAATATAATTTTGCAAAAAGACCGTATCAGAATATTTCTCCGAGCAGATGGAAGATACTACCTGGACTATAAGAAAAATTCGTACTGCAAAAAACATCCAGGAACGAGACTTTCTGAACTGAATCTTAGTAAATATGAAAAATGTTCATATTTTAGTTTGTGATACAATCTAAATTTATAAATAAAGTTTCTCTGACTCCATTACAAACCGGTTTTTATTTAAAAAATGATCCTCGCATTTTTCGAATAAGAATCTGGGAAACTATCAACTTTAGAGAGAAGTTCCAAAGCACCTTTTTTGTCCATCATGTTCCAGAAAAACCTACAAACACTATGAACGGAGAAAAAGGTGATTTTTGGAATTTGTTTAAACAATTTTCAATGCAAATTTGAGCCTAACAACACGCAGATTTGTCAAAAGAACCATTTTTTAATAGAATTATGCAAACATTCCGAATCAGAATATTTTTCCGATCAGATGGGAATATACTACCTGGACTATAAGAAAAATTCTTACTCCTCAAAACATCCAGGAACACAATCTTGGTCAATATTTTGAAAAGTGGAAAAGAATTCATATTTTAATTTGTGATACAATTTAATATCATAAATAAAGTTTCTTTGATTCCATTACGAACCTGTTCTTACTTAAAAAATTACCCTCGCATTGCTCGAATACTAAATCGCTTATATCTCGAAAACTATTAACTTTTGAAATTCTAAGTCAGCTTCCTGTTCGAAATGTCCAGAAAAAAAAACCTGAAAACACTTTGACCGAGGCTAAAGTCAATTTTTATAATTTGTTTAAAAAAAATCTTTCAACCAATTTTGGGCTTGCAACATGCGCATTTGTTAAAAATATATGCAAAAAGTCCGAATCGGAATATTTTTCCGACCAGATGCTCGGATACCACCTGGACTATGAGAAAAATTCTCACTCCAAAAAACAACCAGGGACATTTTGAACTCAATCTTGGAGCTGATGGAATTACTTACTTGTTGCCCGCAGTGACTTCAACAGCCGTATAAATCGTGTCCTGGCACTTAAAATTGTCCAATACGAGACCATGGTAGTGAAGTACCAGTTCAGCCTCTTCGCCTCCTCGAGAAGCGAACGTCTCGATCACTTTGCGTACACTGTCTTTGCCATTCATGACCGCCCTGTTCACCACTGATTTTAGCTTTTGATCTGCTTTGATGACGTCCTCTTTCAGCGAGTTCAGATTTTGCTGGACGTGGTTCTCTTTACGCCACAATTCGCTGCAATCAAGGAGACATCGATGAAATGAAGGAAAAACTAGATCTTAAGGTCGCTAGTGATATTTGTTTCTTCGAAAAATGAGATTTGTTAGCTTTGTTAACTTTATGTAGGGCGACTTTTTAGTGTGTGCTTGGTCGACAACTCATTACGCACGATATCTAAAAAAGTTGATTGCAAAATTGTAACCAACAGTGTGTTCCGTGCTTGGAAAAATATTTTTATTTCTAAAGGGTAACACAAACAACTACACGGGTTCTATTTTCAAGTTGTTGATATACAGGGTGATTCACAAGTAGTGACCAAAAATGAAACATCATATACAGGACCGCCTTTTAAAAAGGGTCTCTTATGTAACATTTTTCGTCGAGGGCTTCATTAAATAGAAGTTTGAAAATAAAAAAAAATTCTAATATCTTCAAAACCGTCAGCTGGAATAAACTAAAGTATTATCCACATTCAAGAGTCTTTACTTAAAATTAACGTGCACCAGTGGCGGAATTTTTCCTTAATCTCCTACCAATAATTATTCTTGTGTTTTTTCCTCGAGTGCATTGTTTTCGTAATAATAAAAAAAAATTAGTGAAAACCTTTGGGGTAGGTTGGCGTTGTTGTTGTTGTTGAAGATTTATTTCGCATTAATGCTACAATGTCAATTTTGTATAATGATTCGGTTACATATTTTTCTTCAAGCCATTTTCTGTAATTTCACATTCTTGTCATTAAAAATTAAAATTACGTCACTATGTATTTTGATTATTCATAAAGTGATTTTTTATTTCACCATAAACATTTTTAAATTCGAACTCTGTTTAATATCATTATTCAATTTATTAAATTCAAATACTCCCTTTTGAAATATAGATTTACTGGTTATGCTACTATTACAATTTTGCAGATGAAAATCTATACTGCCTCTAGTTTCATAGTTATGTTAATGACTATTTAATTTTGTGAAGTTCTCTACATGTGGCGGTAATAAATGGTTTTTTAATTTGAATATGAAAGCGAGATAAATAAATATGAAATTGTTCACATCCAACCACTGCAGTTCTTCTAACATAGACTTAATCCTAGCATATTTGTTTTTATTTAAAATGATTTTGTAGAATTTGTAATTTTGAAAATATGTTTTCATTTGCTGTAAACAAGATGGTTGAACAATATAAAAAATGGGGAAGAATTATAGTGTTATACACAATTTTTTTGGAATACATACTAAGATTATGGGAAACTCTATAGAAGTAATTTATCTGTTTCGACATTTTTAAAATAATGTATTCATAATGTTCGTGAAACAGTAGCTTACTATCCACATATATACTAAGATATTTAAATGACTCGACTACTTCAATTTTTTCATCATTAATCATGAGCCTAATTGTATTGTCACCTAAACGTTTCCCTATTGACATACATTTTGTTTTATTATTGTTTAATTTAAGTTTATTGACATTTAACCAATTCATAATTTTTTCAATATCACTTTTTAACAGTTCTAAAGCAGTGTCCAAATGCTTATGTGCTATATATATAAGTGTATCGTCCGCAAATATTTGGATTTTGCAGTGTTCTAAAATGTCAGAGATATCATTTATATAAATAATAAATAGTAACTGCATTAATTTACTTCCCTGTGGCACTCCTACTGATATATTTTGAACAGTTGACATAATATTTCCAACTTTAGTTTTTTTACTGCTATTTACTAAATAATTTTGTAAAATGTGTAATACTGATCCTATAAAGCCATAGTGATGCAATTTCATTAAAAAATTTTCCCTATCTATAGTCTCAAATGCCCTTTTGACGTCTAAACATATTGTTACAATATATTCTTTCTCATCTATACTTCTTGTCCAGTCTTCCACCACCATTTGGATTGCTGTCTGTGTGGAACATTTTTTTCTAAATCCACCTGGATTTTTTATCAAAATTTTGGTTTCTTCAATGAATTCTACGATTTGTTCGTATATTATCCCTTCGAACAGCTTCTCGACATCGGGCAAGACATTAATCGGTCGCATATTTGTATACAGCTAAAAATTTTGAACTTTTGGCACAAGGGTAATGGTGGAACACTTTAATTTTGATGGGAATTCACCATGTACTAAACAATGATTCACCATTAATAATAATTTCTCTCCAATTATATTGAAACAATCATTTAGAATATTTTTTCAGAGATTCCTACTTGGATTTTTATTAGATTTCAATTTTGAGATAGCTTGTCTTAGATTGTTGATGTTAATTGTCCTAAATTGCTTCATTGATGAATTTTGACATACTTGTAATGGACATAAGTTTGGATCACCGTCATCAGTCGTCTTCACTATTTGATTTATACTGTCTATAAAATAAATGTTCATTCTTTCTGCTATAATGAATTTATCTGTCACTACCCCATCTTCGAAACGCATTTTAGATAATTCAGTATTTATATTAGGAGAAACAGTATTCTTTAACGTTTTCCACATCATTTTAGAATCATTTTTATTGCTTTCGATCTTCTTATCATAGTATTTTTTCTTTTCCCTCGTCTGTTGGGAAATCTACGTTGATACTCCTGAGAAGCCGCTTAAGCATACCCCATTACAGCACCCGTACACAAAAGTAATATCGGCGTACTCATCGTTGCTAAATTTCACTTCATAACACTCAAAAATTGAAAAAAGAAACTTTTGACTTGACTTTTACAAAAAAATATATAGTAACGATAATAACCGTATAACAAATAAGTTTCACAAACTATATCCCAAAAAACGTCAAGCTGGTATCAAAGCCTCCTATTTTATTTTGGAACTAATTTTATCTCGACGCTGCATGAATGAACTAATTCGATTTATTTTTATTTTTACGAAAACAGCGCACTCTAGGAAAAAACACAAGAGTAATTATTTGTAATAAAGTGAAGGTAAAATTGGAAAAACTGCACTGCAAAAAAACAGTGGCGTACTATTTTTATTTGGAAAAATAATGACACTAATCTCTTGTATCTCCGCCACTGGGGCACGTTACTTTTAAGTGAAGACTTTTGAATGTGGAAAATACTTAGGTATTCCACATACCAAATTTTAGTTCATTCCGGTTGACGGTTTTGAAGATATTAAAAATAAATGTTTTTTATTTTTAAACTTCAACACCCCGTATCTTTTTAATGAAACCCTCGAGGAAAAAATGTTATATAGAACACCCCCTTAAATTGCGGTTCTGTGTATGATGTTTCATTTTGTGGTCATGACTTGTGAATCACCCTGTATACACACTTCTCTTTCGTACACATTGAACTCAGGCCGTGAGACAAATTTGGTACTCAGTGTAGATGTCAACAAGTAAAAAACAATAAATTCCATTTCTTCGCGTTTGTAGTACATGTTTTGCTTATTACGTACGAAGTAAAATTTGTAGCTTCACTAACCTTCTTGTAGCTTGTAGCTGCAATTTATTTTTCTTCAACTCGTGAATGTGCTCCTTATGATTATCAACTGCTTCCTTCAGGCTATCCATTTCAAGTACCAATTGCGCAACCTTCTTCTTTACCTCATTAACTCTGCTAGCGTCCTTCTCTAAATCAGCCTCAAGTTGTTCCTTATGACGTTGCTTATCTTTTAGCTGTTTATCAAGAGCTTCCGTTTCTTTTTGGATCCATTTGTCTCTTTCATTTTTCGAGGAGAACTGTTGTCTTCTGCCCTGTTTAGCGTAAAGCTCTTTGCGTTTTTGTTCTTTTAAAGCTAGTTCCATTTTGAATTTGTCTTCTTGCATCTTTATTGAGACGTATGCGGATTTGAGCTAGAGAGGAAAAGTGACGTCATATATATATATATATATATGACTATTTGACTACGTTGCGATATAGTTTTTTCCCTTACCCTACTAAAAGTGCCGATCATCTGGCAACGTTAGAAGTGACTAATGGCGTATATATGATGGCGATACAAAATATTAATCTTGTTATGGACGAGTTTCAAAATTTTTAGTTGAACTACTAGTTATTAGTCATGACGGACGTAACAAACATATTGTGAAGGCGCTTGAGATCTTGTTCATTGATGATTATGTTTATTTCTCAGTTGTCTTATTTATTAAAAGAAACAAACAGTATTCATCGGGAAAACACATAAACAAAATATACTCAAAATATAATGTCATTGTACTTGAAAATGGCTACCGTGGTGGCCGAAACATTGTACAATAAACAGGAATTTGAAAATACAGGATGTCCGTAAAAATACACGCCAGAGTGACACGGGAGGTATATTGGCTTCAGATTAATCTGATAAAATCAACATGACCTTAGTAAAAGGTTTCTAGTTTTCGAGATATTGCCACTTTTAAAAACTAGCTATTTAATACTCTTTCAAAAATATATTATAACATTATATATATATATATATACAAAATAAATTATTTGGAGATATGCAGAGTACTGCCCAATCCCGTGCTAAAACAATGTTTTTTTTGACGACATAACTTCTATTTTCTTATGTATATCATGGTCAAGGTCAAACCCAGGACATATAACGCCAGAGTCGTATAGGAACATGAACATTATTCCAAATTTTTTCCTGGACAATGTGACTTGGATCCCTTATCATGCGTTGAAGGTCTTGAACATTAATGGACCCTATACTTGACTGGAACGGGAATGTTGAATTGCCTAACCATTTTTGCGCCTTGACCTGGACTTGGCCATAGGTCAAGCACAATTACCGTAATTTCTCACACACATATAACCCGTAGCGCTAACACATTCTTTCAGGATTATTCTCTGGCTACAAAAATCGACTTGCCCTTAAGGCCCCTTTGGTTATCCTGGGAAAAATCATGAAAATAATGTCTCGGTAGCTTCCCTATACGATTACTGGGTATCAAGTGATATCACCCCAAATATTAAAGAATGCCAAGACCGTGAACGTAAAATTTTCCGCTCTTTACATTTACGGGGTTAAAAATGGGTGTTTCATTTAAAAAAATAGACTTGACCTTCAATAATATCTTAATTATCCAGGAAACTGTATAATCCCCAGATAAACTGACCACACTGTTCTTTCAGGATTGTTATATGGCTACAAAAATCGATTTGACCTTCACATGACCTTGAAGTTCACAATGGTCAAGGTCAGATCCACGGTGACCTTTGGATATCCTGGGAAGAATCTTGCAAATAATGTCTCGGTAGCTTCCTGTACGACTATTGGGTTTCAAGTTATATCACCATACCTGGGAACGACCTTGGCCATCCTAAGGCCAAAATTTAAGAATGATCAAAACCATATTGGAACGTAAAAATAGACTTGACCTTCAAATTAACTTGAAGATCATGGGGAACGTTAAGTCTAAGATCATCATTGAATAGCTGGGGAAAACTCCTATCAATCGCGGTAATTAATTTTCATATCATTATTAGGGTTTATGTTAATGTGCTTTTATTATAAGTTCCCTGAGTATATTAAAGAAGCCTTGGTTTTCGTAAAATGATGTAGGCAGAAGGGCTAAGGCACCAAGCGTCAACACCAAATAATTTTTTTTCTGCACTATTTCATACCTGTTCCAATTCTGCTTCTTTTTCTGCAATGCTTTGTGTTAACGTTGCCAACCTCGAGTCAGCTTCTTGCTTCAACTTATCATCACGCTCTGCTTCTGTTGACAAGTCTTTGATGGTCAATTCCAACTTAATTTTTTCCTTGGTCAATCTCTGTTGGTCGTTCGTCAAGATCTCGCTTTCCTCTTTTAAAGCGTCCAATGCATTTCTTGCAACTTTGACGATTGTTTCATTCTTTTCGATGTCTTCTTGAATTTCCGTCAAGCTTTTTGTTAGGTCCGATTGTACATCTGCCAAAGCTTCTCTTTGCTTTTCCACCTATAAAAGATTTTATACAGGGTAATTCAGAAAATAGAGGCAATATTTTCTACCGTTCTAGTGCGCACACAAGTACCCAACAAAAGGCGGAAGCTTTAATTTTTCACCTAATTGGTCTAGACGACAATGACCACGTCTCAATATATATATATATACATTTGAAACGAATTGATTTGTAACCGTTTTCTTATAGTAGAGAACCTATTTCAATAACCTCTATTCCACATTTAGATAACAAATAGTTCAGGGTGGTCAAAAAAAAAAGATGAAAACCAGACTTTCAAAAACCAAAAAGCCAATTTTACTCACCACGCCTACTAGTTATTTGACGTTATAATACTAAATACTACTACTTTTTATAGTGTTGAAGAGTTCTTCTCTTGTAGGCGTTTGTAATATTTTAAGTGTGTAATTTTTTTTTATTGTCATTTTACTGTTGTTTTACTGCTTTTTGTCCCTAGTTTTCAGTATTATTGACAATTCCTAAATGTTTTTTGTATTATCAACAAGAGAATAAAGAATTTGAATTTGACTATAAAACCAAAATTAAACAAAAGAAAAAAAGACTTTTTTAGAAAAACAAGCTTACATTTAGCTGTTTCTTTTTTTAATTTTTTTGCTCGATTGGAACTTCTCAACCTTCAACAAATAATGAAGCTCGCTCAACTCAAGTTTGCAAATAGAAGCGTGTTACATTTTAACATCAGGTGCTGATCTCATCCCTAGCTTTATTGCAAATTACTGCATTCATGTGTTAGCTAACCCACTTTATACTATTTTCAATATGATCCTAAAGACCAATTCGTACCTGGAAATTTGTAAAATAACGAAAATTTGTCCGATTTCAAATCAGGTGATGACTCTTTGATTGACAATTATCGTGCTATTTCAATTATATGTAACTTTAGTCGGTTATTTGAAATTATCCTTTATGACTAGCTTACATGTATGAGTATGGTATGGTCACACATTTTCTTTCACTGCCACATCAGGGGTACCTCAGGGATCTAACCTAGCTCCTCTGTTATTTATAACGTATACTAATGACCCAGCATCACAGTTAACAAACCTCCATCTATTTTTTGGTAACGACTTGAGTATTTCGTGTGGAATTAGCGATTAGAACGATTGTGAAAATCTCCAATGAGACCTTGATAGTTTAAGTGATTGGTGTGTGATCAATAAACTTGATTTAAATCTTAGAAAATGTAAGATCTTATCCAATACTGTTCAACTATAAGATTTATAACGTAGCTATAAATAGATGTCAGTCGTTCAAAGATCTTTTTGTGATTTTTGATATTAAGCTTACAGTTTCTGAGCATATATAGGGAAATGATCGTGTCAGCAAACAAGGTTTTGGGATATTGTGTCAGAAACTGGTCTAGCTTTGTTGACATGAGAAGTGTGAGAGCACTGTAAATTTCTTTAATAAGGGGTAAGCTTGAGTATGGAGCAATCATTTGATCTTCATTCTATCAGAATGCTATTTCAGCGTAAAAGCTTAAAATATATTGTGGCGAATAGTTCTGTTGGCGCCATCTGTTGGGCGAGTCTCCTACTCGCCCGAGTTTAATGGCCGATCTCTGCTTTTACGCGAACCACGACCGCACAAGCAGCTTGGTGGCGTCTGTGAGGACCGTGACAGTTGTTCGCCTTCTAGATCGACGCGAAGTGACCTCCAATATTCTAGATGTCGCTTTGTGGTTCACCCGGCCTTTCTCGAAGCAGCAATATATAACTCGGGGTCCGGGACATGGAGGAGAGAGTACAGATTACACCAGAGCAGATCGGAGTGGAGTATAGTGCAGTCAATGGCGACATAAGAATTAGTCAGACATAAATAGTGGTGTATATAAATGTTCTATCAAGTTAAATAAATTAGTGCATTTCTTTTTGTGGAATTCAGTGTTTTAATCCACACTCAAAAGAACCCAGAAAAACGCTACAATATGCACTACAAAGTTCATGGTTATTATCCTGAAAGATGTTTTCCTCATGCCATGCTCCTTGAAGGGATGAATTTTGACACTCTAGTTTACCATCACCTTACTAAGAATATTACAACTTTGTGTAATGTAGTCAATAATGGATTAGGCTGCCCGGACTTACAAGTCAAAATTAATTTTGCATTGGCGTCAAAAACCACACACTTCAACTCGACTTTTTACAATCCAACTGGTAGGACATAGCATATCTGTCTCCAATAAATAGAATATGTAATAGTTCTGATAAGTATTGTGAAGGATGTGGCATTAGCTCTGATAATGTACAGGTGGCCTATGGCATACGATAAGGAACGAATGTAACTCATCCTCAACCTTTTTATTGCATTTTTTCTTTCTAGAATATCTTATATGTCTATCTTAATTATGCTTTTTAATTGTGTTCTTTTTTAGTTTATCACTCTTACTTTGACATACATTTTGTAACTAGTTATAGTATGACAAACTGTTACTGTATTCTTTATTGTTATTTCTGAAATCGGGAGCAAACCTGTCGGAATAATTATTATCAATATTGTTGATTTTTAAAGGTTCAGACGTATAAAACAGCATATAACCAATCGACCTAAGTATTTTTAAGTTTTTTTCTTGCTATAAACGGCTCAATAAAAAAAAATATTCAAAAATGTGTTTTTCTTTAATTTATTTAAACATAAACTCGGAACACTTACGTTAGCAAGGTTTTCCTTATTCGCAGTCAATTCGACCTCATGTATGACAAACTCCAGTGTCCTACGAATCTTGTCAAGTTGCTGATACTGCTTCAGCTCTTCGGTCTGTTCTTCCAGAGAATGGAGCTTTTCTTCGATATTCTTCAGAAGTTTATCAGCTTCCTGAGATTTTATCATCGTATCTTTCAGGGTAGCGATAGATTCTTCGCGTCTTTCGTCGTATACCCTAGTGCCAGCTACTTCGCGTAATACTTTTAGGCGATAGGAATCTGGTGCAGCAGCCATTTCATCGATCTAAAAAAATGGCGTTAAGATAGCTTGTCTCTGCACATCCGCGTCACGCTGTCATAAAGTATTATGTTCGGCACAAGTGAGAAAAACATTAGCAACAAACATGTATAAAAAAATGGATCAAGTCAGTCAAACAGGTCGATATTTTGTAAGAAAAAAATAATACGCCAATGATTTTTTCCAAATAAAAATTATTTTTGAATTTCCCGTTCAATTCTAAACAAATAATCTCTCTTGAATTGTTTTCCTTTGATGCGCCATTTTTGAGTAAAAAAATAAAAACCGTTCTATTGTCTAACTTATTATTAATTTAATTGGAAAAATTAAACACATTAGGAGTAATGAACAACAACAACTGACAACATAAACATAACATTAAAACCAACGAAATGATTACAAAAATTGTTGAAACTGGCCACCTTCACTTAGTATGCATGCTTCCGCCCTCCTCGTGGAATTGCGCACTCGTTGAAATATCCCTGGAGTGTTTTTATTCTATCACAAGCTACAACTATTCTTTCTGTTAATTCCTCTACAGTGTTAATGGGACTTGTGTACACTAGTGTCTTAAGATAGCCTCACAAAAAGAAATCTATACTGTTGAGGTCTGGGGACTTTGGTGTCCATTCTTGGGGCCCACCGCGGCCTATCCAACGATTTGGATAAACAGTAAATAATTACGAACCGCTACACTGAAATGCGCTGGTGTACCATCATGCATGTACCACATATTGTTTTTTATTACTAACGGAACATCATCAAGCAGCAAAGGCAACTGTTGTTGAAGAAAATTGAGATAAGTCTGTCCGTCAAGTCGTCCCGGCAAGAAGAATGGGCCAATAAAGTGTTTGCCAATAATTCCTGCCCATACGTTAACCAAAAATTGGTGTTGGAAATGGGTTTCGGTTATTACGATACAGGGATTTTCTTCTGCCCACAAATGATTATTGTGGAAATTCTGAATGGCATTTCGAAAAAAATTAGCTTCGTCCGTGAACAGAATCATTGATTCAAATTGCGGATTTTGTGTAATTTTTTGAAGATACCACTGACAAAAGGTCACACGCCTTAGAAAATCAATGGGAAGTAATGCCTGTACTCTTAAAATATGGTAAGGATATAACAAAAAATCCACAAACAATTTGATGGCAAAGATTTAAGTGTCTAGCGATCTTCCACGTACTCGTTTCAGGATGTTCTTCGATTTCGTGCAGCACTGCTCAATTTCAGGTGTTATCACACTTAGAGGTCTACTTTCAGATGTTCCTTTTCAGATAGAACATTTTTTAACAAGACGACGATTAATATTAGAAAAGGTTCGACTATCTGGCAAAGCACGATCGGGATATCTCTGGTGATAAATCCGTATGGCTTGCTCACCACTAAAAAGATGTCACAGAGAAACAGATTTGAATAACAGAGACTTGTCAGATGTCAAAAGCCAGTGACATATTCCCGAGCAACTAGATATTTATTGCTAAATTGCATTCTTCAATTATTACATTAATTTTCTCGGACAATAGAACGGTTTTTATTTTTTTTACTCAAAAATGGCGCATTGAAAGAAAACAATTCATGAGAGGTCATTTGTTTTAAATTAAACGGGGAATTCAAAAATTATTTTTATTTGACAAAACACCGTTGGCGTACCATTTTTTTCTTAAAAAATATCAAAGTCAATACCCGTACGCACGCCACTGTTATAGCTAAAAATTACTTTAGCATTGAAAAATATGCAACTTTATTAACTTTCACTACGTTCTAAATATCAGTGAAATATCTGAAGCGGTTCTGAAAATAGTAATTAATTTCCATTTTTTCCGAAAACTTCATCACCCCGAGTTTTTGTAAGGTAACATTTTTGGACCATAGTTTATAAAGCAAACTAACATTAATGTTTCATGTAGATTCACACCCTTAAATATTCGCATATCATTAAGGAACACCCTGTATAGTTCATATTTTTTCCGTAAATAATAAATTCAAAAAGTGTTTAATAATGCCCATTTGAGTCGGCTCTGTTACAAAAAATAGTAGCATGTTTATCAGACACCCAGTAAGGAAATATGTCAATTTTGGCTGTAGCTGACTGGAAGTTTGGCAATTATACTATATTATACAATAATGCATTAACCTTGAAAACATATAAAACTGTAATTTAGCCGTCATACTGGATCCGCTAGTTAGATTTTTAATGAATCGGTACTTAATTCGTTTTTAGATATTGACAACACTTGAAATTTAATTTTGAGCGCGATCAAAACGCATCGCATCGCACAACATACTGTGCCAAGATAAAAACAATATCTTGCCTCTTCTCAGATTTAGCGCTAGGGATGAATGAGATGTGCAAGGACCGCGTCAGTGCCGTGGCATAGAACGCAAACTTATGTCATGTGACGTCACGGCTGAAATAAACCAGTTATACTATACTCGTATTATATGCAAATGAAGCCAGCAGTATTTTCGCCTATAGGAAACTTTCTAATTGTCATGGCGAGTTAATATTTTATTCAATTCATTAGCAATTATCTTAATCACGTTCTAGAATATTATTATAATAATATAAAATAAACACGTGTAGAATCGTAAAAATATCGTTTGAACCTCGATTCTTAAAAAGTTGGAAGGTATTTTAAAATTTCCTTTTCCAAGCTATAAATACATATTACTCACCTTTCCCTGTTTAACAATGTAATATGGATTGCTATTTGAGAACCCTGCAGATTCAAACAACTTGACAACCTCTGGTCTTGTGACAAGTTTTTTATTCAGATAATACTGATCCGTTTTTCTATTGAGCTGTCTCTTCAAGAAAATTTCTTTTTGTTCAATCTATAAACATGTTAAAATATTAGATACAGTCAAATATTTTTTGAAATTTGGAACAAAATAGAAAATGTTTGATTCTTTACCGGTATTCTATGATCCGAATTGTCAAAAATGATCTCAACGAAGGCTGAAATTGTCGTAACGCTAGTCCCATCATAGAGTAAACTTAGTCTTTGTTCATCCCTCAACCGAGCAAATTCGTTGCTTAATACGAATTGAATCGCTGAAAATAATTTAAGAAAAACTTTATGTGTGACTTATTATAGTCGAAATCACGAAAGGTGACGATTACGTCATCATTTTAGTCTGTAGTAAAGACAAACGACAGCAATTTGTGAATATTTTTAATGAAGTTTCAGATATGTTAGACAGAGACAAACAGAATTTTATTGTCTAAACAAACTGTATTGTTAATTTGCATGTATCCGACAAAGATAGACGCTGTTTTCATGTTGCATGATCGACCATATTTGAAAGATGAATAGTTAGGTTATGTTAAAGCAGGTTAAGTTGTTTTCGAAAAATACCTTGGTCTTTCGTGTTCCTGTCTCAAGGTTTTCTACTCATAACTATTTGTTTTTCAACACAAACTCCCCACTAAAATTATTATTAAGGTATCAATCGAAACCATGAAATAAAATGAAAATAACAATAATCAGTGAAGTAACTGAACCTCGCAAAATCATAATATAAATTTGTTGTCCTTATGTCCCTGACATCGTGATTTTATCATCGACGTACGTCCATCGATTACTTTAGTACAATTTAGGGTATGACGAAATAGTCATCTTTCGTGATTTTGATTATATGTATGTCTAACAGGTGCATAGTATCACTGAGATCAGCAGCTTCTTAACAATAGAAGGTCTTTCACTAACACCAGATATGCAACAATTTACAGCTATTTACCGCCTGAAATGAATCTCTGAAACGTTCTAGCACTGTTTCAGCGACTTTATTATTAATATTCGAACTTCCGTTCACAAGTTTTCTGTTGCTTAAACATATCTCCATCACACAAGTCCGTTTTTCTCATTTATGTCTGTTTGTCAGTCCGTGTCTGTTTTATATTAAAGCGCCATAAGCACTGAGCCAATCTACTTGACGACATATTCGAAGAACCATCATAGACGGAGTTTACATATTAAAGGTTAGACAAAAGGGGTTGTACATTTGGGATAATAAAAATATACAGGGTGTTCATTTAAACACTTCCCACCAAGGATTTATCAAAAACTACTGATTAAAAGAAAACATCCGAAACACGTCGAAAGATTTGTCAAGGGGGACAACTCTAACCAAAAACTACTTCACCCTGGGCCATTGTTTATTAATGAAAATTTGAATGGAGACATTTATTTGGATACGATGGAAAATAACGTCAATCCGCTTATCACTGAAACCATTGAAAACTAAGTCGAAGAGGATGGAAACCCTACACCCTACACTATGTTGCGATGGCTAGACGACGAGTTTCCAGATAAATGGATAGGACGAAGAGGGCCTATAGAATGGACTGCTAGATATCCTGATATGACGCAATTAGACTTTTTTCTATGGGGCCGTTTGAGAGCTGTTGTGTTTACTCCCCAACCTCAAAGTTTGGATGAACTTCGTCAATGCATCATCGAAAGCTGTCATGATATCACAACATGTTTTTGAAAATCTCCGTCACGAATTTCAACATGGCCTATATTATTGTTTGGCCAATAAAACGGACAAACATTTTGAACACATTGAAATGAAAAGTGATATTTTCGTGTGTTTTTGTTTTCTCTCTGAACAAATTAAGATAAATAAACATTTTTCTAATTTTCTCGAAAACGAATCGACCGATTTAAAATAAAGATCTTTCAAACAAGCTACTACTTGGTACCCCTTGTCATTTAAAATTTTTGAGGGGATGACCCTGGGGGCGGAGGCAAAGTTATCCCCCTTGACAAATCTTTTGACGTGTTTTAGCGTTTTTCCTTTCAATCAGTAGTGTTCGAGAAATCCGTGGTGGGAAGTATTCAAATGATGTGTAGATATAAAAACAGTGAAGTCATCATATACAAAAACATCGCAGAACGACAAAGGGCCGTATCATAAATCATTTCTAAAATTGTAGGGCGCCTTCATGGCCTCTTTGATTTTCATAGTCTTCTCCAACATTAGGCTGGGATATTTCTAAAATTCTACTGTTCCGTGTCAGCTTCAGCGCTCTCCTGTTGCGAAGCTGTTTTCTTTCAAATTTGTAGGAAATTCCAGGCTGATATAAAAAATGATATAAATCAAAAGCATGAACAATTTGATGCAAACAGATTTGTATCATAACCTTAAAATAGAGCGCTAACACGGAACAGTAGAAAACTATGAAAATCAAGGAGACCATAAGGGCGTCCAACAATAATTGTAGGAAAGACTGACGATACGGCCCTAACATATATAAATGAAGACACAAGGGGATAAAGGTGCCATGTAACAAAATCATTGTATGGAGAAAATTGACTTTTAATATTTCTTATTGGACTTTTTGCTTTATTGAAATTTTAAATATATTTAGTTTAATTAGTTTGTAATTATCTTGTTTTTGCAATAAGTAATCACAGAATGAAAGAATCACTCCTTAAGGTTTGTTGAATGCAAAAAAGCAATTTTAAAAAAAATGTTACATGACACCTTTATCCACTTGTGTCTTCAAATATTTCTCATGTGTGTCAATGATGACACCACCGCAGACCAGTTGGGGTTTGTTACCCATTGCACAGTTGGTAGTGGCCACGCAACACCAACGATTGCAAATTTATTTCCAATTATGAGCACATTATACATCGGACATTTATCATTTAATTTTCCCGTTGCTACTGGGATCAGAAGCTTCTTAATGAAGAACGTCTTACAAGTTCGCTACCGCCCCAAAATTTCCAACCCCTACAAAAATGCTTAAGAAAATGATCAAGAAGTTATATACGGTTATAAAATTGGCGGACAAACCGACAAACAGACAGACCGACTAATGAGTGACATGGTTTTTCGTAATGTACATATGTCATATAACATCCAAAAACTATAGTATATCAATTTTGAAATGTTTCGCGATTACAGTAGTTTCTCGCCAGTTTTGGCATAGGAAGTAAAATGATATCAAGTAGTTAGAATCTACACTTCCCATGTAATTATCTCATAAATAAGATCAAGTTCAGTTTATTTTCAAACTTAAACCAGATGGAATACGATTTAAGAAATCGAACAAAGCAATTGCAGGTGAGGTACAGATCAACCTGCTTGGAACAGATTTCTAACAGACTGAATATAATTGCCATGATTTTTTTATGTTTGTTCACACACAGGATGCTTCAGAAAAACATGACAATAGTTTTAGAGTAGAAAGGACATCCAAAAATAAGAAAAAAGTTCATATAAATATATGTTCTAAAATTCCAAATTACCAAGTTGTAAATTTCTACGCCACTGATAAGACGGAATAAGAGCAAAACATGAATATTGTTTAAATAAGGGTATAGTTGGTTAGGATTACCCTCCCAATACACTATATACGATTTTCAATGTCAAACATTATTGAATTCAGCGCCCTTTGAAAGTAGAACCGCACGGGTATCACGTATCTTGAAAAGTGACATTATGCCGATTTTTTTTGATATTATGCTGTTTTTTTGACATTATGTAGGTTATTCTACAAGATGTTAACTTAGCACTTAGTTGTACGTGTTGCCTAAACGTCATGAGGCTTGTTATCAATCTTTGGCTCTGATGTGATGCATGCTTCTGAGATGGCTTTACTGGAGGTCTAAGCTGTAAGTTGTATAAGTTGATGATAATTACATTGGGTTCTTGTCTCAAATACACTTAATTGAGATTCAAAGCTAGAAATTAGTTGCGCATCCACTTTTACCTATCCATTCTGGAAATTACATATACAAATTTACTGAATTTCAAAAATGAGAGAGATATGAAATAATTATATTCACTGTACACTGTCGAATTACAAGCCATATACATGCTAACAGTAATTACACACAACGCGGGCGCGGTGATGATTTCCCGTAATTCTCTCAGTTTTTCGTAATTTTTATAACTTTGAACATAACCTATCTTCAGAAAGCACAACATATAAATAACCCGTCATATTCGGCATATTCAGTAATGATTTCCTCACACAGCAAATATCACTGAATTTATACACATGCAGACCAATACACAGAATCATCCAGATGCGATCTTGCTATTCAACCAACTTTCTTCTCAGAGATAAAAACTACAAACTCGGATCACTCAGCCTCACAAAACTATGCAACCAATAATGCGTAGTTTAGTTGAGTGATTCCTCGATAGATGGACGTTCACAACGATCCTAGTAAGCAAACGTGGAATGACTGTTTGCGCCCTAAAAACTACCTAGTCTGCAAGTTGACATCTTATAGGTTTTTTTACGTTTTATAGGTTTGATATCCGTGCGGCACGAGAATTACGGGAAATCATCACCGCGTCCGCGTTGTGTGTAATTACTGTTAGCATGTATATGGCTTATTGTAATTCGACAGTGTACAGTGAATATAATTATTTCTTACCTCTCTCATTTTTGAAATTCAGTAAATTTGTATATGTAATTTCCAGAATGGATAAGAAAAAGTGGATGCGCAACTAATCTCTAGCTTTGAATCTCGATTTTATGTATTTGGTTTCAGCAAAATACATTTGGGAGAAGTTCTCTTAATACGGCCCTGACTGTTCCAGTAACATTCACTAGGAAGAGACAACTTTTTGCTTTACTAGATATAATTTTAGTTCCCAAAAGCAAAAGCTGGTTTTAAACTGAAACTACACGAAGTCTAGTAGGCAGGTTATCATTTTATATTCTTGGATAAAATATAACACTTAGCAATCGCAGGCAAGCAAGTTGATGGTTCAAAATGCTATTGGAATCAAATAAGACTCTTCCAAAGTGCGAAAGACTGGCTATAAATTTTCTATAGCTGCATAATCGTCTAAGTACCTATATTTGTGTGCTGCATTCACTTACCATAGAAGAAATTACTTTTGCCCGAACCATTTCTTCCAACAATTACGTTGTGCCTCTTATCAAACGGCTCAACCACTGTTATATCTTTGTAGCTTTTGAAGCCTTGGATAATAACCTGTAATTGATTTCCCATTTTCCATTTACTAATATATAAAAGACAAAATAATGTAACATACCTGTTTAATATGCATATTCACAAGAAAATGCTTTCTTCAGTGGCGCAAAATCTCTTCATCAAAGAGAAACATGTGGAAGTGCTACCACCTTAAACGGTCTCAAAAGCGGGAGAAAGCATTTTGCGTTTTCATTGGTCAAATTTTGAATATCGCGGGGAACGTCTAAGCTCCATCCAATAAGTAAACAGCCATTTCTCGATAAAGCCCGATCTTACTCGAAGCATTTCCACGAATTCAAATCTGGTTATAGTTGGCTTTGGTCACTTGGTGGAACATTTGATTTGAAATTTTCGGTGTGTAACTATGTTTTGGGGTAGCACCAGTGGCGGCTCGAAAAACTTTTATCAATGGTGTTTGAATAAAAAAGGTAGATATTTTTGTTTAACTTTTCTGATGATTTTGGGCTAACTGTATTGATTTTACCAGCCACGCATAAGCAAAAATCTATATTACTTATTTCCGCCGATTGGCAGCGTTACTCTTACTCGCGTAATCTCAAAAAGTCTACGTTAATCGATATTTATGAGATGTTAGAAAAAGATAACGACACTTTTGAAAAAAAAGGGTTAGTTGCGGCGGAATTATGAGCCAGTTTCAGATAATTTCAAAACATCTAGTTATGTACATTTCAATTTTTTTCTCAAATGCATGAGCGTAGTCAACATTTTTCAGGATGACTCCAAATTTTGAATTGCTAGCCAAGTAATTACCAAAAACTAAAAGAACATCACAGCTTTTATATGCTTCATGGTAGTATATCACATTTTTGTATTTTCTGTTTTGCAAGAGTAGTCAATCAACTTGTTTGACAGTGCCAACATTCTCAAAAAACCATAGACGGTCTTTCTATTTTAGTAAAGGTCTCATTGTAAAATACTAGGTTAAGTAAAAGTCAGTAACGAGGTGATCTTGATCTCTATCAGAATCACTTTACTTGGAAAAATATAGAGCCGTTTCGTTACTTTTGTTATACCCCAGGGCGTACTCAGATCATAACGGAAAGGAGGGGGGGGGGGCCACCTTGAAAAAAATTGTTGGTGGAAGTTATATATAAATCATATCTACTTAACTATACTTGATATTTTTTTTTATATTTGCATTTAATTGTTTTATCCATTTATAATTATATAATATATTTTTTATATCGAAGCAGCCACGGAGGCTGAAGCCTAAATGTCGGAACACCGCGGCTGCTATGATGATCCCAAAGAAATGTTATTAAAACGATTTTTGAACTGCCTAAGGTTAACAGAACTGGGAAAAGCTTCCTCTTGTGGATTGTTCCACAATCTCGACACCATCGGGACAAAGGAGCGGTCGTATCTGCCGGCTCTGGATGTACGAAGTTCGACACGGTTAGGATGGGACGCCAAAGTCAGGCGGGTCTGTCTGGCAGGCACATCGCGCGGCGGCATCATGGAAGAGAGCTCTGAGGAGCAAAGCCCGTTGGTGTAACGGTAGAAAAGAGCTAGATCGCCGACAGCCCGCCGGTGCGAAAGCGTCCCGAGACTGTCTGTTAGAGAAGAGTCATCGATCAGTCGGACCGCCCTCCTCTGGACAGCATCGAGCATGGATAATGTAGTCGGGGTGGCAACACCCCAAACGTGTGAGCAATACTCGAGGCTAGGCCTTATCTGGGCCTTGTATAGAGTGAGAAGGTCATGCGGAGAAAAGTACTTCTTAGCCCTAAACAAATAGCCTAGCTTTTTCCCAGCGGCTGCAGCTATTGACGAGATGTGTTCGTGCTAGATCAGGTCCTCGGTGATCTGGACTCAGACCAGCCGAAATGAATGTATCTTTGGCAGAACTCGACCATCCATCGAAACCGGGTGAGCGCAGGGACGCTTTTTGTTCGTCAAAGTACAGTACTGCGTTTTGGAAGCATTGAACTGTACAAGATTGTTGCGTCCCCAAGCAGTGATAGCCTCTAGGTCTCTTGTCAGAGAGGAAGTCATCGCTAGTCTTCTTTTTTCCAACTCAGCGGCAGAGATCGGCTTGTCACTCTGAATTCCTGCATGTAGAGTGCTGTCATCAGCGAAGCTGTGGATTGGGTTGATCGTGCAGAAAAGGAGGTCGTTGATATGTAAGAGAAACAGTGTCGGAGCCAAGACCGATCCCTGGGGAACACCCGCGTTGACGTTGTGTGATGAAGAGGAGAACCCGTCAATTACGACGGATATCTTGCGGCCAGAGATAAAGTCAGCCACTCATCTGCAAAGCTTTTCTGGGAGGCCATAGGATGGAAGTTTGCTTAAGCGGGCAGCGTGCCACAGCTGATCGAATGCTTTCAGGATGTCAAGAGCAACGACATCAGCCTCACCATAAGACTGGACGAGTTTTCTCCACAATTGAGTGACGTAAGCTAGGAGGTCTCCTGTGGATCATTGGTGCCGGAAACCATACTGCCTATCGCTAATCAAGCCGTGACGTTCGAGGTAGTCCAGAAGCTTGCGATTTATGCACCTCTCCATCACCTTACTTAAAACAGAAAGCAGAGCTGTAGGCCTGTAGTTGTAAGGGTCGGTCTTAGATCCCTTTTTTGGGATGGGTTGGACATGAGCAAATTTCCAGTTTTCTGGGAAGGTGCCGGATTCATAAGATATCTGGAAGAGACGCGAAAGAACTGGAGCAAGCTCCGGTGCACACCTCTTCAGTACAATGGCAGGAATCAAGTCCGGACAAGAAGTTTTGTTGATGTCGAGCGACAAGAGCACTCGTCTTACGGTCTTATGCCTCAATATTACCTCCCTTTGAATATGATAATTCATATGGATATAACTACTAGGCTTACTTTTTTAAAACATTCAAGAAAATATTGCGCTAGATGCTTTTTTAAGTAATAACTTAGTCGTTTGCAATACTTGAAAGCAACACTTGAGATAATATATGACAAATATTTGTTATACTGCCAATTTTATACACCTATTTATAAAGCTAAAATTAGTTTTATATGTAGAAGGATATGTACCTAGTTTGTTCTAGAATGATTTGAAAAACAAATTTGTCATATTTTCACCATTGTGATCTCCGAAACTGTAAGACATATGGGACGGGTGAATGCGGCAAAGTTGCGGATTTATACACGATGTTTTCAAAGCTTTTTTAACAGCTTGTAGAGCTCGCCAAAAGAAGTTGATATACTAAAAATCACCTATATAAAAGATGCATAATAAGAGAGTTATTTTACATTATTAAAAATGATTTACAAAAAATCATTTTCAAGTTAAATGGATACCGTTTTTACAAAAAATGTTCAAACTATGTAACTCTTCTAGGATAATCTTCAGGTTGTAACGCTTGCACCCGCTATGTAAGGATAAATACTGTTCTTGTCGTATTGTCTTCCACACTTTACTATGAGTTACTTCAACTTGAGCTGCTATGGCTGTAGTACTCATTGTTGGGTCGTCGCGGACCATTTCTAAAATGTATTCCGCAACAATTTGTAGCATTGCAGGTTGAGCAGGTCTTCCAGCGTGACCTCCTCGTTGTTCTTTTAAATATCCTGTGTCACTATAATTTACAAACTTCCGTGGGGCCGGATGATTTCTTAAAGGAAACCTTTCCGCGCACAACTTGCATGCTGCGGCTGCATTTTGTTGGCACTCTCTGTATGATGGTCTTATGTGCACTAGATCATTGTTTTCGTAATCAAAAATATATGTAATAACACTGATTTTTTTTAAATTTTTAATATTTTACTATTTCTTTTATTATGCAAGTTTTCTATAGGTGATTTTTGGTATATCAACTCCTTTTGACGAGTCCGACAAGCAGTTCAAATAGATGACTCAACTTTAAAAATGATGATTTTTTGTCTCTTATCTTCCGTTTCAACTTTGAGTTTTCTCAAGTAAGCCATAACATGTTAGTCATTGATATAAGATTTCGAATGAGGAGCAACATAACGTAAGTCATTTACATTATTTAAGGGTAATAATCGAAAACGGTGTAATTTTAAAAAACCGAGAGCTATTCCACCGTGTAGAAGAGAAAAAGTGGTAAAGTTATTATGTAATTTGTTTGAAATTTGCAACCAATGTGGACGTTTGAAAAGTTTTGTCTCTGACTAAAGTCAGGAAAAAGTAAAAAAGACTTAAGAGTAAATTAAAAAATACATACTTTGAACTTCCAAACTATCCAAGTTCCACTGTGATACGTCAATATATTTATGATGAGATGTTATACAGGGTGTAAACGTTATGATAGTAATTATTTAAATGGGTGATATAAGGGGTTAAAAGAAGCAAGAAGTTTCATATAACATGGGGGTCAAAACGGAATTGTTTTAGAGAAAAGCGACTGAAAAGTAAAATAAAATCTGACAACGCCGCAATGCCAGACGCAAATTCCCACGGAACGCAGTGTAAATAAAGATACAAAAACCACTGACAGAATGTTAGTCTGTGATAGTCTTTGGTAACAAGGCCTGCACTCGTTGTACATGGTAGGGGTAAAGCAAATTTTCCCGTAGGATGCTATGGACTATGGTATGCGATAGTCCTACGCGGCGGCCTAATTCCCGAGTGCTGATTTCTGCATTGATTTCCACGATATTTAAAATTTGTTCCTCCTGCTCTACTGTAACCTGTCTTTCACGAGTGCGAATATTAGTGGGCTGAACACTTCCTGTACTCGAAGTCTTTGGTACACTTGCACAAATGTCCTTCTGTCTGGGTGTACCCGTTGGCGAAATCTATCACGATAAATTTGAGCTGCAAGATTTGAATTCGGTAAATCAAGACGACGACGTACGCGAACAAAAACAAAACAGCATACTAACCACTGTTACTGTTTTTCGATCGATTGCTGGTTCGATAAGAGTGATGATGACCGACGCGCTGTTGTCATGTGTGTTTTAAATATTCAATTTAGTGAAACTTACTTACTGACTACAAATTTTGACTAAGCTTAGAAAAACTTAATGGCATTTATTTGTTAATTACCCAATTTAAAAACGTTTTGGATTGGATTATAAAAGTTATTAAGATTGTGGTCGATATAAAGCACTTACAGTTGTAAACTACAAAGCCATTTAGACAAAACTCTATTGACTTTTGGGCCATGGATCATATGAACTTTTTGATTCGTAAATGACTACAGAAGCTGGTTCAATAATGTGGCTCCACTACTTCCTGAATATAGCGTCGGACTGTCATATTACCTCTGATGAAAATTAGTGGTGATCTGCTACCATAAGCAATAGCACTCCGTACCATAACTTCCACGTTGTGGTGAACGTGCCGCTCTCTGTCAAATTGTGAGTCACGTCTTTCATCATGTCGCCTTTTCACTTTTGCCCGACCATCGTGCATCCCCAGACAGAAGCGGAAATCGTCACACTGGTCTAAAAAATTCAAGTTCAGGACATCAGTGCCTCTGACATAAAAATTAAAAACTTGACTGGCGGACAGATGGCAGATGACAACCCTACCCTTGTACTCTTAGGGTACAGCCTAAATGTGATTAAAATATTAAATCTAATTTAAAAACGAACAATTTATTGTTAAATAACAAAATTATTTCTTCTTTTTTGTCTTCCTGTGAATCGATTAATATTAATACTTACCGTCTCCTTTGAATCCAATGCAACAACTTTTTTGTGGTTTTGTCCGTCACAGTGGCGGATTTAAGTAATGGCAAAATGGACATTGCCGCCTGGGGCGCCCCAAGTAAGGGTAATCACAGGGGCTCCCCAGCAAAAAACAGCTCTAGTGTCTTTATTGTTCAGCGCGTCTGAATGTAAGATTGATAACAAGAAATCAGAGTGTTGTTATATTCTTTTAATGATCTTCTTTGGCTAAAGGCACACTCAACAACTACTCTAACCTCTATATCGAAAGATCAGTAGCTAATACACTCAATTTGGATTCTGCCATGGAAGTTTTTGCTGAACGAAAAGCAAGACGCGGATTCAAATTAGAAGCATTCTGTTATTTGTATTGAATAAAAAATGGTTGATCTCACAGTCTCTACTTGATTCAGGTTATATAGACATATAGTAAAAAACAGAGGTAATAGTGCACAGCAGCTACTATTATGCATATAATTGTAAGCCCCTGTTAATATGTGACATCGTTATTGCCAGCAAAATCTGTAGTTCAAACTTTATCTGAACAATTTAGATGGATTTTATGTTATTGAACAATTTTAGATCCGCGTGAATATTAAAACAGCTGAATTAACTGTTTTAGTGGCACGTTGAAGCAGCATCAGATTAACTTTTTGCATCAAATTACTATTAAAAAAACCTTTTGCACTATCCATGAGCTTGATTCGGTTACTTGTGCATGTCTTTCTAATTTTTTTATTCTCAGTTGCCGTCATTAATTTGCAAATAGCGATAAATGTGGAAGATATCACTTTCGCAAATAGTGCCCAGGATCTATCCTGTAGTAATGCACACTATTTAGCGTATTTTAGTGTTGCTCACCAAGTTTGTATTCAATGAAATATTAATCACGGCAAACATGACAACTATCGATCATATTTGTTTTTTTTTAATTAGCAAATTCTATACATAGCGTGCACTCCAAATTTGACTCGACGCCCTTTACTTATCGGTAGCATCCGTGATAACTTTTAAACTCTATTATGCCCAAGAAGTTTGCTGGTGAATCATCAAGTTTAATTTACTTCAAAAAATTACGATGCGCATTACAAACTGTCCCCTATTAAATGCAAAAACCAGGCTGATGTACGATTTCACTAACATGATATTACGCATTCAATTTTGATATCAATTTCTGTGTTATCATGCAACTTTCAATGTTTCCATTGCCATATTTTATTTGTCAATAATTGCAGTAATTCATGTTATTCGCAAAACAGTTATAGTGCGCACTATTTGCCGTCTGTCCCCGATCATTCCACTGCCTCCCCCCAGTGCATATAGCCCCTTTTACTTAAATCCGCCACTGGTCCGGCAAAAAGTATTTTTTATCAAATTTGCTCACGGCTCAAGCGCGCGCGAAGAAGTTTATCCTAAATCAAGCTGACCGCATAGGCAACCAGTCTTGCGCTATCATCTACGAGCTTTCAGTTAAATCAATGTTGACGGATGCAGTGCTGCCAGTGTTTAGTAGAAAATACCAGTACGGCATCCATTTAAAGGTTGATTCTCACTATACATTCCGTTTCCATTCCATATCAGTTTCGTAAACGTTCCGTACAATATGATTGTATACACAGTATACTTTACGGATAATGTGCATACACACGCAATAGCCTGCTTTAAGCGAATATTTAATTTCAATAATTTACGGAACGGTTACGGAATGTATAGTGAGAATCAACCTTAATATGTGTGCATTACAGATTTATCTAAGAGATTTGGAACTTTAAAAAATGGTGGCCGAACTAAATACGCCTGGGGGGGGGTCATGACTCCCCTGAATCCGTGCCCGATTCTACGCACCCCAGGCATTTTGAGTGATCACAAAAAGGCTTCCCGATAAGCTACACGAAATTTAACATTTAACTGACACCATAAATGTACGAAAACTGAACGCTTCTTTATCACCAAACAATACACGCAGCCACTACAAAAACTTAATAGAAAAACCTGACAATTTTATCACTTGTTGTTCATGGCAAGATAAATCGCTTTGAATTTCCAAATTACCCAAGTTCCACCGTGATCCGTAAATATATTTATAATTATTAATGCGTAATGTTATGTAGCAATCCACCGATTGTACGGACCACAGTAAATATTGATCATGTGACATTCGCTTTACCGTTTCCCAATGGTACGAATTTTAAACACGCGTAAGATACATAGTGCTTTTAGCAAAATCAAGTTTAAATCCTAGTAATTTCTCGTCTAATAGATATTGATTCAGTTGTAGAGAACCCTGTACATGAGTAATTTAATTTTTGTAAAAAATGTTCTTACCATTCAATTTTTGCCTAGCTAGGAAAAAGAGGAGGGGGGGAGGGTAGCCTCCGCATGCCCCACCCTTGTTACACCCAGTAGCTATGTAGGTTTGTTGGTTATTGCGGTTTGAAACCGATAATATAATCAGGAGCGAAATGAAGGAAAGATGTGTATGGGTCATTTGTCAAAAAAATCCAAAATACGGATTTCAAAAACCTGTTTAATATACCATTTTTCATACATGTAAAAAAAGTGCGTAAATGTTTTCTATATAATCTACAAACATAACAATTTTGTAACGGTCGTATTCACCAATTCGGCGTTTGCAAGACTGTTATTTATCAAGTTGTACAAAATATAAAAGTCTGATAAACAATAGTGGTATTCATAAGCTTCTGATAACAAACTGACTGTCATACAAAAATCTTAAATTTCTTTAAGTTGGTGCCTCTTGAAAAAAACGAGAGAACCACATCTAACCTCACTTTATAGCTGCTCTGTGTTATCAACTTGTCATGTGGTTGACATTCACAGTGTCAGTTTTGTAATAGTTTTGCATCATGGAAAAGTCATAAAAAAAGATCAGCTAAATATACATCAAGAGACAATAATTTCCTTGGTTGAAAAATATCGAAGTATAATTGAAAACAAAAAGACTAACTTGGTATTTAACAAGCAGAAAAATTAGTATTGGGAGAAGCTTGCCTGGTTATTCCATTCAAACAACTGGACTCAGAACTCACCAACAACTAAAAAGCAAAACTACCTAAATCTGACGACAGGGTATCATTATTCTCACAGTATTTGGACAAAGAAATTAACTTGTTCTCTTTTTTCAGGTGAACTTGTTAAAAACGGATAGTGGGGTATCTATTCCTCGAACTACTACATTAAATAAGAGTGTATGAAGTATTTATCACTAAATTGAATTACTATTTCTGTTCCCATGAAGATACAAGTGCCGATGATAACTTATAGGCAAAGTTATCTGTCTTGATTGTAATATACATACAATAATTTATACAAGAATTTTATTTTAAACGGGTAGACACTTTGGAGACAAATATTTACATGAAAATTAATTTTTTCATGACATAAAAATTGATGAAATTATTGAGTCTCTTGCTGCAGTATTTTGAGATCCAATTCGGACCTGGATCTCTTCAATTTGTTACATTTCAGGTCCATTCTCAAAAAAAAATCGATAGTGTCATTCTGTTCTAAGCACATGTTGTGCAGCACAGCAGTTGCCACAATAACCTCACACATAGTTTCAACTTTTAGCCCCCACATCAAGATTTGGTTTTCTTTTGAGATTGGCTGGTTCCTTTCATTTATCGGTTCTGTAACATTTTGCAATACAGTTTCCAGTCGCCTATATGTATTTTTATTTATTCTAAATCTTCTTTCGAACTCTAGATCATCTAGTTCAATCAAGGGAAGCCTCCTAGTTCTTACAATTCTTTCTCTCGGGATATCTTCAATGTCACTCATGTCTGTTTCCGAAGATTCTAATATTTCGATAATATTAATTCTACTGAGGCTATCCATTTTGCTACTTATACAAAACAAGCCCTTACTCGCTGTTCGCTGACTGTATTTTGTAAATCACTTCTACGAAATCTCCAGGTAAAATAAAGTCGGGATGACACTTTTGTCTATTTAGTATTAAACTGTCAGTTAGTGGTTTACCAGTCCAACATCGCGCTGTTAACTTATTATCCATGTCTTTAACAGACTGTTTGCCGTGATGGGTTGATGGTGAATACTAAAAATGAATTTAATAATGTGTTAAATAATTTTTACAGTCTGTTAGGGAATGGTGGATACGGCCGTTAAGTACTCATTAAGAAATGATCTGAACCATTACATAAGAAGAACTATTAGATAATTCCATCTGGATCTAACACGATAATGTAACCTGAAATTACAGGAATAGGTAGTTTACAGCTTAGAATAATTCTTTGACATTATCTACTTTTTGTTTACTAAATTCAGTATAATGTGCCAGCGTCAGGCTTTCTAAGTTTTGAGTTTTTCTCACGTAAGGTTTAAGCTTCAATTTTGGTGAAAAAATCGTCATATTTATCGTAATATGAGGGATTGATTTCGGCAGGGGGATTACGTAAAAAATGCGTCAAGTACGATGACTCTGCGCAACCTACGTAACGCTGTAGTTCGTAAAGGATTATATTCAGCACAAGTTGGCCCCTCTGAGAAAATAGTTATCGACAAACATGTATAACAAGAAAATCAAATGGATCAAGTTAGTCAAACAGGCCATATAATTAAAATTTGTATATTTAGCTTGTTTTTGGGGGCTCTACAGGATTTGGCTCCCTAGGAAAATGTACTGCACCTCACTCTTCAAATGTTTTCACACAAAGTTATCTCGTGGCCCCTTCCCATGAGAATAATGAGTATTAAGGATAAATGTTATGGGAAATCTGTGATGAGTGAAATATGAATACTAGGTGCGTAGAATTACCGCGACTGGATACGTATAAGTATTTCTACGTAAAAAAATTGAGATATATTCTCCTCCATTCCCCAATCTTTTACCCCTAATTTTTTTGCCAAAAATAATCAGATTCCTCCGAAACGTCAAAAAACGAAGCTTGAACGATTTTTGTTTTTTTACTTTATTTGCCCTTAGCTACGCCGTCATTGGACCGATTTTCAAGAACTATAAAGCTTTTTCGTCCTATTCATAGTAGTACACCCTGTGTGAACATTTCATCAAAATCAGACTAGTATACTTTCCAAGTTATACCGGGGTCAAGAATTACAGATAGACCGACGGAAATGAGTCGTCAGTTTTTCGTAATGTACAGGTCATATAACATAAAAAAACATATTAGATCATTTTCCAAAAAATTTGCGTAGGAATGAAATCGATATAATGACATTAAAAATCGTTATGCCGGGCCCACATCAAAGCAACAAAACAGAAATGCAACAAATGAAAAACTTGGAACCAAAATAAAATGAAAACTTATGTCCACACTGTCAAGAGACAAAAAAGTTTTCAGTTGTTTTGTTTCGTGCAGTTCACACCAAAAATTTTCAGAGTGAATACATGTGGCGTTTTTATGCTGAAAGGCAGAAGCACAATGATTTTATCATATGTCTGCTGATTATGTGGTTCCCCAGAGTTGTGACGAGGAAAATAAAAAACGCTTTCGGGTGAAACTATCCTTATTGAAAAATTATTGTCCGATTTGCGTAATATGGGATTCCGTTCTAGTTTCGAGAACTTTTCAAGTGAAATCTTTGAAGAATTACGGTATTGAAATTTATAAAAAAATACCAATTTTTGAAATGCCATTAACGTAGTTGAACATTTGGCCGTAACACTAAGATATAGGATACTCCCTATACAGGGTTATCCAAATTAAGTGTCCACCATTAGTAACTTTGTTATTAGTGAAAATACAAAGTTGTTTGAATTAGCAAACTAGTAGCATTTTTAACGCTGGTAAAAATGAGAAATAAAAAAAAAACAATTGAGAGTCGTTATTATGATTTTTTTTCAGTAAAATAACATTTTTTTAAATGGAAACCCCTGTATATTATATTTTTTTCTGTTAAAGCATCAAATTTTAAACAAAAAAGCTTACAATAACTTTTCTCCTAGGTTACAAATTGTTGAAGTTATCTGAAACAATTAAATTGTATCGACAAACTTTATTTTCAACATCAACTTATAATCTTACAAAATACAATAACAATTTTTTTTAAAGAAGATGCTCGAAAACACCACCTTGTTCTTCAATACATTTTTGGGCACGTTTTTCAACTGCTCGAACTGTCTTAAGTATGGTCCTACCATCTATCTGGGTTATCTTTTCCCTAACTGCAGTCTTTAACGCGTCAAGGTTATCGTACCTTCGCTTGTAAATTTGGTTCTTTAAGTAACCCCACAAGAAGTAATCAAGTGGGTTTAGATCTGGTGATCTGGGAGGCCACTGTATTGGGCCATTTGTTCCTATCCACTGATCATTAAAAGTAGTACTTAGAAAATGATAAGTACCTCTGGAGTTGTGGGCAGGTGCGCCATCTTGCTGAAAATGCAGATGATGTCTACTTATAAGATCCAATTCGTCTAAGAAATTAGTCAGAATTTCTGACATAAATTCCACATATCTTTCACCAGTTAGGGTTCCCTCATAAAAGAACGGGCCAACAATTTTTGAAGCAATTATACCGCACCAAACGTTGAAACTGAAACGGACTTGTGGGCCTCTTGGATGTACTAACAAAAGATTTTCTCTTGACCAATAATGGTGGTTTTTTCTATTAAACATTCCAGAATTTGAAAAATTTGATTCATCTGTCCATAAAAGGTAACGAAAGTTATTTACATTTTGGCGACAGAAGCTATGATACCAATGGCAAAAAACAAGTCTTCTCTCTGGATCCCCTGCCAAAAGCGTTTGAACTGGTCGGTACTTATACGGAATAAATTTGTATTTTTTTAAAATCCTTTGAACAGTACCATAACTGAAATTAGAGTCCTTGAGAATATCTGCTATTGAATTCTCACGATAAGCTTCAAAATATCCAATAACTGCAATTTCCGTGGCCTCGCTTATTATGAATTCTTTTTTTGTCCTTGTTTTAGCAAAAACATTTTCGTTGCCCCTAAATTTTCGATAAAGTCTCAGAAAATATCGTTCATACGGTTGAATGCGAGCGGGATATAATTCACTGTAGTATTCTCTTGCTCTCAAGGAGGATTTTCTGCACACTAAATAGCATTCTAACATATCACACTTTTCTTCATGGGAGAACATTTTTCTTTAAATTAATGACACAATAAAGCTTATAAACAAGTATTTACACTAATGTTTGACATTATTTGATTTTATCATTGTTTTCCAAAGCCTTCTAGTTGCGAGTATGTCCAGTTTAACAATTTGTCGCTTATCTTAATGCTGTCAAATCGCGAACGCCATGTTGTTTTCATAGCCGTCTTAATATTATAATACTGCAAATAATTAAAAATATTTATCGTTATTTTGACTTTATTTTTGACTTTAGCGGAAAAGTCATTATGAACTTTTTGTTTAAAATTTGATGCTTTAACAGAAAAAAATATAATATACAGGGGTTTCCATTTAAAAAAATGTTATTTTAATGAAAAAAATCAAAATAACGACTCTCAATTGTTTTTTTTATTTCTCATTTTTACCAGCGTTAAAAATGCTACTAGTTCGCTAATTTAAACAACTTTGTATTTTTACTAATAACAAAGTTACCAATGGTGGACACTTAATTTGGATAACCCTGTATAGTTCAATTATTTTACTCGTGTTATTTACACTCCACTTTAATTTTTCACCCGACATACTGCGTATTTATTTTTAAACACCCTACACAGCGCCTTCGTATTTGATAGTAGTAGTAGTAGTAGAAAGATTTATTTAGCACATTTGGCTACATAAACAGAATAATTGTAAACAACTTAGAATTAGTAAATTAAAGCCATATGATGTAAGATGTAAATGCTGGGCAACCTATAATTGTAGACTTAACAAGTGATTCCTCAATTTTACTTTAAATTTTGGCAAAGTTTTCTGGTTTTTATCTCTGTATATAATTTATTATATTCAATCAACCCTTGATGGAATACAGATTTGTAGAATATGTTATTCTTTTTGGTCATTAAATGGAGGTCATCTTTATTTCTGGTATTATGTAAATGATGGCCGACATTTGATGATGTTAAATTAGTTAGACTTGATGAAAATACCTGTATATTATTTTTTACTTTATAAATGAATATCATTACAAGATATTTGATAAATTTTTTTACATTGAGCCATTTTAATTTGCTAAGCGTTTATCTAATTGTCTTTATTCAATATTATTCTCATGCATTTATTTTGTAAAATTTGCAGTCTTGCAAAAATGGAATTATTTGCTAAACGAAGAATAGTCGAACAGTACAAGAAATTTGGTATTATAGATAATTTTTCTGCTATATGAACTCAGACATCCAGAAACTCTTGATAAATATGCCACTTTACTACTAATCTCATTTATAACTTTTTCATAATGAATATCAAAAATTAATCGAGAGTCAACAAAAACCCGCAGGTATTTAAAATTTTCTATGAAATCAATATCTTCACCATCAATATTCAGTTGAACATTTGTACATTGTTTTTTCCGATTAACATAGCTTTCGTTTTACTTGTATTTAATTTTACTCTGTTAGATGCTAACCATTTTGAGGCAAGTTTCAAGTCTTCATTTATATAAGAGATACCAGTCTGAATATTTTTAGTACTTATATAAATCATAGAGTCATCGGTGAAAATCTGAATTTTGAATTTTTTGACTATGGCAGGTAAATCATTTATGTATAAAATAAAAAGAAGTGGTCCCAGGATACTGCCCTGTGGAACACCCAATGTATTTTCAATTTTTGGTGAAATAGTGTCATTAACTTTTGTAACCTGCATCCTTTTAGACAAATAATTTCTAAACCAATCTAAAACCCTTCCTGATATACCATATGCCTTCAATTTACCTAACAAAATATCTCTATCAATCGCTTCAAATGCCCTCTTCAAATAAAAAAATACTGCTATGACAACTTCTTCTGAGTCTATCATTCTTCTCCAATTCTCAGTTACCAATTGGAAAGCCGTTTTTGTGGAATATTTTTTCGAAAGCCTGCTTGCGCCTCCACTAAAATTTTGTTTTCTTATATAAACATGCACTATGGACTCTAATAATTTTTCAATGTCCGGTAACACATTTACTGGTCTCATATCGCTGCATCTTTTAGAATTTTTTATTTTGGGAACTGGTGTTATTGTAGAGCATTTCAAATTTTCAGGAAAAGAACTGCTTCTCAGTGAACAATTGGTCCAATTTAATACAAGATATCCCAAAATTTCGAAACAGTTTTTCAGCACGTTTTTAGTAGTGATTTCGGCACAGTTGTTATTTGATTTTAAACTGTTTACTTTTTTGCTTAGATAATTGAATGATACGCTATGAAATTTTGAAAGTGTATGCAACACTTCCCCCTGGAAACTGATTTTCATATATTCAGGTTCAGCATTGGCAGTACCTACAATATATATCAACAATACTTTCCACAAAATATTCATGTAGTAGTTTCTGTTTTATATTTGTTTCGCAACAAAGTACACATCGCACCAACAATGTTGCCTGAAATGAAAACAAAACAGAAACCTTTTGATCTTTACCGACTCGCGATGGGAACGCCAAAAGTTGGCAGAAACAGAAACAAAACAGGAATTGTTGACAAAATGTTGCCAATTTGTTGCTCAATTGTTGAAAAACATTGAGTTGCTGTTTTGTTGGTTTGGTGTGGACCCGGCATTATAATTTCAACTTGTGTACTAGCTTGTTGCTGGTCCACGACACGCGCAGTCGCTGTGAACGCTACCTATGGAGAATAAAAGAAAATTGCGTCAACTTCCGTAACATGTTGGTACATTTTTCATGTTGTCCTACTAGATTATAGTTTTCTCAAAGACTTAGCAATACCAAGTCTTGTCGTCTTCCGCATCTTGTCACAATTCAGGCTTGAACTTCGGCCTGACGTAGGGCGGAGGGCTGGGGCGACAGTGTATGCCCCTGCCCATTGTCGAATTAGGGCTGTTCGTGTGGCTGTGGAGGTCCGGTGACAGTCGTACTTGCGCTGGGAAGTTGCTCAAGGACTCGGCGTGGAGAACTGCTTGGTAGTACTCCGTGTTGGGGGCGGACGATGAAATGTCCAAGTTTGCTGATCTGTGGAAGGATGCTCTATTAATTGATCCAGTTGGTAGAACGAATTTTATATTCGGTTCAAGTGCGGAATTCGTACTGTATCGCTGCCAGAGCGGTCCGAAGGATGCATATATCTAAAAACCCAATATTCGAAATAGAATGAGACGATGTTGCCAGATGGAGGGTACTATGGGCATAGCAGGAAAATAATGTCTATTGACTAATAGGCTAGTTGAAACTTTAGTTTAAAGATATATTTTTCTTACACAGGCGCAAACGCCGTCCGCCATGTTTGGCCCATATTAATCAGCCGTATTCATAAAACAAAGGATATCCTTGTACTTGCAAATTTTGCTGAAAAACAAGACTTCTCCAAAAAATGACTGAAAAAACACAAAATGGGTGAGTGACGCTAGTAGGCTTTAAATATTAGTATTTTATCCACATGCATTTGTTATTCACTCAAAAAGCTTGTTGATAATATCCTTATAAAAACATGTGGTAAACCTACATATACTGGGTGTCCAGGAATAAATTTCCCTTTTTAAATGTGAATAAAAAAATTGTCTGGAAGCTTTAAAATTAATTTATTGATGCAAAAATATCCACAATATAAGCGGATTTCATGTTTTAAAAATTATATTGTCGAGGTGCCTTCCATTTCGGTCGAAACACTCATGCCGTCTTCATGTGATCAAAAACTGCTAAATAAATTCAGGTGTAATTGATGTGTTTTCTTCCCGTATTTTTTGTTTTAATTCTTCCAAAGTCCTAAGCCGATTAACATAAACTTTACCTTGAGGGTATCCCCACAAAAAAATATCCAATGGGGTGTGGTCTGGAGACATAGCTGGCCAGTTTAGCTCTCCAAAGCGAGAGATCACCTTTTCCGTGAATAATTCTCGAAAGATTTCCATAGATTCTCGGGCTATGTGTGCGGTAGCGCTGTCATAATGAAATCATGTTTCTTGGTCAAAGCCATCAAACTCTTGTAGCTGATTTACCAAAAACTCCCGACGCATGGCACAATAACGATCTCTAGTTACAGTCTGGGCTATGTCACGTTGGTTCTCAAAAAAGAACGGACCGATAATTCCTGAAGCCGACATTGCACACCACACAGTTACTTTTGGGCTATGTAGGAGCTTTGTGTTTTGCGGCTGAAGGGTGAAAGTGCGTCTGGTCACTGAACAGAATGTTGTTAATTCGGTCGTTTGCAAAAAAGGTTTATCATTGTTTTGGCGAAGGAACGACGGTTTATAAAGTCATTTGGCTTCAATTTTTGCACTATTTAGATCATGTAGCTTTAAAGCTCTCCTTAAAATTGTATGAAAATATAATTTACACAATAGATCCATTTGGATTTTGAATTATAGGAGTAGTTTCAGTCCTTGGACGACCAGGGCGTTTCACATTTAAAGTTGTCGATGTTTCGCTAAACCTCTTCGCCCACGGTTTCACTAAATTTTCACTTGGTGCGCCCTCCACACGCCTAATATTGAAGTGAGCACAAAACCTTCGTCTTGCAATTGTGTACAAGTCATTGTTCTTGAAATATGCCTCAATAATGAACGCACGATGCGCAGCAGACCAACACTCCATTGTTATTAAATAATCCGCATCGTCCACTATGGATGGACGCTACGCCGACCGCGCTAAGTTACACTGTTTCCACGTTATTCGAGTTTAAAAAGGGAAATTAATTCCTCGACACCTTGTATAACTATTGTTAGTATACCTTCAGATATCATACTACATATTAGCAAAATTTGTTAGCGAATTAAAAACCACCAACAAAAATAACACAGTTTACCTTCTTTTGAAGATAAGGTAGTTGTGATAATAATCAGTACAAATGTGAAATAGATTGAAAAAGAATATCTCACTTTCCTCATCCTCTCTGAAAAACGAAACGGAAATTTAGCAATTATTAATCCATTTTGAATTTCGAAATCATAAATGTGAAAATAGGTTATTCACTATAATTAGGCAGTGACATTTTTACTCACATTTCATCGTGCTGGAAGCATAACAAAAATGACAGCACCATGGCTAGCACAAGAAAGATGATGACAGGGATCAAAACTGACACAGCCACTAAGCCAAAATAACTTCTTTTTGGAACATCAGCTGTTGCATATGATTCCCAGCGATCGTTAAAGTCCAGTATAAATTCATCATCAATCCCATTGTTGCTGTTCAAATTATCTTTGAGTCTTGATTGGTGCATTGCTGAATTGTTATTGTCAATCTGAAAGAAATATGTTTTTTTTAATAGTCTCATATTCGAGTTTGATTTCATACAATTACAATTAGGCAGCTTTTTGAAGTATTTTTGGATAGGCTCGTACAAAATGAACGTTTGATGAAATTAATTATAGCGTGCCCACATTCAAAAATTTACTTTTTGACGCTTCAAATGTTTAAATAGAAACTCTTATTTTTAAATTTTTAGATTTTCCATGAAGTTTTTATTAACTTTTGTATAATAAAGTTTATACCTATCTTCAATCGTTGTGAAGTCATTTGAGTTTATAATAAAATTCGAATAACTTAATACTAATAATAATGGCATGCACGGCAAAAAATAATAATCATAGAACATTTAGGATAAGTCAGTGTCATCGTATGTCATAGAAAAACTTTGCCTTTCATTTCAAATTGTTAAGTTACCTACCTAGTTTTAATAAATATTGAACAATGACTTATTTAATTCAAGGGTAGAAATAACAAAACTGCCCGGTTGCTTAAGACAAAAATAACAACGATAAGTATGCGGCTTAGTTTATAAGAAAATTTGAAGAAACTGGGTATGTGTCTAATATTCGCAGTAATCGCCATCGAGAAAATCGACCAGTTAGAAATGAAGCCGCAGAAATAGCACTTCTTCAGGATTTACACGCTCAACAGTACAAAGATATTTGAAATACAATCAATTTCACCCGTACAAGATAAAACTTGTCCATGAGCTAAATGAAGACGATTTTGATGGAAGGTTGGAGTTTTGCGAATTAATGTCAATAATGCAAATCTGTTATTTAATATTTGTTTCTCGGATGGTTCTATAAATAGACAAAATTGTCGATATTGGAGTGACTCGAATCCACATTTGTATCGAGAGGTACACTCGCAATATCCTGAAAAAAAAAAATATGTGGGCTAGCATTTTCGGAAATCTTATTGTAGGACCTGTCTTTATTCCTGTAAACTTGATGGGCGAGACCTACTTGGACATGTTAGAAAATACAATAGAGCCACGGATTACCGAAATAATAGCAAATGACGTTAATTACAATGAAAATTACTTTAATTTCCAACAAGTCACTTAGTGCGGCGGTGCACCATCCAGTACCACTGTTTTTCGATACCCATTTGCCCGAATCAGTACTTTAGATTACTTTCTCACTATTTGAAAAGTAAAGTACGAAGCCAGATTCCACTCAAGATCTTCGACAGTGGATTACCGCTGAATGTAGACAAATAACTCAAGACATGATTGAAAATGTGATGAATAGATTCGAACAAAATCTTTATTATTGCATGGAGGTAAATCAGTTTCATTACCACATTCACGTACCTCTTTAAAGCAAATTAATTTTTATTTCAAGTTTAATGTGCGTGTAAACTGTGAGTTGTTTTTTGTTTTTTAATACTCGGAGACTTGTTTTTAATTTTGAAGTGAAGTCTTCTTACTATGGGAGCTGCATTGATTATTATTTTTATGATATAATCCCTTATTATCACGATTAATAAAATTCTATTATAAACTCAAATAGCTTCACAACGATTGAAGACAGGTATAAACTTTATTATACAAAATTAAAAAAAAAATAGGGGTTTCCATCTAAAAATCTAAAGTTTAACGTAATATCTTATTTTTGGATCATCCTGTATTGTACGACTATAGATGAAAAGACGTCTCCCTAGAAATCGAAATTGATGCATCGGAGCGTTTTTCCCAAAATATACCAGGAGAGTCACAAATGGGGGTGCGACCTTTTCGTTGGGCCACCCTGTATGGAGCGATATATCAGCGACCATTGAATCAAAATCGTCAAGGGGCTGTTGTGTTTCAGCGTACATATCGTCACTACTTACACTCACTGCCAATAACAAACCATTTCTTTCAAATTTTAGGCAACAAAGGAAAGTATAGAACCTTCGCAGTGTAGAGTGCTGGCGGGTGGAATAATCGAACGTTCGTGTGAGATTTTAGAAGCAGAATTTAAGAGATGTTATCTTTCATACCTAATTTCCCGTAACTATAGCATAATTTTAAAACAAATTCATTCGAATTATAGAATGAACAGGCTTATAATGAATGAGATCATAAATTATTTTTGTGTAACTGTGTATTTACGATCTTGCATTTCGAATTTCTTAAAAAAAATTTCGTCAAGTAGGTTGACTCTGCACTTCCCACGCACTTCTATATGCCATGATATAAAGCATCTGAGTCTACTGTTGTACGCTCTGTTATATTTATAGTTTACCGGCTTTGAATCCTTGTACCCCGGCATGAGTAGAATGGATATCAGCGAAAAAACATTGTTCATTTGGTAAACATTGAAATTATGGGCTTTTATAGTATCTGAATAAATTTTCTTGCATTCCGGTAGGTTTACTATTGGTTGGCTACGGAAAATCTTACAGTGCAGAAAAAGTATTGTGGGTTCACATCTTCACATCTGAATAATTACAGGCCTAATGTTGTGACTATCTGATTATTTATACATATTCAACAAATTATACTGCCGCGGCATCTTTGACATTTTCTCACCTGTTTAGATAAACATTCGCCGCGTGGGTCTCCAGAGCAGTGGCTGGTTCACTTATATATAAAATATTTCTTTCATTCTAAGTGCTAAGGGCAAATTTAGGAGGGAATATATGCGTGAAATATGCCTAATTGTCTGGTAGAAGCACAGGGGTTAGAACTGTTACGATAATCCCTCCCATACCCACTTATAACCCCTCACCAAAAATTTTCAACTCCTAAAAAATTACCAAAAATAATCAGGATCCTTGAGCGTCTTTTATTTTTTTTCCTTTTTGGCCGTCACCATTGTACCGATTTCAAAAAACTACAAAGCTTTTTCGCCCTTAGCGGTACTTTCTAAGTTATATGCGCGCCAAAGATTAGCGGACAGACAGACCGACGGAAATAGTGTAGATGTGACGAGTAAAATGAAGGTATTTTAAGATCATCGTCTTAAATGAAGTTTGGGTATTTAGCTGACGGTATCTTCGCTTACTATGATGTACATACCAATCTAAAAGAACACCAATCTAGCGCAAAGCCAGCGTCTCTAAAATATCTTTCAACAGAAGTTCGTTTGAAATCCCTGGGGCATGAAGGGACCTTCCATAATGGTTTTATTTCTTCTTGTAATCCTATCAGTTCTGTTGAAAACGGCGACTGGCTTCCCAATCTTATAACCACTCTGAAAAAAAATCAGAGTATGTAGAGTCTAAATAAAAAAATAATGCCATCAGTTGATAAACACGATTTAATTTGTGTTTGATGTACTGTGTATTTGACTGCAAGTGACATAGAAAGTCAATCTACTTGACTAGTTGCTAAAGCAAAGATACACATTATTCTCCTATAAAAGGAAACTGTGTTAGAAAATTATTATGCTTTTAAACTTTAAAGCATTTTAATGTGAAATTTCTAATTTTTGTCTCTCGAACGGAAGTCTGTCAACCTGGGTAATTTAGGACACCGATTTCGACAATGGCAAAAAAGCTAAAATGTCGTAATATGTAACTTTATGGGCCTCTCGTCCATCTTAACGAAAATCTGTAATATTGGTTTTAGCTTCTTTTAACAGATACATACCCTTCTCCTTCTGTGGGATCCAACGGTTTCCTAGCGCCCAATTCTACAGCAGAACTAAGGAACGTGATATACAAATCTCTATGACTCTCTCTCCAAAGTTGCCCTCTGAAAATATCCTTCAACGCTTCACTTCTCTCATGCTCAAACAGATCGTCGACATTCAGGTTGTCTATTTTCATGTGAACCTCGAACAACGCTGGATTTTCCTTCTGGTTTATCCATAGATTCAAATTTTCCACTCGAGTCTCGTAGTTTTTCTTGTTCAAAGCTACAACTTCCAATGGCACGTTGTCCTTGCCGTATTTTGGAGGCGGTACTCCATAAAGGAACCCAGCATGATGTCGATCACTGTAGACGTAATTTATCCAAGAAGGTAAATCAGGAGAGTTTAGGAGAGAGGCCTCGTAGACAAACTGGTTTTTGATACCTATATGTAAGGAAAGAAAGTTTCATAAATGATGTTCTATAGTTTTGATGGGATTCAAAACAACAGTATCTGTGTGACTTGTTATTCGTAACAACGAATTAGAGGAATTTTGAGCAGATTATATCGCTAGATTCTTCCATATTTTTTAGGTCGCCCGAGTATACAGTGCGTTTCAGAAGTCCCCTACTTTTTGAACCGATGATGTTTTAGCAAGTTTTGGAGCGTTGCTATCTGACTATGAAAAAAATGTTTATTTTTTTTAAATGGATGCTTCATACTTTATTATATATTCGGATACACTTTTCTGAAAGAAGATTGGTATAACATAATATAACGTTTTGATTTGTTGTTAAGTTATATATATATATATACAGGGTGTTTCAGTTTATTGTTGCATAACTTGCACAAGACTCGATAGAACTTTTAAAATTAATACATAAAGTCTATATAAACATGGGTCGAAAAATGCGTGGCTTCCGAAATACAGGGTGTTTAAATTTACTTTCTAAAATAGTTTTTTTAATGGCTTTGTAAATGGAAACGCAGCAGAAGCAGCCAGAGAATACGCACGAAGATTTCCAAACAGACGACATCCAACTCGCTCAGTATTTGTAAGAGTGCATCGCCAAGTAATTGAAAATTGTTTTGGAAATCTCCAAAGGGATCATAACATAAATGTTCGTCAGCGCAGATTTACCCGTATGATTCTGCGTGAGTTTGATAGAGATCCGACCACAAGTGTTAGGAGAGTTTCTGGTGCCTTGGAAATTTCAGCAAGCCATGTTCACCGTGTTCTTAGAAATGACCATAGACGTCCTTACCATTTGCAACCTGTGCAAGGACCACAGCCAGGGGACGGAGAACGAAGAATCACATTTTGTCAGTGGATTCTTGATAGAACTGATAATAATAGGGAGTTTTTAAGTAACGTTTTATGGACCGATGAGTCATGCTTCACTAGACGTGGAGTGGTAAATTTCAACACATTTGGTCGCATGAAAATCCGCAGGGAGTTCGGGAAAGAAATTTTCAGCATGAATTTAGTGTGAACGTGTGGATTGATATCTACCGTAATCGACTATTTGGACCCTACCTTTTGCCTGCAAGGTTAAATGCTGCGACCTTCTTGGAATTTTTAAAGGCTGAACATGCAAATATGTGGGATGTTGTTATGTTAGATTTAAGAAGATTGGCCTGGTTCCAGCTTGATGGTTGTCCAGCTCATTATTCGAGAATAGTTAGAAACTGGCTGGACGAAAATTATCCAGAAAGATGGATCGGCCGTGGAGGCCAGTCGCCTGGCCTCCACGATCGCCTGACCTAAATAAATTAGATTTCTTTGTGTGGGGATTTCTAAAAGAAAAAGTGTACCAGACTCCAGTAACCACAAGAGATATGCTAATAGACAGAATCAGGAACGCATGTGATGAAATAAGGCCTTATTTGAATAATGCTATACCACGTTCGATCATTCGTAGATGTGAATTGTGTATTGAACAATTGGGTTTACATTTCGAGCAAGTACTTTAGATTTTGTATGTTTGTCCTAACTATCCAATAGCATTTTAGTTGTAAAGAATTAATTTAATTTGTTAAAAATAATATTAGAAAATTAAGCAAATTAATATTGTTTTTTTGTGTTTATTTGGAGTTAGGAATTATTGCTGTGTTTAAAAACACAATCTAAACTATCATCTTAATTACTTGTAATGCCCAAATCGAAAATGTAAAAAAAATATTATTTCCCATAAATAATTAAAAATGCATCGACCTTAAAAATCTCAAAAACGGCTAACTATAACGAAAACTCACAGGAGAGCTTTTTTATGCAGAAAAGTGCGAAGAATCAGTTTTTTATTCAAAAAGCAAAAACTTGCACTAAGAAAAAAAATTCGGTCATTTTAATACACTACAGGTACAGTAGAGAGTGCCCTCTAGCAGCTACAGTAAAACTATGCCCATGGTTCGTTTTGTCGTACCAAAAAACCCTTGTATACCAATTTTCACTGTTATACATCAAATATTGTTCGAAATATTTTAAAAAAACTATTTTAAAAAGTAAATTTAAACACCCTGTATTTCGGAAGCCACGCATTTTTCGACCCATGTTTATATAGACTTTATGCATTAATTTTAAAAGTTCTATCGAATCTTTAAGTTATGCAACAATAAACTGAAACACCCTGTATATATATAAAGTTCAATTTACAAAAACACAACTATGACAGACTTTAGAGAAAGAATTTACAAAGAAGTTGTATAAAGAACCTTCTTCAAAATTAAGATAAATCAAAAACTACGGCTTTTAGTTTTGTCATAAAACATGTCACTAAACAATTATAATCCATTTTTGGAGCGTTGGACTAACCTTCATGGGTCCAATTGAACATAGGAGGATCTAACACTATCTGAAACACTTCCGACATAAAGACATTTGTCTCTTTTGCATTAATTATTGCAATAAATATTGCTAGAAAGTAGAGTTTCGTAAACATTTTCATGTTGCAACGGGAATAAACACTCGGTTCTTAAAATAAATGAGGAGTCTACGCGATCGATAGAGTAAAATCGGCCGCGCGAAGCTTGCGTAAAGCGGCCATGTGAAAATAGGTGATGTACGGGGTGAACGCAAAAAATTCGACTGGCAAAAGATCTGTTTTCAGATCAGTGCGCGTCCCCTACTGCAAATGAGCTTCACGACACTTTCAACATTTTTTGATATCAGTGTCCAAAATTACCTTGTTTCATTAGTTTGTACCAACGGGAGATGAAAATGCAATTCTTGTACAGAGAAACAATAAATGAATTTCAAAAATTCCTCCGGATCTGCAATGTCGACCAAAGCGCGTTTTTTGGACAAGTCCGGTGTGTAGATCTTTATAATGTCAAGTTTTTCGCCGAGATCGACGAGCAATGTCGTATTTACAACAGGGTTATGGATCGGAGCGTTAATTAGATAAAATATTTTTTTTTATTTCTGCACATATATATATACAGGGTGTTTTAGTTTATTGTTGCATAACTTTAAGATTCGATAGAAAATTAATGCATAAAGCCTATATAAACATGGGTCGAAAAATGCGTGGCTTCCGAAATACACGATGTTTAAATTTACTTTTTAAAATAGTTTTTTTTAAATATTTCGAACAATATTTGATGTATAACAGTGAAAATTGGTATACAAGGGTTTTTTGGTCCGGCAAAACGAACCATTTGCATAGTTTTATTGTAGCCGCTAGAGGGCGCTCTCTACTGTACCTGTAGTGTATTAAAATGACCGAAAATGTTTTCTTAGTGCAATTTTTTGCTTTTTGAATAAAAGAACTGATTCTTCACACTTTTCTGCATAAAAAAGTTCTCCTGTGAGTTTTCGTTATAGTTAACTGTTTTTGAGATATTTCGATTTTTAAGGTTCGATGCATTTTTAATTATGTATGGGAAAATAATATTTTTTTTTACATTTTCGATTTGGGCATTAGAAGTAATTAAGATGATCGTTTAGATTGTGTTTTTAAACACAGCAATAATTCCTAACTCCAAATAAACACAAAAGAACAAAATATCAATTTGTTAAATTTTCCAATATTATTTTTAACAAATTAAATTAATAACTAACAACTAAAATGCTATTGGATAGTTAGGACAAACATACAAAATCTAAAGTAGTTGCTCGAAATGTAAACCCGATTGTTCAATACACAATTCACATCTACGAATGATCGAACGTGGTATAGCATTATTCAAATAAGGCCTTATTTCATCACATGCATTCCTGATTCTGTCTATTACCATATCTCTTGTGGTTACGGGACTCTGGTACACTTTTTCTTTTAGAAATCCCCACATAAAGAAATCTAATGGATTAAAGTCAGGGGATCGTGGAGGCCAGGCGACTGGTCCTCCACGGCCGATCCATCTTTCTGGATAATTTTCGTCCAGCCAGTTTCGAATAATGAGCTAGACAACCATCAAGCTGGAACCAGGCCAATCTTCTTAAATCTAACCTAACATTATCCCACGTATTTGCATGTTCAGCCTTTAAAAATTCCAAGAAGGTCGCAGCATTTAACCTTGCAGGCAAAAGGTAGGGTCCAAATAGTCGATTACGGTAGATACCAATCCACACGTTCACAGTAAATTCATGCTGAACATTTCTTTTCCGAACTGCATGCGGATTTTCATGCGACCAAATATGTTGATGATGAAAATTTACCACTCCACGTCAAGTGAAGCATGACTCATCGGTCCATAAAACGTTACTTAAAAACTCCCTATTATTATCAGTTCTATCAAGAATCCACTGACAAAATGTGATTCTTCGTTCTCCGTCCCCTGGCTGTAGTCCTTGCACAGGTTGCAAATGGTAAGGACGGCTATGGTCATTTCTAAGAACAAGGTGAACATGGCTTGCTGAAATTCCCAAGGCACCAGAAACTCTCCTAACACTTGTGGTCGGATCTCTATCAAACTAACGCAGAGTCATAAGGGTAAATCTGCGCTGACGAACATTTATGTTTTGATCCCTTTGGAGATTTCCAAAACCATTTTCAATTATTTGGCGATGCAGTCTCACAAATACTGAGCGAGTTGGATGTCGTCTGTTTGGGAATCTCCGTGCGTATTCTCTGGCTGCTTCTGCTTCGTTTCCATTTACAAAGCCATACACAAAATGAATATGCGCTAACTCTTGATTGGAGAATAGAAATGGCATTTTTATAAAACTTACAAAAAAAAACAGATAAAAGAAACTAAATTTCGTGCATTCACAATTGCAAAAAAACGTTTCAGACAACAAAACTAACTGTCAACTAATTGACGTTTAACCTTATTCTGCTTGCAATTTCAAAAATATTTGCAGGCACAGCCTACTTCTAAAAATTATCGAGATACTGACTTTTTAACGTTATTTTATCATAAATAATTAAAAATGCATCGAACCTTAAAAATCGAAATATCTCAAAAACGGCTAACTATAACGAAAATTCACAAGAGAGCTTTTTTATGTTGAAAAGTGCGAAGAATCAGTTCTTTTATTCAAAAAGCAAAAAATTACACTAAGAAAACATTTTGGTCATTCTAATACACTACAGGTACAGTAGAGAGCGCCCTCTAGCGGCTACAGTAAAACTATGCCCGTGGTTCGTTTTGTCGTACCAAAAAACCCTTGTATACCAATTTTCACTGTAATACATCAAATATTGTTCGAAATATTTAAAAAAAAAACTATTTTAGAAAGTAAATTTAAACACCCTGTATTTCGGAAGCCACGCATTTTTCGGCCCATGTTTATATAGACTTTATGCATTAATTTTAAAAGTTCTATCCAATCTTAAAGTTATGCAACAATAAACTGAAACACCCTGTATATATATATCAAATAAAATATGGTCCCCTATAGGAGACCTTTGGCATGGGAGGCAAATAAAGGATGCAACTGGGGTACAACTTTTAAATAAATTAGGAACTTTATTCATACAGGGTGTAAACGTTATGATAGTTATTATTTAAATGGGTGATACAGGGCGTTAAAAGAAGCATAAAGTTTCACATAACATGGGGGTCAAAACGGCATTTTTTTAGAGAAAAGCGACTTTAAAGTAAAATAAAATCTGACAACGCCGCAGTGCCCGACGCAAATTACGACGGAAAGCAGTGTAAATAAAGATGGAGATTGTTATTTTTGGCTCTTAGGTATTATTTCATTATTTGATAATGTACTCGTAAAATGCACAATTAAAAAAAAACGGACTTACCACTAACTGTCTCAGCGCTTCACCAGGTGAGTGAAAGTTTATTGAACGTATTAAAAAAAACCACTTATAAATAGGGAACACAATTTTTATACATAAATTGTTTTTCATTTTAAAACCCACACTGTACTTTCTTTGTATTTAAAGAAGGTGTTCAAAATGTCGTCCTCCACTTTCCACACAAACTTCATTACGACGAACCCAGTTTCTTCTTACTCTAGGTCCTCGAAGTTGTCCATTTATTATTTCAGCCGCATTAAAAATTTTTTCGACGTACGCGAACAAAAACAAAACATTATACTAACCGTTTGAGATCGATTGCAGGTTCGATAAGAGTGATGATGACCGACGCGCTGTTGTCATGTGTGTTTTAAATATTCAATTTAATGAAACTTTCTTACTTACCGACTACAAATTTTGGCTTAACTTAGAAAAACTTGATGCCATTTATTTGTTAATTACCCAATTTGAAAACGTTTTAGATTGGATTATAAAAGTTAGTACGATTGTGGTCGATATAAAGCACTTACAGTTGTAAACTATAAAGTCATTTACACAAAAATCTATTGACTTTTGGACCATGGGTCATATGAACTTTTTGACTTGTTTTGAACCCCCCTATTACCCATTTCAATAATGACTACCATAACGTTTACACCCTGTATAATGAATTCTATTATAACTCAAAAAAATAATTTTTTTGCACTTCGTTTTATATTTTTCCTTCTGAGTTTATAATAAAATTTATTACTAAATGTAAAGTGGTTATTCTATTTTTATTCCAAATTTTATTTAGGATTTAGGGAAAAAATATATCTGAAACTAAGTTATTATATCTGACACTAAGTCATGTTTCAATAAAAACAATTTCATCAACGCTTTGTGCTCTCCGTGCCAAAGGTCCCCTGGAAGGACCCGAGATATCGCACTGGAAAAAGTATAATTACTCACTAAAACATTTAAAAATTAGATATGAAGAAAAATAAATTCGAAAAATGAATTGTAATATGGATAATACGAAACCTACCTTTTCGTTTCCATGGTAAGCAAAAATAGAGGCCAATCTCAAAAGGGCACGAAATGCGATCAAAAAGCAACTTCAAATCGTGTTATTCATGTTTATACCAGTCTAAGAGATAATATCAGTTTTTTTCTGCGAAGTCCTTAATGCCTTAATGCGACGTTCGTGGATATATCTTTCCTCAAAATTGTGCAATTGTTTTCCTCTGAAACTAATAGTAAAAAAAATCACAATCAATGTTTAAAAGTCGGTTGTAAAAATGATTCTTTTCTATCCCTAGATGTCACATGCACGACTTTGTGGAAGGAAAACGGGTATTTTTAAAATTATAATTTTTTACCTACCCTACATCACTTTTATCTTTTTGTAAATTTGTAGTGTGACTTTATTGCTGAGCTTTACCAGCATATTCTCTAATCATTTTGTGAGTTATACTAATAATGGTCTACTTCGTACTTTACTAGTTTTATTTCTTTTAACTAGCTTTTGCTGCACAAACATTCTGTGCAGTGCTTTTAACTATCGAATTAAAAATGTGTTTCTAGGATTTCTGTAAAACATTTTTGTATTTTTTTGCTTTTATGCATTGTTACAGTGCTGAATTGTATAATGTTACGGTTTTTAATTTTAGTTTATCGCAATGTTTCTTTGATAACATGTTAGCACAAATGGCAGAGAAAACTGCAACACTACACGAAAGTTATACTTTCGTGGTTTTCTGTTTATTTGCATATTCATGTCAAGTTTGTGCGCAGAAATACATTGTTTTCGATTGAATGACTATGTATTGTATTTTAGCAAATAAATTATCACTATACCTCAATGATGAGAACGATCGACAACTTAACTCGGAATATT